CGAAATTGATAATGTGATGACAGCCGAGTCTTCCTATGAGCAATGGAAAGACAGTGATGATGATGACGATGGAACTGCAGCAGCAGCAGAGCTGACTGAGATAACCATGAATTCATCTGAACCTGAAGCTGAATCAGAGGGAAATTTGATAGAGTTAGATGGGAATCAGGAAGATGCGAACGAATTGGCTAACATTTCGAATGTGTCTGACCTGAGAGTTGTCTCTGCGCGAGAACGGCTGCTCACCTATGAGCAAAACCAATTATTGAGCCAGTTTAGTTTATAGAAGAGACGAATAGAAAACAACTTTCATTTTCTCATTGCAAAATGTCCGTCAAAAAGAAGAAGTGTAGATCTAATTTCTACTTCGTGATTCTAGTGATTGAAATAAAAGACCACCCCCACTATAAATACCAGAGCAGTCCAGGGTTTCATCTTGTAAGACATCAGGAGCGTTCTTTTGGGAAACGGAATAGAGGAACAAAAGAGAGTTTAACTTCAGTATTTTCGGTTCGGGAATTTCAGCTTTAACCGGGCAAAAAAAAATAACGGTTTGTAGTGAGCGAAAAGTGGAAAAAAAAAACTCATAGTTTATAGTTTGTGTTACGAGTCGATCTCACCTAATATATCCAATTTTATTGCGTACATCCGTTTTGCGAAAACTGTCCTCAATATTAATCTCGGGTGACATATGCCTGCGTTTATTTAATTACAACCTAATCACAATCCAGCTTAAACTACAATGAGTTCCATTTCACAGTACAAGAGGACTGAAGTTATTGGTCGAGGCAAGTTTGGTGTGGTTTACAAAGCCTATCATAAACAGACCAAACAAGTCTTTGCCATTAAAGTACTCAACCTAGACACGGAGGAGGAAGATATCATAGATGTCCAGCAAGAAATCCAATTTTTAACAGAGTTGAAAAACGTCCCTAACATTACACATTATTATGGCTCAATATTGAACGACACCAAGTTGTGGATCGTGATGGACTACTGCGCAGGGGGCTCTCTCAGGACACTCCTCAAACCAGGGGTTATGGAGGAGAAATATATTGGTGTTATAGTTAGGGAATTGCTACTAACTTTAAGTGCTGTGCACAAGTTGGGAGTCATGCATCGCGATTTGAAAGCGGCCAATGTGTTAATCTCAAAAGAGGGCAATGTTCAACTCTGTGATTTCGGTGTTGCGGCAAAAGTTGTGTCCAACTCTTCAAAGCGAACAACAATGGCAGGAACTCCTTATTGGATGGCACCAGAAGTTATCAAATCCGGTGAAGCCTACAACAGTAAGGCCGATATATGGTCATTGGGAATAACTGTGTACGAAATTGCTACCGGCAATCCCCCATATTGTGATAAAGACGCATCCTGGGCCATGCAACTAATTTCAAAGGGAACCCCTCCCCGCCTTGAAGGGAGAGAGTATTCGCCAGCATTGAAGGAATGTGTTGCGTTATGCTTGGATGAAAACCCCGAGGAAAGACCATCTGCAGATGAGCTTATTCGCTGTAAATTCGTCAAAATGTACAAACATCATCCAAGTAACATCCTAAAGGAAGTCATATCTAGGTACTTATTGTGGAGAGATAGGAACTCGTCTCGTGATTCTGTATTTATAAATTTGGAGAACGAACAGGAGGATACGGTTGATGAAATTGTGCAGCACAAGCTTCCAGGATATAATGATTATACTGAGCACAATAATGACCCAATTCATGTTAAGTGGGACTTTGATTCTTTGGAGTCAAAGGAGTATATTATGGAGAATGATATCGATGTGAACAATCTTGATTATAACAAACAATTTGATACCGACAGAGACGGTAATACATATTCGACATTGCCGACACTAAAGGCAAACACTTCCACAATTGCCAACACGCAAACTGCGACAACAAAATCGGTGGCGGATATACCTCGATCTTTGCAGATGCTATTCGAAGACCCAGATGAAAAGAAGAACGAACAATCTATTTTACAACCACCAAACTTGCTCAATAAGAGCGATAGGACTGAATCACCAACTATTGAAATTCCCGATATGGACGCGCTTGCAAACTACCCACCTTCCTCGTCACTACTAAATAACAATCAAAGTCTCCCGACTCTCAGCAAGCCTCCAACCCTACACCATACGCAGTCTGCTTCAGGAAATCTAGAATCTCGGTTCAATCCAATGAATACTTCGCCGACTGAAAGTCGGCCGCGAAAAAAGACCATTTCAAATACCTTGGGCAGTGGTACGTCATCGATTTTATCACCATCTGGCGTTGGAGCTACACCACATACGCCACCTTACACGATGAATGCTGGGATCAGAACGCCATCGCCAAAGCCTCCTGCAAGTACAAATGCGCAGATTGCATCAGGTCTCAACTCTAAAAACAACTCTCCGTCCAAGATGAAGGCTCTTCAGGGGAACCATAACCCCTTATTGCAACCTATCAACTTCAAGTCCAGTTCCAATGATAGCCATGCAGAACTTACCAATGGTAGTTCAGTGCCACCAGGACAGGCTCCACCTCCACTTCCCCATCAACATTCCATGCCTGTTCTCCCCCATTCTAGCTCGGTACCTAGCGCAGCATCCAATGTGAAGCCCAGGAGAAATAAACCGGGGTTCATACAAATGCCTACACCATCGAATAGTTTAAATGTTCTCTCTGCGTTGACTAATGAGACAAATGAAGACAATAATGTGAACCAATTTGGTATAAACCCAGCACACGCGGCTAGCATGCCTATATCTATGACTCCCGTTACTGAAAAAGAGCCTCCTCAATTCATCATGAAAAATGACGATAACGGAGAGAAACAGACCACAGTTTCAAAAGATGGCGCAACTGTATCCACAACTAGGCCCCATCAAAACAGCATCCTGGCACAGAAAAAGGCACAACCTTCACCTTCAAGTGCCAGTGCGCTAGCAAGTGGCCCCATCCAGCATCACCAAGGCTCAACTACAAACACATCTAAACCTGCTTCTACCCATTATTCCCTGCTGAATGGTACATCAACACCAACCGCACCTTCTGCGCCTTTCCCTACGATTCCAACCCTTAAAAGTGACTTCTTCATTGACTCTACAACCAACAAGAGTAAACTTGTGGGTGAGTTAGACACGATAATAAAGTTGTTTAACCAAGGCCTAGATGCGTTGGAGACACACTTGTAGCTAGTGAATAGAGAAAGTAACCAATATGAACAATACCATCTTTGCATGTTTATGGCTGATGTAAGCAAGACGATTGAAGTACTTGCACTATTTTGTGATAATTCTCTTCATCTTATTTCATTTTTGCGGGTGTAGAAAAAAATTATTCAGCTTATCAACTCTACATTCCAAGTTTGTCCAACATTATCAATGCCAACTAGAATCAGAAGAAGAATAACTTCGCTGAGAAGAGATGAAATCGAAAAAGAACAAGAGGAGCAAAGCCACCAAATAATTCGTCCTTTCGAAAATGTACACGGCTTACCCGTATCTTACACGGCATCATCACAATCAAGTTTCCTTAATCAGCCTCTCACAGTTAAAGACACCGGAATACTTTATTTATCATTGATCAAGTCGAGATCTAACTACCTAAAGTTATGTCCCATGTTTCAATTGTATTGGGTCAAACAGTCAAGTTATATAAAGAAGTTAGTGGAACAAGATAAGCCAATACCGGAACATTTAAAAAGGGATGACATGTATGCAAATCGATCATGTGTTTTAAATAACGACATAAGTGCGAGAGACATAATGGTGAAGCTACTAGAATGTGGGTTGAGCATAGGGGTGCACTTTTTTGATATTAGAGTATTTATTGCGAAAGATGAACGAAGCGATACGAAAGAAGAAAAGGAGAGAATGAAACGGGAACGAGCCGAGAAAAAAGCTCAAAGAGAGCAGGAGAAACTAGAAAGAAAAGCGAGAAGGGAACAAGAAATGAGGGAGAGAGAGGAGCGAAAGATCCAGAAGGAGATTGAGAAGAGAGAAGCAATACTTAAAAAGAAGGAGGAGCAGAGTCAAATCAAGTCAGAAAAGCTGGCAGGAAATAATGACGAGAAAATAGATAAATTGGAAAGTACAAAAGGATTAGCCAAGGTTTCGAAAGTGAATCTGAAAAAGGGCAAAACTGATACTCATGTAAAAACGGAGTTACATTCCAAGGAGCAATCGAAAGATTCGCCACCCCCAGTTGCAAGCAGTCATGGCGATTTACAGTCACCTGAAAATCAAAGAATGATTACTAATCTTAATTACATCGGTTCTAAAAATAAGGATTTGAATGATTTGATGAACAAGGTGGCAAGTGGGCGCGCTACTGCGCATCAAATTATGCTTTTCCAAAAGTACATACGTGAGGCAAAGAGTTTGGGGCCAGCTCCGCATAGTGAAACAGTTATCAATGAGCTAGTTGAGAAAATTAACAATGAAGTGCTAGAAGAACAACGTCTTGATGAGGGCAAGAATGACCAGAATTCGAACCTGGATCAAGAGTCCAGGTTGAACGCACATCAGGATGAGGGTGTGGCACCTCATGAGCGTGGGCCCTCAGGAGATAGGGCTAGCCTGGTAGGTGAATCACATGGCAACTCGATAGAGGATAGGGTCAAGGGAGACAGTTTAGATCCAAAGGAGCCGCATCACGAGAATGGAAACTCAAGTGGCACTTTTGTCAAAAGCGAAAAACGCGATAATCTACTGCAACAAATATACGATCCTAAGATTTCTGCAGAGGAAGTGGGTCAACCAGAAAAGAAAAAGAAAGTATTAAAGAAGGATATACCTAAGGATCAAAAATTAACTGCTTTCCAAGAAAAATACACAACTGATGCTACAGTTTTATTTGAATTTATTGAAAACCCTAATGTTCGTTTCCAGTTTCCAAAGTTTGCAATATGTGAAGTCATTGATCCTTCAACGCAGATCAATTCTGAAAATGGTGACAACTCAGACAATAAGGACATACTAGTGAGCTTCTTGTGGGTTCATAATCAGATTGCTTTGGAAAAATACGAACGAGAGTTGAGCGAATATAATGCAAAGATTAAGGAGCAGGAAGAAAAGGAGAAAAGGGAAGAAGAAGAAGAAGAAGAGCGGAAAAAAGCCGAGGCCCAGCAATCCGAGGGGACGAGTGAGAAGCCTAATGAAGAAATCTCCACCGTCTCGGATAATATTGATGCAGAAGCAGACACTAATGATCAAAAAGTAATCACCGTCAAAGACTCATCTCTAAAGGAGGCCTCACCAGACGAACAATCAACACCCACGAAAAGAAGAGCGCCTCCACCGAGGAGGGGTAAAAAGAGGCGCAAGGGCCCTCTCCCCAAGAATGTGGCTCCTAAGCCTTTGCTGCCACCAGAAGAACCAACATATTCTTATTCTAGTGTTTCTTTCACTATTCACGGGATTGCCAACAAGTTTGTTCCGATATTCGTCAATAGCATGGATCCAATTGAAAAAGTTCGAGCTAAGATGGAACACATAATAGAGAATGGAAATCGTATTACCCCTTATCAGCTTTGGTACCAAGTTGATGGAAAACTTGATGCGGAGTTGGCTGAAACTGCAAGAGTTGCTTTAAATCAGAAGGAAAAGAAAATGACTGGTATCCCAACTATTCAGGAAAAGGTCGAGCCTAAGAAATATCCTAAAAAGAAAAAAGTCAAGGAGGCGGATCGACCAGATGATAAACAAGCTAGTCCCGCACATGATTCTGTAGTAATGAAGACCGAGTTAGTAGAGGAAAACACTGTTCCTGGTGTCGAAAGAGGGTCAGATACCCAACCACCCAAAGCTTTTGAGAGTTCCAGTGGCAACGTAAATGCAACAAAGGAGCATGTGAAGATACAACTGTGATATGCTGTTACCAGAATAATTCAGAGACAAACTATGAATGGATTTATAAACGATGTAAATTATATACAAACTTTATACAAGCAATGACATGGACTCCTCTCACCTTGAAGGGAGTATCAAGTTTAACAAACTTTCCAAACTCTCATCATCAGCTTTAACTCTTTCGGAAGAACTAGCAAAAGAAGAGCCGGATGTAGGATACCTTTCGTCGGCGTCTGACCAATTACCAGTCTTGATACCTTCAGCAAAAAGTCTAATAGAACCATCCTCAGATAATTCCACTTCATTGATTTTGAAAGGCATTGTGAATTGTCTGTGATGCTTGCCAGGGTAATTCTTAGCGTAGTTTGTTTGTAAAGCGATTGAACGATCAATCACATTTGCAACAAAACCACCAATTGCCGCTTCTTTAGTGCCTACAATTCTTCCTGTTGCAACTGTATTATTTTTGATACCGTTAGGGGTGTTTTGAAGCCTGCCTTTTTGATTATAGGAGAATCCACCTGTACCTTGAACGAGATAAATATCCCCTCTCGACCTATCGTGGACGGTGCTTTCCTTCTTTGAAACTTGTTGCGAATTCTTTAGAAATTCCTTAATCAAGCCTACTATTTCTGAATGTGGTGTTTTTGTAAGTAAAACTTTTGGGTGGTTTTTGGAAATGTAGTTTCTAAAACTCTGATACAAGTTAGGATTATTGTTCAAGATTCCAATAACCGATTCTGTGTTTGCTCTGGTATCCAAATTCAAAAGATTAGTCAAGCTTCCCTCTCTTGGTGCTTTGTTGCTCTTATTGGAAGGGTGGGGAAACAACGGATTTTGCGAAGTAAAGTGATTTCTCAAAGGCATTCCCAATTCCTGAAACATTAACTGGGTATAATGATGGCCTGAATTTTTCTCCACATCAGGCATGCCTTTATAATTGTCTACATCGTTGAACGAAATGTGTGATTTGCCAATTTTAGAAGGCAACGCTGTTTTCAAACCGTAATTTGATCTATACGCACTGGAGGATGGTGTAAAAACTGTTTGATGGGTGGGTATATTTGATTGAACCCTAATATTTTTCAGGTGCGGCTTTGCTACTTGAGCTAGCCTTGAGTTTCTCACCAAGTCAAAGAGTTCCCTGCTTGTTGACATTGATAACAGGAGGGAAGTGGTAGAATCAGAATATTCTTAACTTTGAAAGTTTACTGAAAAAAAAAGTTTGAAAGAAAATTTTGAGATTTCATTCCTACTCTGGTAATCGCTACCATGTGAAATTTTTCAATCTTGCTTAGCAGATCTAGTCTATATAAACAAACTCTAAAAAGCATACGATAGTGTTATTCCTAGCTTGTTTACTTCCGGTGTACTTGTTACAGGGTTCAACGATACTCTAGCACCAGCGCTAACTAAAAAGTCTCTCAATCGACCTTCCCACAACAACCTAACACTACTATCCCTCAAGCTGGTAGACACTTTTAAAACACTTGAAAAGTCACTTTCATTCACCAAGTTTTGAAATGCTGTGGTAACTGCACCTCCATGGTGGTGAGTTGTATTACCTAGGGACCTTTGATGAGGGTGTTCACTGCTCTGAGGTTCTCTTTGGTGAGTATCGAGATGGGTGTTCCTATTTCGCAGACTATGAGATCCCCTTCTTGTCCTTCTCGAAGCTTCTTGATTTAGCTTTCGAAATGAAGTTACATCCTCATCGTCGTAGTTGGTAAAGGTTGGCTGTAGTGATTTCTTCTTTTTCGCATAACTGTACAACTCAAACCCAAGGGACAAGTTGCTGGCATAGGAAAAGAAATTAAAGTCATATTTTGAGCAAAACGTTGACGCAACTGATGTCTTTACAGTATAAGTCAGGGATATGTGACCCAAAATAGGATTCACCGCCAAAGTCATTGTTAGTGGCTTTCCAGTGGAAGTAGATCTTGTTGAGTACCTCAACGCTGAGGAAAGTCCAGGGCTCATTGTTCGTGCAGCAAACCATAGTTCTGTGCCCAAAGAGACCACTGAATTTTCAAATTTTGGAACTAGATGAGGACTGATACTTTTTGATATTGTCGTGCCCCAGTTGTACAAGCATCTTACTCCAATCAAAGATTCATTGGTTGAATAAATAACTTCTCGCAGGTACTTTGCAGTGTTGTTTTGCAAATATACAATAACAGTGCCGTTCTTCTCCAACTGTGGATGGCTCACACATTTAATCAATAGTTGCGTGTTTTCGTTAAGGCGTTTAATAACCATTGCTTCCAACGCTGAGCCTGGAAAATACATGCGGCCATATAGTAGCAGCGGTTTTTGATTTGGGCCGTAGTCAGTTTGCGACTTCCCTTGCAATTGACTTGCTTTCATGATAGGTTCTATTATTCTGAATCCTGCGATTGCCTCCTGTAATGATATCTCTTTTGTCCCCATTGTGTTGGTCAACGGTATCAGGGAGTACAAGTACGCTAAAGACCCATTTATCTGATGGAAATTGGATAATGTAAATGATGATGCCAGGTAGTCAGATGACTTTGATGAAGAGTCTATTTTCAACCCATTGGGTATTGGGAAGTCAAGGATAGCTTGTGGTGTTGCAATTATATTGGAGAAAATATTATCCTCGTTCCAGCCCGTGGTTTTGTAGAAACATCTCTGAAGGTATTCCATGTATGTGTACATATTTTAATGACCTTTGTCGGTCTTGTTTTTGCGTGGCTTGATTATGGATGATATTTTGTTTTCACTTTGCAAAAACTACATTTTTGCGCTAAACTATTATATTGACCGCCTCTGCGCTATAAATAGCTGTGTTTACTTTGTGAGAATTATTAGGGGGAGTTGAATAGCGGCATGTTTACTTAATGCTTACGCCACAAACTCAACCACAGTATAACCTTAACATGTGGTTTAGCACTCCCATCTTTACATTGTTAAGATTGTCGTGAGTTGGTTTATCTCGACACGACAAAATTAGATGACTCAAAGAGTCTGAAAATTTATTTGGCGAGACTCCATACAAAGCTGAATAATTATTTTTTCCTATTCCACCTCCCCCATAATCATCTCTACATCAAAGCAAATTAATAAGATGTCTCAACAACGCCGAGAAGCATTCATTAAAAGGAACACCAATGAAACCAAAATACAGATTGCAATCAGTTTAGATGGAGGTGCAGTCAGCATACCTGAATCTATCTTTCCCAAAAAAGACCACGCTGAAGACCATGCCGCTCAATACACTGGGGGCCAGCAAATCAACATTCAAACTGGTATTGGATTCCTTGACCACATGTTTCATGCTTTGGCCAAGCATTCTGGATGGTCTTTGCTTATCGAGTGTATTGGAGACTTGCACATTGATGATCATCACACAAGTGAAGATGTTGGTATTGCGTTAGGTCTTGCGCTCAACAAAGCATTGGGTCCAATCAAGGGCGTTAAGAGATTTGGACACGGCTATGCACCCTTAGATGAAGCATTGAGTAGAGCAGTTGTCGATTTATCAAATAGACCATATGCTGTGATTGATTTAGGGTTAAAGAGAGAAAAAATTGGAGATTTATCAACGGAGATGATTCCTCATATATTGGAAAGCTTTGCTCAACTGGCGTCTATTACCATCCACGTCGACTGTTTGAGAGGGTTTAATGATCATCATAGAGCAGAGAGTGCATTCAAAGCATTGGCCATTGCCATTAAGGAAGCAACTTCCAAAACTGGCAAGGACGATGTCCCAAGCACCAAGGGGGTGTTGTCGTAAGGGAACTCGTTACATGTGTTGGGTTTGATATGCACTTTGAATGGTGCTAATAGAATGTGGATTACTTCTTCAAGCTATTTGTTCTTCTTAGTCTAATTTTCCATTTCGAAGCGAGGTAAGCCAAGCTCCAAAAATAAAGCACTAGACTTTGAAGTATATAGCAGAAGCTTTTCCCTTATTATTTATAACTTATATAGCTACAATTGAAGACACTATACTACAATTTAACAAAAATTAACGCGTTCAATTTTATTATAATTGAGTTTGTAATTCTCTGCCTCGGCTCTAAATTGATTGCAATAAAATGAGAAGATACGACTCTCCAATAAAGTCTCCTTCATTTTTGTGCAACAGCATATGCAGCAGAACACGTTACAAAACGACACACCTTATGTGGATTGCGTTTAATTCAAACTCTCCCAATCAGTTCTTTTGAACATACTTCATCAGCTCCAAGGAGGAACATGGCATGCAGCTGTCAGGCACTACTATGATAGGTAAAATGCTGGCCTTGGAACATTTGATTTCCCTACACTGATAAAGGAGCACACATCCATTATGCAAAGAGATAATCAATAGTAGAGAATGGTTATCACGTTATAATACGAGACAAAAGCTTATACAATGCCGCGAATTTCTTAACTGGAAACCCACTTGTAATTATGTTGACTGCGTCAAATTTTCGAGATTAAGCTTTATACTTTTCCAATACGTCTTGGCATACACGAAATTAATCTACAAGACAATACTGGGGTTTAACGCTTAATATAATAAATGTATTTCCCCAAAATAGCTGGATTCAGATTATAGGTTATCCGGGATTTCTTAACCATAGTAGGAACGGTGCGACTAATGCTTTTGTGATTACACTTGTCTTGGTCTTACAAACTTTTGGGGTTTTCAATACACGATGCCGGCACTTGTGGGGCCTTCCAGATATTGTGATTTCAATTCAATGGCTAGTAATATTATAAATGGATAGCCAAATTTATCACTACTTAAACCTTTGAATCTGCTTTCATAAACTAGCTATTGATAGTTTGTTTTAACCAGTTCACAAAAATGACAGAGGAGAAAGATGCTGAAACAATGCTGAAGCTCGAGCCAGTCATTTCATTTACCAAAGATGATCTAGAAAACAAGCACAAACACGTTTTAACAACGATTGAGTCCCCTGGAGGAGAAAAGATTGAGATTACAAACAATGTTGATGTGGCGATGAAGTTTGCGATCGAGCACAAGGGTAAGTTTACGGGGTTGGATCCAGCCACCGACAAAAGGATTTTACGAAAGATTGACGCGTATTTGCTTCCTGTCATGTGTTTGTTGTACTGTTTTCAATTCATGGATAAATTGAGTACCAGTTATAGTGCAATTTTAGGATTGAGAGAAGAATTGGGCATGGTGGGGGATATGTACAGTTGGACCTCAACCTGTTTCTACATTGGATATTTAGTTTTTGAGTTTCCTGCGTCATTGATTCTTCAAAGGTTCCCAGTGACCAAGGCAGTGAGTGCATTCATTATCTTTTGGGGAATGATACTCGCCTTGTGCTCGGTTCCACAATACCCTGGATTTGTTGCGTTGAGAACGATTTTGGGCATGCTTGAGCTGTCGGTTACCCCTGCTTTTGCCATTATCACCTCGCAATGGTACAAGAAAGATGAGCAATTTTTGAGGACAGCATGGTGGTTTGCATCGAATGGTATTGGTGGCGACTTAGGTGTTTTGATTGCATACGGCCTATTCAAGAACCAAGACTCCTACGCTTTACCAGCTTGGAAGTTGGTGTTTGTAGTGACGGGTGTTTTAACCGTGTTTTTGGGATTCATTATCTTGCTTCACATTCCTGATACTCCAACTGGAGCTTGGTTCTTTACAGAAGAGGAGAAAGTCTTGGCTGTTGAAAGAATCAGATCCAATCAACAAGGATTTGGTAACCCAAGGTTCAAGAAGGAGCAATTTTGGGAAGCGTTGACTGATCATCGTACCTGGCTCTTCTTTTTCTTGGCCGTGGCACACAACATTCCCAATGGTGGTATCACAACATTTGGAACAGTGTTGCTTAATGAACAGTTTGGTTTTGACACGGCAACCGCTTTATTGATGCAATTGCCTTCAGGCGCAGTTGAAATAGTGGGCTGTGTGTTGTTTGCGTGGCTACTGAAATTTATGAAATCACGTATGTTGATGGCATCTTTTGTTGGAGGGATTACTGTTATGGCTGAATGTTTATTAGCATTTGCACCAACAAATGAAGGGAAACTTGCAGGCCTTTATTTGTGGTATATCAGTCCCCTTTCTTTTATTTGCATTATATCTCAAGTGTCATCGTCCGTTGCTGGCCATACCAAGAAAGTCACAGTTAATGCTATATTCTTGATTGGATATTGTATTGGAAATTTGATTGGTCCCCAAACTTTTATCGCTAGTCAAGCACCCGACTACCCAGGTGCAAAAGTTGCAATAGTTATTTGCGGTACTGTTGCATTAGGGTGTTTGATTACAATCCATATCTCCTATTATTTGGATAATAAGAAGCGTGACTCGTTGCCTCCAGTTGACATGTCCCACATTGAGAACTATGAGTTTGCTGATCTCACTGATAAGCAAAATCCTAATTTTAGATATGCACTTTAATTTTGTTGATGATTTTGCTCTATGCAAGCTACATTGTATTTTTTTAACACTCTGAACTGGTTTATGAATGTACGACTATTTTAGAAAGGCAACAGCCGAGTAGTTTAGGTGGACTTAATCTCTGTTTGTATCTCTTAGTATCGTCAGAGTTAGACTATCTATCCAAATCGAACAGAGGTTTTGCGGGGACAAGAACTCAAAGTAGATTTTTGAGAGCTAAGAAAAGTAAATATGGAAAACGAGAAAGCTTGTTTTCTCACTTCTTTTCACTGCTAATGTTATTATATGTATTGGAAACATATGTCACGGTTTGGCTATCACACCATTTTGACTCTGTCATAGAGTGGTCAGCCGCATGAGAAAATATCTCATGGTAGAATTACGTTAAAGTAATACCCCCTCAAAGTTTAAAGAGTGAAAATTGGATGGGCGGGGGAACCTTCATTGATTTTGATTTGACGATCAGTCATTAACACGGTGAGCTCAGAACGCCAAAACCTTAAGTTGAGCTAAAAATCGTGATCTAACTATAACTATGCTTTCTATGTACACAGTACGACAACTTACGGGTAACCTTCTCCGATATCCAGATCATATAGCGAGAATCGTTGACGATATGATAAGTTGATTCAACCTATTTAAAGTACTGTCGCTGTTTCAGAAATCCAAGCAAAGAAATACAAAATGCAGCAATCAGTTCGAAAACGAAATGGTTGAGAAAATGGATTCACAAGTACCGGTTGAGCCCGTGGTTTCTTTTACCAAGGAGAACTTGGAAGACAAAAACGAGCATGTCTTGACGACAATTGTCTCACCTGGTGGCAAGGAGATAAAGGTCACAAATAATGTTGATGTAGCTATGGAATTTGCCATACAACATAAAGGTGAATTTAAAGAATTAGACCTGGTCACCGATAAGAGAATTTTACGAAAGATTGACACGTTCTTACTTCCAATATTGTGTTTGTTGTACTGTTTTCAGTTCATGGATAAATTAACTACCAGCTACAGTGCAATATTAGGATTGAGAGAAGAATTGGGCATGGTGGGGGATATGTACAGTTGGACAGGGACATCTTTCTACATTGGGTACTTGGCTTTTGAATTTCCTGCATCGCTATTACTTCAAAGGTTTCCTGTAACAAAGACGGTTGGTGCATTTATAATTACATGGGGCACAATCCTTGCCTTATGTTCAGTTCCAAGTTATCCTGGCTTCATAGCTTTGAGAACGATTTTGGGTATGCTTGAGCTGTCGGTTACCCCTGCTTTTGCCATTATCACCTCGCAATGGTACAAGAAAGACGAACAATTCTTAAGAACTGCTTGCTGGTTTGCCTCCAACGGGTTTGGCACTATTATTGGTCTGTCTATTGCATATGGGTTGTATGGAAATCAGGATAGCTATAGTTTACCTGCTTGGAAGTTGGTATTCGTAGTCACTGGTGTGTTGACAATCTTTTTGGGGTTTGTTATCATGATACACATACCCGACACACCAACTAAAGCGTGGTTTCTTACGGAAGAGGAAAAGCTTTTGGTTGTGGAAAGGATTAGGTCTAACCAGCAGGGTTTTGGTAATCCAAGATTCAAAAAAGAACAATTCATTGAAGCGTTAACCGATCACCGGACGTGGTTATTCTTTTTCTTTTCTGTATTTCAGATGATTCCCAATGGCGGAATTACGAGTTTTGGGACAATCTTATTGAATGAGCAATTTGGATTTGACACAGGAACATCACTCTTGATGTATTTCCCATCAGGTGGGGTTGAAGTTATTGGATGCATTGGGTTCGCATGGGCCTCGAGATTCGTCAAATCTCGTATGTTGGTTGCAATTTTTTGTGGATGCCTCACAGTTATGGCAGGATCTTTATTAGCATTTGCGCCTACAAATGAAGGAAAGCTTGCTGGACTTTACTTGTACGACCTTAGTATTGTTTGTTTTATTTGTATATTGTCTCAAGTTGCTTCATCCGTTGCTGGTCACACAAAGAAGGTTACCGTGAATGCTATATTCTTGATTGGGTACTGTGTTGGAAACTTGATTGGACCACAAACATTCATTGATAGTCAAGCACCTACATACGCTGGGGCAAAGATAGCAATTGTTGTATGTGGTACAAGCGCACTTGTATGTTTGGTTGCTATATACCTCTCTTACTACAGGGAGAATAAGAGACGTGACTCGTTGCCCCCAGTGGACATGAGTCATATCGAGAACTACGAGTTTGCCGACTTGACAGACAAGGAGAATCCTAATTTTAGATATGCACTTTAGTATATGCACTTTAGTTTATGACTTTTAATTTAAATGTCGCGCAATTTTCTGAATTTATCTCCCCTCCCTTCTTCCTTACATCTAGCAAATGGAAGGTTCAATTTCTATTTTAAATGACATGTTGGAGTCACCATCCGACGCGTCTTTTGGACTAGCACAACTAGACTTGTTTCTTTTAGACCTACTTCCAGATATTGAGCAGTATCAAAATAACCACACATTGTCTCCACAGTTGGAAGAGTTGATCAAACTACAAGACAGTTTTGGGTATAATCTCACTACGCGTCTCGTCAAATTATACAATTTAGAATTATCCATAAAGGACATTGCACTATTGAATGGAAATTTACAAGTACTATTGTTGTTGCATCCCAAGTCAAAGACTGTTTTCAATTGTGATAGGAATATGTCCGGGATTTTAGATGTGTTGAATAAATACAAGGGAGATAAGTTTGTCATTATTTCAACTATAACAACATTGATACATATTTTATTAAAAGATTATAATAACTATCGCAGTTTTGAGAGAGGTTTTGGGTGCCCGTTGTTGATTCAGCATATAACATTAGATACTATAGATGATATAACCGTGGATGATGCACCACAGTCTAGTTCCGGCTCATCGCATAAAGCTAACATGCTCTATTCGGAGGAACAACTATTGAATTTCAAAATAATAGAGTTTTTGATGCTTTACATGAGTGAAGAGATTGGCAATCCTGATCCATACACTGTCGAAATGAAGACGGACTTGTTTAGGGACGAGTTACCAGAGATTGACTTCTTAGTGCAAAGTTTAAATGAATTAAATAAACTATAGCTTCATACTTTATCGTGGACCTCTTTTATAATTCACGACTTGTAAACCCAGCGATTATTGGCATACTTGTTTTGTTGAGTTTTAGCTGAGTCTCCGTTGTAAATAGTGTAGTCATTTACTTGGCTATATTTGGGGATGTTGCCGTTAACTAAGTTATGATCATTGTTGTATTGTCTTTGTTTAAAGATTAGGTCTGCTTCATTTTCGTCATCTTTGTCCACCTCATCCACATTCAAACCGATCAATTTTCTTTGGTTGTGGCTCAAAGGGAGGTCCCAGCATTGGTCTTGACCTTTTAGCAACTTGATTGTGGAAACAAGAATATTAACAACGGGCCATGTTGTTAGTATTTGCTCAGCAATGGCAAAATAAATGCTTCCCACAACCGTATCAAAATCGAAGCGGGTGTTGTACATCATCTGCTTGTAAAGTGGTTGTGCTTTCAAATTTATCTCGTACAAGATGATGAACTTCTTTAAAAGCGATTTGAATAGTAGTAAAACAATTAAATATAGTACGTTGCGTAGCAACGATTTGGTATAAAATTCGAGATCCACTTGTCGAGAAAGCGCTTGCTTGACAATTGGATTTTCCCATTCCCCAGTTGGAGAAAAGCTGCTGTATTCATCCAAATTTTCGTCTTCTTCAATTGTATAATTGTTGGTTTTGCTTTCCATGTTTTTGTTCGATTGTAATTTACTATGATAAAAACGGGGTATATTATTCTTTACAGAAGCACTCTCCCCGAGGTTCACATTAGGAGGGAGAAAATCTTTGATTTCATTGTGAAAGTCTTTGATGCCTGAACTAGGCAATTGGTAATACAATGGACGATCATGACTCTTTATTTTATCGAGTTTACGTTGCTCAACTTCACGTTCTGCTTTAAGAGCAAGTTTCGTTTGTAAAATCTTCAAATGAATATCACTTATAGAAGTTGCATCTAAAGGTTTTTTTGCCAGTAAATCTGATAAATCGGTTAGTTCCTTCTGCTGATCCGATTTGAACTCCATTCGTGATGATGTATTGTTCGGTAGTTTAGTTAATATATGGTTAGACCTCGTTATGTTTCCATCAATCCCTAATTGTGGACACGTATAAGAGTCAAACTCTATTAATGCATCCTCGTATATCTTATCAGATCTGGCTTGTGTTGTCATTGTAGTAATTGGCATGGGAGATGCATCAATCAAACACACAAACATTTATTGACATTTCGGTTTTTGTTTTCTCTAAAGCAGGTCACGTGAATCTCTCTCTATAAAATCAATCATCTCGAAGGGAATGAAAAAAAAAAAAAAAAAACTTCATTCATCAAAGATTCTTTCTATTTTCTTCTTACCACTCAATAACAGAATAGGGATAGTATGTACTTATTTTTAAGATTTACATGATGAATAAAATGTTTACACAGACCTGTACCGAGTGAATTGGTCACCACCTTTTCTACTCTGAAGGATAACGACATGCCTCTTCTGACATTGAAAATCCATGGAATACAGAGCTTGAATACTAATTAAAAGATAGTCCGAATTTTAGCAGGTCTAAAGTTTATAGAAATTAAATAAATGTTTCATTGAGTGAATGAATAAATGTAGATTTATTAGAACGAATTGACTCCTCTATGCTGAAGAGTTAGACTGGGCATTTCGAGTACATACGATTCTCTTCCTAGTACAAGTGCTCTCCCCATCTACAATCAGTGCTCACGTTAGTTTTAATATATATTAACAGTTGAACCTAAAAAGAATGCTACATGTGTATTGAAATACCCAAAAAAATGAAATGGCCATTTACAATATCATTTATTTCTTAGCAGTCAATCTTCTCAAGTAGAAAGCTAATTCTTCACCTTCCAAGATGTAACCATCACATCTTCCAGATTGACCTGGTCTTGATGAGATAACAGCGTACAATCTACCGGCACCGAATTGTGAGTCAACAGCGGATTCAATAGTAGCGTTACCGGATCTGCTAGCCAATTTTCTCTCCAATTTTCTGGACTTCTTGACATCAGCTACGTCGGAGGCAACTGGTTGGTTCTTCTTCTTACCCAAAGTTCCACCATAGTGGTTTTCGTACCATTGTCTGAATGGAGTAGCATCAATTTGGACAACAGCGGACTTGGTCAAGGTGTTGGTTCTGACCAACTCGTTATTGGATGGATGGTAAACGACACCAGCAATTCTGGTCTTTCTTGAAACACCTTCGGAGGCCCATGAAAAGTTACCGGTTTCAATTCTTAAAGCTCTGAACTTTTGGTTACCACCTCTGGTTCTAACGGTGTGGATTCTCTTTGATCCAATCTTGGTGTTGGCTGATTGTCTACCTAATTCGAACTTTCTCTTCTTTCTGAATTGAGCTCTCTTGGCACCAGTGGCGCTTCTTTTGTGACGTGAATCTCTAGAAATACCCATGTTTACTAAAAGATAGATGTTAGTATTTTGATGCGAGGGAGCACAGCACTATTGGCATTAAAGCAGTGCTACTCAAGTATTGCTTGATATTGAATGGACTATGTTGAGTGCTCAGCGGTTCACTTAAGAACCATTAAGCTTATCCATAAACATTTCCCCATCTCCTTTCCCAAACTCTCCAAACTACGAGGTTGTTCGTTGTGTTTTCCCTCAGATTATTCTTCTGCTTTAGTTGCCAATGTGTCTCCTTTAATAGCTTTTGGTATAAACATACACTTCTATATCACTGATGTATTTGGTAAAAGAAGAATTCAGAACAACTCTAAGATTTGATAAAACGAAAAATTTTTAATAAGGCAAAAATTGTTAGTGTGTGTGGTAGTGCGACAAAGCAAAGGGAAAATGAAAAATTAAAAAAAAATCATTTGGTAGCGGAATACCAACAAGGCCCAAAATGGTAGTGCGAGACAAACAACATTTCAAGTGTGCGCACACTTCTGAAAAAGCAAATTAGGGCTTTGCCCTAATCAGATGATGGCTTTTGAATTTCTTTTTAATGCGAACTCGAAAAAGAAACTTCATCTCCGATAAGATGTGTGATTCGAAGCTTTAAAGTCAAAGCATGCTTTAGCGACTGATACAACAATAACACGGACGTAGTGTACACACATATATCAAGTTCAGTATGGAAACAGTCTACGATGAGATAGAGATAGAAGATTTCACATTTGATCCTGTTACTCAGTTGTTTCAATACCCCTGTCCTTGCGGAGATCGATTTGCCATCAGCATTGATGATTTACAGGATGGTGAAGATATTGCCGTTTGTCCTAGCTGCTCATTAATGGTGAAAGTTATATTTGAGCCTGAGGATTTACAAGAATATTTGGATGAAATCAGTTGATAGAAGTGGGGAGATAGAATTCATGATGTTATGAAATGAATCCGATTTATGAGCCAGAGGGTGGACAGACAATACACGTTTTGAACAAAGACTTGATGGTCAGCAACGTCATAGTCGGCTTCAGATAGATAAATTGCGCTTGTCGATATCTGTTCTAAATTGAGGACTTTCATGTCCCAAAGTTGTTCACAAACAGTACGTTATTAGTAGTTGAGCTTGTTTGAAATAAGCTTATGCTCATTACTAGAATAGTCAGAGTCGTCTACTTGCGAAGGCGCTCCCCTATCATGATGAATACCTTCAAAGTTTGTTTTATTTTCATATGCAATTTGTATCCATTTGCTGGACATAGAGCAACACAAAGAGGCACTTGGTATTATGCTGAGGTTAATCAATCCTTTATTCCTACCAGTGGCGCCCTTTGGCTCATGTTTGCCCCCTTCGGAGTTAGAATAGTGATGCTTTTGTAACCAAAGATAAAGCACTTTGTATAAAATGTATCGTTTGTGGGGAACATCTAATTTGGTCTGAATTACTTTGTAATATTTAAAACCGTTACTCAGGGCTTGTAAATCTGTTGTTTTTTTTTTTTAAATAAAAACTCCATTCCACTTTTAGAGGTTATGATACTTTGGCCGAGCAACGGAGTAAGAACGTTATTGCCGATGATTTTGGCAATTTTTCCAAATAGGAAATGGTGTAATTTTTTTACTGTTCAAAACCATAAACTAAAAGTGGTTTGTAACCAGGTTCAACTTCTTTTATTTTTTAAAGTTCTTTAGTGTTAATTTAGAAGCCCCCTTAATAGAGTTAGAAACAATACCGCTTAACATGCACTGCGTGCAGAATTTAAAAGTGAAAAAAATAAAGTTTTTGGTTTTAGCTTTCGAGATTCACCATGTGAAATTTTAGGCGAATCAGGACAAGATAACCTCTGCAACGGTTTTGAGCCTATTTTATTAAAAGAAAAGCCGTTTTGAATAATGAAATAAAGAGAAGTCCGTACTATTTACTATGTAGACGCATGTGATAGCGTTAATTCTGAATGCAGTGTACGTGACGTAAACCTGCAAAGTTGATCTCATTGCATGATACCGTTTAATGGGAGTGGTGTCAAAATGGGGTAAACAATGATTTTAATTTCCAGGCTTGGTACGGGTTAGTTTTGGATAAGTAAAGGCGTCAGCAAGCATTTGTCCTGGAGTACATCCAAAAAGACACATTTGGTCAAAGTGAAAGTAAGAGTGAAGCTCTATGTCATAGTGTACTTTCTTTTGTATAGACACAAACGGAGCTATTGCAAATTTAAATAAATACTCATCCACTTCCTTTTGAAGAAGTTTTTTTTGTTTCCTTTCAATTCCATCAGGTTTTTAGATGTTGCTTATGTGAAATGAAAGAAAGAAGAAGGTTTATTGTTTTCTGTCAAATTGAATTTTTTTTGTTTGTCTTTTTTTTTTCTATTAATAAAATGCGGGGTAATTTATGAAAATCTTTTTTTTTTTTAATTTTAAATTTAATACTTTTATTTATTTTTAATTCTTTTTTTTTTTCTTTTTGTTTTCATTTGTTGTATTAAAAATGTACAAAACATTAAGAGAGCGTCTGCATTTGTTTCAATTGAGAATTTTATTTCAGCTATTTTTGATTGTTGTTATTGTTTGCTATATACTTTTCTGCAAAAAACTATTACTCAATGTGGAAACTATCCTGGGCTTAGAAAGAAGGAATGTGAAATGTATCGAAGAAGAGGGTTTTGAGGCACAAGCGGTTATGAAGCCTAGTAGTGGCCCGCAAAACCTTATTTATGTGTATGACACGCTGTAAACATTTGCAGAATTTCTTCAAGACACCTCTAACAACAGACAGTTGTTGGAAAGTAAACGTTCTTTGCTAGTGTTTCGCTTATTGTTAGTTGTATTGATTTAAAAGGCAAAAACGTAAGCGGGGTAAAAAAGAGGAGAAGGATTGTATTTTATTAAAAACGATGACCATTGACCTTGTTTCGGTTTTCCTGTATCAACAACAAGTGGGAAACAATGTATGCATACAAAGGAGTGGTGAAAGAACAATAGAGACAGAGTTGCCTTGTATTTGCGAAGAATATTAAAATAAAATAATTTCAATAGGCTCTTGCGCAGAAGTTCGGATATTACAATAATAGAACAAAGCCAGTAGAAGTACACAACAGACCTTCTCCTTTCTCTCCACTTGCTTAGTCAAAAGCTCGAGTGAACAGTATATTATATAGCCAATGGCTCAGTTTTGTGTACTTGGCAAGCATGTATCAGACGTAAACGAGATGTCTAATAACTAAGGAACAATACTTTGACATAATTATAATAAGCTTTGATGATTCAAAGATAAACGGAAAATGGAAGAAATGTTAATAATAATAAACGCCTCCAATTCCATTGCCGATCAATGACTGTGGTGGGATGGGAAATGAATGAACAGTTTGGACCATTACATTGTTGCCTTAATATCATCATATTGAGGTAAAACGTTTTAATGTCTTGTTGCATGCAATTTTTAATATGTCATCCAAGATGCTTTTTCTTCTCAATAGTCTTGCCAAAATTCTTGAAACAGTTTTGTTAGCATTCGTTTCCTCGGCTAGGGGCTTTTTCAAATGCTATATTGTAACTATTTTGGCATCTAGTTTAGGTAAACTAGTTAATTCAACTTGAATTTGCAATAGATGTAGGAAGATACCGGATTAAAATCTTCGTCCTGCGTCTATCTATGGCTCGTTCTAGATCCTTTCAAAACTTCTTCAATTTGCGTTCATTCTCGAAAGACGTAGCCTACTGTGCTTTTGTGATATTGTCACACAGAAGATCTTTCAGATTCTCTCTTAGATATTTTGGCTGTTCGGCAACCATTACCGAATCCAAAAATACCAGTGTTTTGTGTTCAATCTAAAAATCATGCCATTAACGTTTGAGGAAAGTTGTTAATAAAGCTTTATTGCAAACAAACAACCGCAACAGCAAACAGTATGTTACACCGACTGAAGCGCGCAACTCAACTGACGGCAACAATAGGACCAACAAAAAGGAACAAGAATAGACAAAAAACAAAGTACATGGAAAAACCAGGCAAACAAACCGCCTTTGAGAGAGAGTTTAAATATAGAAACACCAACAAAGCACTCAAGGCTATTTCAATCTCAAATGTAACAAGATATTTGAGAATAATAATAAAAAATTTTTATATACACGCATGTGAATATTGTTGTCTCCTGTACGAAGTGTTAATCAATATTTTCTTGTCAACTTTTGATGCTTTTACTTGTGTTTCTCAATCTCATTCTCTGTTTCTACCTCAAAATAGGAAGCCCCAGACAAGAGAAGTCAAGATAGGACACGGTATTCCTTCGTTGTCCACTTCGGTTTTGTAAGCATGTTGCTTTCCTTTTGAAGTATTTTTTTTTACCTGGCGGTGTTGTGCATTTGAGGAGGTAAAAAAGAAAATTGAATTGTAAGAACGTTCTACGCCATAATGCAATACAACGCAGCACATCGCAACGCAACGCGACGCAAGGGCTTGTCCATCTACCCGCCTTGAAATTAGTTGGCTTGAGTCGTTCCCTTTTATTAGCCGGTTGGTTAGTCAGAAAACGGCTTTTGTAAAGTTAAAAAAATAAACGGCAGTTTAACTCCGAAAAGTGAAACGACGCAAAAACCTCTTCTGTTTCATTTGCGTATTCCACACTGAGACACACTTTTAACTATAGTCGTATGTTTCAGTATTTGGGGGAGCACTCCCAGTCTTCTGAAACCTGAGGGTGGGAGTAGAAAGGTGGGGCGGTGAACAGTCTTCCATATTGGTATTTGCATAGAGTGCAACAATAAATATGCAGCAAGTGAGAGTGTGAGCATCTAAACAATGTCAAATTACATATGGTAGTGCAACGTTCGTTCTTTTATTCTCGATATCGCTCTGTATAAAGTTGGAGGAGCGCAAACGTTTGAACTACGAAATTAAAGTTATTTCGTATTGTTGCTACTAAATATTGATGTAAGGATGTGTATTAAAATTATGTCGTTTGTGTAATAATAAGCTAATTTTTATTTTATTAATTTTGTTTTTTTCACGGGATGCTCATTACCGAGGCCGAATAAAAGAAAATAAAAATATAAAAAAAAAGGATCTCTGGTCTTTTTTTAACCGAAAGTAGTATCGTAAAAATACTGTTGAGATTGTTACTACTAGTGCTGCGCGATAAACAGAGGATCAAGGTTAGTAAGTATCTTCTTACTAATGTGTATAGTAGCAAATATACATATATGTATGCGCAGTTGCCTTAACTCTTTTAGGAAGGTAACTTGCGTGTCTTGTTCTTTCTTCTGCTTGTTAATAATCCCTTTGACAAGAGATTTGTTAATCTCTATGCATGTGTATTTGCCTACGCACAATGTGCTAAATATTCCACAAACAATACAAAAAGACAAATAGTTAATTTTTATTCTTTTAAAGGAAGGTTTTGTTTCTCTCTTTATGAATTGACATTGTTCTTGGGTTTGGTTTAAATGTGACTCTGTCCCCAGAGAACAATAGAATTTTTGTCCAAAGTCAACGACGATCCCTTTTACTTTTTCTTTCTTCATGTTGACACTACTGCTAGTGTTCCTAGAGAGAATATTCGCTTTTTAACGGGTATATGGGAAAGAGAGCCAACACGATAACTATTGTGTCTTACCTATTGTTTAACAGATCTTGTTTTTTTTTTTTTCAAAATTAAATTTAATTTTCTATGTCATAGCCATTCTTTTAATTTACGAATGCAACTGTTACATTGGAGCAGAAAACCAATATGCAAAGATACACTTATCTGTGTTTCGGTTGCCTCTGTCATAACAAGGAATTTATCACCAACCAACAAGGTAATCTCTGCAGTTAGTGCCGCCTTTTGGTAGGTAGCTTAAGTTTCTTTTTCCCAAATAAACGTTGAAGTTAGTAGAAAAGTACGCAACGTTTTGTTTAAAAAAATAACAAAATAACCCGAGGAATTGTCCTCCTTGCTTCTTTGTTTTGGAATAATACATACAAATTTATTTTTAAAAAGAATAATAAAAAATAGAACAGCAGAATCAGCAAGTGCATGCAACATGTCAAAACAATAGATCTCTGTATAATGCAAGTCACCAGGATGCAGTTACAGGTGTAGGTGCAGAAACAGAAGCAAAAGAACAAGAGAAATATGTCAGAAGAAAGCTCCACAGATAAACTGTAATAAGTAAATTTAAATTCCGTCAAGGTTCATTGTAACCCCTTCTCTTCCTCCTTCCCCTTGATAGCAACCAAGAGGAGATCTTCTGTGTGACTTAGCCCTTTCTTTGTCGTTCAGATTCAGTTGGAGCTAAAATATCAACAACAGTTGTAGCCACAACAATATGTATTTTATTAATAATAACACAATTGTACAACACAATAAACACAGTGAACTTTATGCCTTATTATCATAAACATTATCGACTTTTGCTCCCCTTCTTTTTTTTCTTTCAGTCTGAGTTTGATTCTGTGTCAGTTGCCACGTCTATCGGTATCTCCTCGCCCTTCCCCCTCTTTACCGTTTAGTAATCAAATTGAACAAGAAGGGTTTTTTTTGTAATTTTGCTATTGCTGTTGTTCTTGAGTCTCGTTTAAAAGGAGTTGAATCTTCCGGTTGTTTCCATAAAAATTGGTTGTCTATTTTAACGACGCACATGAATAAGCAGTAGACGTGTCCGTTTCTCGTATGCCAAATGACCACTATTGACAGTTTGGGTATGGTATTACAAGGGAAACACAGAGAGAGAAACGTTACAACCTAAAGCGTTTTGAAACAAAAGAACAACGGAAGGTTGCATACATAATCACAGACGTAGGTACATATTACATTATTTCACATGGGTGAGTTGGTAGGTTAGCTGTTTGGTATGTAGGCTGGCTGAAATGTTTGGGTGTTTAAGGGAGATATTACTTATTGCTTTAATCCCTCTCTTTGACCGCTGTTGCATATGTGCATACATTGTTGTTGTATACAATTGGCACAAATTTAACCCCCCTCTCCACTCACTCACAAACCTGACAGTAAAAGTGTTTAGAGTTACAAAATGGAAAAACAAATTTAGGTTTGAGATTTATTGTTCTTTTTGTTACACCACACGCACATCACACGGATTTAAAACAAATTAAAAGAAAACAGAAAAAATAATATAAATAAAATATAAAAATAAAATAAATAAAAAAATAAAATTCTCCAACCGCCAACAAAAAAAATAAAATTTAAATTAAAAAAAAAAAATTAATAAAGTTGAAAAGAACACAATCTTAAGAATTATGTAATAGTATATATATATATATGTAGACAGGTATTACTCTTCAATTACATTTAAAAATATCAAATATTCCTATTCATAGTTTATACATACACATATACCAACACCAACCATCTACAAAGAGCAGGTCTCTTTTATGCAAACAAAACATCAGACAATAATATCTTTAATTTGTTTTATTTTTTATTTTTTATTTTCAGTTTCATTATTAATTTTTTCTAAATTGCAACCCCAATCTTCAACTAATAATTTTGCAAGATGTACGATAAACCTGGTCAATTTCAGTATTTGTCACCACCTAATCATCAGGAATCCTCACATCAACCATATTCCTACCCACAACAACAACAACAGCAGCAACAACAAAAAGATTTTGCTCCTGTACAAGGTGGCAGAAGCAACCCTAACTATCTACCTTCGCTTTCTCATCATAATATCCCACCATACCATCACCAAATGGAGCCATCTCATTTACCACAAGCTGTATATCCCTATGAATATCAGCAGCAGCAGCAACAACAGCAAGAACCTTTTTATGGAGCGCACAACCAACAACAGACCACTACAAACCAATACTCTTCATACACAAACAATTCACCAAATATGCCATCTACAGCCATCCCAAATGTCAATGGTGGTAACAATAATAGTAACCCAGCTAACAGACGTGGTCCATGGTCCCCAATGGAAGATAAAAAATTACTTGAACTTATATCAATGTATGGCGCAACAAATTGGGTAAGAATAGCCAATACTTTGGAAACTCGTACCCCAAAGCAATGTCGAGAGAGATATCATCAGAATTTAAAACCTAGTTTGAACAGAGCCCCAATTACAGTTGAAGAAGGTGAATTAATTGAGAAATTGGTGGCTCAGTATGGGAAAAAATGGGCAGAGATCTCACGTCATTTGAATGGAAGGTCAGATAATGCCATTAAAAACTGGTGGAATGGTGGGGCTAATAGAAGGAGAAGAGCTAGTTTGGCGACATCTACCAGCACCAACAGCAACAGCAGTAGCAGCAACAATAATAATAACGGCAATGATGCTAAAGCTTATGAGTATAATCTGCAACAGCAGCATCAACAACAGCAACAACAGCAACAGCAGCATCAACAACAGCAACAACAGCAACATGAACAACAACCCCAGCAGTCGCAACAATACCAGCATCTGCAAGCAGAGATTGGAGGTGATGCGAAACCAAAGACAGCATCGTCCTTACCACCACCTCCACAACCTCACTTTACAGCTCCTCCTATGGGGGTATCCTCAAGCTTATCCAGTATAAATGGGGTCCCAACATCCTCATACCAAGCAAGTAAATTGCTTGGAACAATGACTGCCACTACCGCTGCCGCTATAGGTACCACACATTTACCTCAAATCTCATTCAATACATCAATGTTTGGGGGTGATAAGCAGAGTGATCATCAGTCATTACCTAGTATAAATTCGTTTGCGAATGGCAAATCACCCATACTACCATCTTTATTAAAACATCATGATACTAGATCTGCTAGTTTCGATACGGGATCAACTGCTGCTACTGCTGCATTACCATTTACAACTACTACTTTACCGCCAATTTCGCAGAGTAATAAACGTCGCTTAATTGATGATCCCTCAAATTTTGCTAATCGCCGTCATTCAAGTGCTCATTCTATGCTAATGCAAGCACATGTCAATGGATCGCACTCGAACTTAGCTCACGCTTACCATCATTCATCTGGATATGCTCACAGTCCGAGCCAAAGTCAAAGCGGGAATGTCCTGCCTGCATATCATGGATCTCCATTAATGTCAGGATCTATTGGTTCAAGAAACGATTCAGTATCGCATCTTGAGTTGACCAATAATAGTAACAACAACAGCGGTAATGTACCTGGCGTTATCAACAATACAACTAGGGGTATCACATCGTCTCCCAACACCACCACCAATAGCTTACCATCAAGACGTTCAAGTTCAATTGTATCTGATATGGCTCATTCTTCATCATTTGGCAATAAGAATAGTATGGACCATTATAATAATGCCACGCATAGGCGAAACTTGTCCCAGAATTCGTCATTCAATTCACCATTACTTACTCCATCAACTCGCTTTTCTATTTCCTCAACAAATTCATTAATGAATCATCCATTAACGGCAACTACCTCGCCCGTTCACAAACACCATGATTTCTATGCCAAGAGTAACAGAAGTGCTAGTGTTTCCGTAAGTAATGATGTTGTTCACGAAGAAGGAGAGGGTGGCAGAGCTGGTGATGATGTTAAAATGAGTGATGCAGAAAACGAAGGCGATAATAAGGATATGGGAGGGGATGATACAACGCCTAAATTTTCCAATGCTCATCATACTAGTAATGGTGCGTTTTCTGATTCCAAGTCGCCTGAATCAGATAGGAAAATGTCAGTAGCTGCGTTACTTGATTAATAGAGATACTTTGCGAGAGAGATTCGTATTATATAAAATGCCGCTAGTGCTGTTGGCGCATTTTTTTACTGTTTAATTGTAAGCGAGGTCCAGGTGAAATGGAAGGGGGCTATATACGATGATGATATGGCACAAAAGGTATTGATTACTTTTGCATTAACTGCGCAACGTTGAACCTGTTGTAGCAATTTTTTTTGTTTTTGATTTGCTTAATAATAATAGATATAATAGTTTATTTCCAAGTCTAATCATTGCTCTCTATTACGTTATAAATGTCCAACTTTACCGACAATCAATCGCTGGTAACTTTTTGAAAGCGATTCTCCCACGACAGTGCCAAAAACAACGCTACCAAGTGATATATAAATTACGAGTTTAGGTAATTAATCTTTAGTCTACAACATACCAATAAGTTCTTTACATATCTATTGATCCTGAATCACATCTCAGGAAATGCGCGTGGATATATCATAGCTTAAGCCCAGCTAGCGTTAAACTTGTTCTGTCTCCTTTGATTCGCTACCAAATCAAAAACTCAACACACAAAAAGAGTTAAATAATTCGTGTTTGCCGAAAAACAAAAGGAGATACACTCTATATCTCAAAGCTACATCAACAACCTGCTTCCTTTTTACTATTGTCCTATCTACCACGATGATTAGCAAATCCGAACAAGAAGCAGTTCTCAATAGATGTGTCAATAACATCAAGCACCAACTGAAGTTAATGAGGACAAATCTTGATGAATATAAATTACTACCAGCTTTAAAGAATTGTTCAAATTTTCTAAACGAATTACGTGTTAGTCAATTGAGTCCCAAGCAGTACTATGAGATCTATATCATGGTTTTTGATTCCTTGGAGGTGCTCAGTGGATATTTGGTTAGCAGTGATCCACAACGTAAGAAAAAGACTCGAGAGGAAAATGGCGACCACAAGGACAGCAACTGCAGTGACGAGGACAATGACGAGACAGTGTCTTCGGCTAAAACAAATGCATTTCTTGCTGATTTGTACGAAATTGTTCAGTATTCCGGTAACATTGTCCCTCGATTATACATGATGATCGTAGTGGGTACTACATATATGGCATTAAAAGGAGCACCAACAAAAGATTTAATGAAGGACATGATTGAAATGTGTCATGGAGTACAACACCCAATTCGAGGACTATTTTTGCGATACTATTTGTCACAACGTACTAAAAATTCATTGCCATTTCTGACAAAGTTGGATTTCAACGAAACTGTTGATTTCCTAATTGGCAATTTTATTGAAATGAACAAGTTGTGGGTACGATTACAACATCAGGGCCATTCTTCTGAACGCGAATTACGTTATAATGAGCGTAAAGAATTAAAGATTCTCGTTGGATCGAATCTTGTTCGATTAAGTCAAATCATTGATGATTATGATGCTGAAGCTGCTGGCGATGCCGAATTTTCAGCAGTTTCATTTTATGAAGACAAGGTGTTTCCTACAATTACTGAACAAATCATCCAATGTCGAGATCATTTGGCCCAAACGTATCTTGTTGATGTTTTGATCCAGATTTTTCCCGATGAGTTTCATTTTGCTACTTTGGAAAAGTTGTTGAATCAAGTATTTGTTAATTTACATCCGTTGTTGAATAAAAGTGAGTTGGTGAATACATTGATTGAGAAATTCATCACCTATTATAAATTCACCGATGATTCGTCAAGCGCTCCCAATGGCGATGGCTCTACTGATAAACTGGCTATTGATGTAACTTCCTTATTCAATACCTTTTGGCAGTTTTATCTCAATTTAAATGAATCTGAGTCTGATTTATCTTTACAAGAACATGCAAAGCTACTTGAATCATTCATCAAGTTATCTCTAACTTTTGATCCGTCCAGTTTTGAAAACTTGGATGTGGTGTACAAGTATGCTGCTGAACATTTAATCAATGATGAAGATGAGCAAGAACAGCAATTGTTGGTTCAACTACTTGGTGAATCAATCAAACACTTTACATCGATCAAGACCATCTTGACCTTGAAGAATTATTTTACATTTTTCAACAAATTGAATCCAAATTTGCAAAAGCAAGTTGCAATGGCAATTATTGATCAGATCTTGGCAACACTGGAGGAATTGCAAGGAGCGGATGAAGAGGGTGAAGAAGAAGAAAAGGAGTATTACACCACTGTGAATGAAATTGATGGTGTGTTCAAGTACATGCTGATATTGATTAAACAGACACCAACTAATTTGGATACCGCTCAAGATTTAGGAATTACTAAAAGCGTTAGTATTAACAATGGGGAAAAGTTGGCAACATTGGAATTTCTTGAAACACAAGAAAAACTAAACAAATTGATACAATTGATTGATAATCCTCGAGATCCAAAACTGGTGATCAGTAATCTATTTTATTTACGGAAAAAGTATTTGAATAAGAATTTCCAAAGTTTTATATTCACTTATCCGACATTAATCGATAGGATATTATTTAAATTGAAACTTGTGGGGTACGTCAACTTGCAAAAGCAAAGACAGTTGAAAGATCAAAAACAAGAGCTCACTGATGGCGATGATTCTCATGATGAAGTAAATCGGTTCCTTGTGTCCAATTTCAAGAATTTATCCGTGATTATTGAAGAAATGTACCAGATACATGCTGAATATTCCTCGGAACTAATATTGAGAAAGTATCTTGATGTGGCTATGGTATCAGATCAGTTAAAATTGAATTCGATTACGGTGGAAGTTTTCAATCAATGCTATATAATCTATGAAGAACGGTTGATTATATTATCGCATCAAAACAAGTACAGTCAAGGGAAAACTTTTGATGGGTTAAGTGGCGGTTCAATTGCGTTGCAATCTATTCTATCCATTGCTAATATATTGATTAGGACAAGACATTTGGTCAGAAATGACTATGAAGAGTTGATTGTTAAATTGACGTTGTATGGAAGTAAATTGTTGAAGAAGCAAGATGGGTGTCGAGCCATTTCTGCTTGTGCTCATTTATTTTGGTGGAATGAAAATTTATTACCGTTGAATGAGGAATCACCCACTGTAAAGGAAGAAGATGGAGAAGAGGGGACCGATGAGAAAGAGGAAGACAAAGAAAAGACAAAGAATGAGAAGCAAAAAGAAGGTAAAACTCAAGAAGAAAGTGAAGATGAAAATGAAGATGAAGCATCACCACCTAAACCCATGTTGTATCGTGAACCTAAACGAGTACTTGAGTGTATTCAAAAATCACTTCGACTTGCTGATTCAATAATAGATCCATACATCAGTCTTCAATTGTTTATTGAGATTTTAAATCAAGCATTAATTTTCCATACTTATGGCAATGATTTAATTGATACAAAGTTTATTAGTGGGTTGATCAATCTCGTGAGGACTAATATGGATAACTTGCGTGATCAAAATGGTGATGATGCTGGTGTTGATGAGGGTGAAGAGGATGTTGAAACGAAATTGTTTAAACAAAGTCAATTGTTCTTCAACCAAACTTTACAACAGATTAATCTTTATGGATGAATAGCGAACAAGAGCAATCTAATCTATATGGGCCTATGTGTATAGGGAAGGGACTTTTGTTTATATTTGATAGTCTCGGATGAGTTATCCGACTAGTTAAAAAAGCACAAAACATAAAATAAAAAAGAGTTTATGACGTAGTACTCTCCAATCAAAAGCCGAGAAAAACGTGTGTTGGTTATTTCGGTGATTGAGAATTTTAGTCACATGTTTTTTGTGTAATAATGGTGAAGTATATCCTATGAGCCTTGTTCTGAAGAAGAGAAAAAGTGAAGACTGTAAAGTAGTAGCCAATCATCATCGAATGATGAAGAGTTGAGTTATTATAAAATGAAATTTTGGAGTGGCTTTTTTTAAAAAAGTCATTTAAAAGTAAAAATTTTTAGTTTTTGAAGAATTGTTTTGAAACAATTAAAAGAAGGAGTGTTTGTCTGGTGATATTGAGAGAGGAAAGTGAGATGGATAGTTTGGGGCATACTTGTGAGTCTTGGCGTCGTCGTTTGCTTGGTGCTTATCCTCACCATCAACTGTATATGTCAACCCAAAATGTAACACAAGGCTTGTTGTGTTAAAAAAAAATACTGAGGCTTATTACGACTTTAGCCAATGACTATTTTAATCTCCTATTCTTACTGCACATAACCATAACCAATAACCAATTGTATAATTTATGTAAAAGTACACTACCTGTTACATATCTAAGTCGTTTTGCATCGTATGCAGGCTTAGAAAATAATAATCATAATAATAATAATAGTAATAGTAGTAGCTAAATACATTGTGGCGTTAGCAACTACTACGCTTAAATAATATACTACAAGACATACATACATTTATACATACATACACAATATACACACACGTATATATATATATATAATAGATGATCACTCCTTGAAAAATGCTAATGACTGATATTAGCAATCCTTAAATTCATTTTTATCTTATCATACATAGTTTTACCAAACTTTTAGTATGCTGGATAATACTGATAAGATTAATGATCCCTATGAGAGATCACAATTGGGTACTACTACTCCTGAACCATTGCCCAGATACTCCGATAGTGATGTCAATACCACCACAGTTGACAAGGAGAAGCAACACTTGTTGAGTGACGAAGAATGGGTCGAAGTCAACTCATACCCTGATGAGAAGAAGAATTTGAAGGAAGATAATGTTGATTTGGAAGCAAACCTTCATAGGAAGCCACCAACCTTTAATAAACTCCCACTCATTGTTATTGTAACACTTGTTCTTGTTGGTTATACCTTGTTCAAAACTGTTGGGTTCTATCATTTAAGTAAGCCATTTACCACCACACCTGAGGATATAATTGAACTGATGAAGGGAGACAGAATCCCTCATCCCCATTCTTATTTCAGAAACCTTTTGGACTTTGTCCAGACTGAACAGGAACCACAAGTTGACGGTGAAATTGATTCCACTTCCAAAAAGCCAAAAGAGATTATTGAAGTCACCAACCCCTTTGTTCCTAGCCCAAGATTTGGTAAGCCGGTGTACAAGACAGTTTTACTTAACCATACATTTGGCGATTCCTATAACCACCCCAAATCGGTTAAGTTTTCCATTCCAAAGAAGCACAAGTTTAATAAGGTTGTTCTTACCTTGTTCACTGAAGTTGATGGTGTACAATATGACAGATTGGGAAATATTTTCATCAATGGTGTGCAAGTTTGGAGAACATCAACGATTGAACCTGGTAAACAAAAGGTGTTCAGCGTTTTCAACAAAGATGTTTCTAAATATGCTAAGTTATTTGAAGGAGAAGATAACGAAGTGTTGTTTGAATTGAATAATATTGTCAATAAAAGGTTGACTGGAGCTTTCAATGTTACGTTGGGTGCACAATTTTTTGATGTCGATTATGACAAGCACGACAAGCACCACAAGCATCACGACAAACCAGACGGAGATAAACACCACAAGGGGGATGGTAAAGTTGGGGAGAAGCATGAAGGTGTAGGGTCATTCACAGCCAAAGACAATGAGACGCCACATCACAAATCTTCTGATGAAGAAAAGAGCCACCTTGGCAAGTTTATGAAGGGAAAACAACACCATTTGAAAGAGGAGTCTGATTCTGATTCTGATTCTGATTCTGATTCGGATGATGAAAGAGAAGACCAATCACCAGAGAAACATGGGAAACACCATAAGTTTGACTTTGACCACGATGGAAAAAAATGGAAACATCATTTTAGAAAAGGTGGCGTAAACCATCAAGGAAAGAAGGAGCATGGTAAACATGAAAAACATGAGGATGGATCAAATCATGAAAAGGAACTGCAAGATGAAGAGACTGAATCGAAGCCATTTAATGAACCAAAGAACCCAAAGGACCCAAAGAAACCAAAGGACCCAAAGAAACCAAAGGACCCAAAGAAACCAAAGAAGCCTGAACCTCCACACGAACCGCCTCATGAACCACCTCATGAACCACCTCATGAACCACCTCATGGTCCACCACCACCACCACCTCATGAGCCACCTCATGAACCACCTCATGGTCCACCACCACCACCACCTCATGAACCACCTCATGAACCGCCTCATGAACCACCTCATGAACCACCTCATGGTCCACCACCACCACCACCTCATGACTCTCCTATTAGGCCGCCTAACAGATACGGACATCTTTTCGCAATTAACAAGCCAGCTGATGCAGTCCACCCATTAACAGTGGCTAAAAAGGGTGAAGCACCGGTTGAGTATATTTCTTCAAAAAGGCTTGCTGTGAAATTACCAAAGGTTGCTAAAAACACTACTCGTTTACAGCTTTCGGTCTTTACATCAGGTAATGCAGCCGAAGAGTTTTGGTACACCAACGTTCTTGATAAATTTAAGGATATCTTTGAAGAGGAAGGTAATGAATTTATTGGTAAAGGACCACTTAGAATTGTCAATGTTTACTTCAATGGTGAAAAGATTGCTGCTCAAACTCCCGAACCAGTAATTTTCACTGGTGGAATTTCACCTGCATTGTGGAGTCCAATTGTTTCGAATTCAGCATTTGATGTACCTTCGATTGATGTTGATGTTACACCTTTGTTACCATTCCTTTGGGAGCACCAAGGTTTGGGTGAACAGACTTTGGAACTTGAAGTCAGTAATGGATTGGGCGAGGTTGGAATTACCAATTATACTTCCGTTAATGATAACTGGATTACATCAGCTAATTTGTTGGCTTACGAACACTCAGATGTTGTTGGTTCTTCTGGGGCTTTGATTAATGTTGATCACGAGAATAGAGCTAAAGCAATCCCTGTTGCAATTCCATTTACTCATTCATTCCAACAAATTGTCAATGGTATCTTTTCAGCCCAAATTGTGAGTACCTTGAGCTTTAATTTGAAGAATAACAAGACATTAAACACAACCTTTAGCTCCTACTCTAAAGGTGAAATTTCCAATATTCAACATTATGGCAGATATGGAGATTCACAAGCTCTTGTACACGTGGGCCATTCTTCAAGCTCATTTATTATCACCAACAATGATGAGCCAGATGTTCCTCCAGAGCCAGAATCGGGCCATGTTAGAGTCAAGCATCACAAAAAGCCCGAATTACCATTCAACACAATTCACACTGTCAACACGTCATATAGTTATCCATTAATTTTATCAACTAATTTGAAACATAAAGAAGTTGGCAATGATGGCGATTATGAAATTGAATACGATGTTGGAATTGTTGATGTCAAGAGTTTGGAAATGAATTTTGATGGAAAATTTGGTCACATTTCAATTGAACAAAAGCAAAATGGTAGTTCAACATTTGTCTTGTCAGGCAAAGGTAATCATGGGTTTGGTAGCTTAACTGCTAAATTTAAAGAAGAGATTGAATTTGGAAGATTCAAGAAGGGTTTGGCTAGAAGAGTTGATGCTATTAATGGTACTATTGTACATGAAGGTTTACATTTGGGCCCTGACAGCTTGAAACATGCAAAGGGTGGTAAGCATGCAAAGCATGCCCAAAATTCCAAACACGCCAAACATGGCAAACACGCCAAACACGCCAAACATGCTGATGGAAAACACGCAGGTGTAAAGAAGCATCACCAAAAGACAATCTTAGATTCCATTTATGATATCCTTCCTAAATTTAAGTCTTGTCATCGTGGTAGCAAGGCTGATCCTGTTCGCAATTTGATTGCCACTTATAAGCAAAGTGGATTTAAGGACAATATTGCCGACTTGACCAATCAAGTTATTTCTACATTGGTTAAGTACAAGCATGTGGGATATGATTATGTTTCTGAGAAGAAAAGTTTTGAACACGAACGCAAGGGTAGTGGTCGTGACTGCAACTAAACCTATCTGCAAAGCAGAGTTATTTTCATGATGAGTTTTTGTTTCGTTCTTTTTTTACCAAATTTACTAAATTTACAGATTTCTTATAGTTTATTTTTTTAAGGTTGTTTTTATAAAGAGTGTTTTGATAATTTGATCTCTACAAAATTTCATTTTCTTTCTCATCATTATCATCATCATAGTACATTAAACGTCTAATATATATACACTCTGACCTGGGTAATCAATTTATGAAATTTTTCAAATCATGCAAAACCATTCCTGAAATTGCTGCAGAAGTAAGAGTAGCAATACCACCACAAAACAAGGCCGACATGATACTTTGAGAAATATCCTTGGCACGTGAATTATTAGTCAAGGTGTTCAATACTCCCAAAGTAATACCCAAACTACCCAAGTTGGCAAACCCACAACAAGCATAAGTGGCAATCAAAGTACCTCTAGGTGATAATTGATTATAAGGAGCTTCGTTGATTAACAAGTTGTAAGCCACGTATTCATTTTGAACGAATTTGTAAGCGATCAATTTGGTCACCAACAAGATTTCGTTTCTTGGTGTGCCAAGAAGAAATCCAATGGGATAAAATAAGTATGACAACATGAGCTCAAGGGTTAATTCATGAATGTTCCAGTAATTACCAAACCAAGTCAAGATACCGTTACATAATGCAACAAGGGCAATGATACACATGCATTGGATCATCATCGTTCCGGCAATTTTCAATCCCAATGTTGCACCATTAGAGAATGCTTGTAACACGTTTTGTGGTTTATCCTTATCCTCCTCTGCTTCATTGTTATTGGCTTTTTGATTATCAGTGATTATGATTTGCCCGTTTGACACTGGTATGTCAGTCTCCGGGTATCTCAATTTCGATACTGCCAATGATGCCGGAATCGACATAACACATGAACTAACCAAGGCTTGAGGATTCAACCCTAACCCGATATATCCCACCAACACGGCACCCGAGATAGTTGAAAACCCAGAAGTCATAACTTGGTGCAATTCAGCTTTGGTTAAATAGGGCATAAGGTCTTTAATCAAAATTGCCGATTCACCAATCCCAATAAAGGGCGAAGCAGCAGCCGTCATCGCCTCTGCCCCTGAGACTCGCAATGACCAAAAAAAGAAGAATGCAAATTTACGAATTCCCCATTGAATAACGCCAAAGTAGTACCAAATGTGAACAAATGCCACGAAAAACGCCACTGATGGCAATACGGTAAAGAAGAACCAGGACTTGTTAGCAATTTCTTGATCAGTTAAAAATGCCACACCGTCTTTAGCAAACCCTAATAATTCTCGAGCCAAAGTTGAAATGAAATTGAATACATCAAATCCACATTTTGTTCTCAAGACAAACAATGCCACGATATATTGCATCAAAAATCCGCCGATTACTGTATTCCATTGAATCTTGGTGGGGTTCTTTGAAGTTACAAACAAGCCAAATACGGCCACCAAACAACCGAAAAATGACACAGCACGGTCTGGTCGTTTGGAAAAATCAGTTTCGGTAGGGATAAATGTGCCCAACAATACAACAGCAATGACAATTGCTGCACCGGCCAATAACCTTTGATACCGTTGTGGGAATAATTTGGTGTAGATGAAATCACAACATGAATCCCATACATATTTCACGTATTTCAAGCACCAGGGCAAGATTCGCCAGTGCCAGGTAATTAAACGCACCATGATCATACCCCAAATCACAGTAGGGATTAACCACTGATGACGGTGTTTTGGTTGGATGACAATAGATAACCACCAAGATGTGAAGAAACATCCCAAGAAGATTTGGAATGCTATTTTGTACCATGGGAATTTCAATTTGAATCGTTGCCAATAAGTTAAATGTGATTTTGTAGCTGGCTCGTGTTGATGTTCGGTAACACTGGCTTCCTTAGATAACTCATCAGTAGTTGTGTTTTCTTCAGTGATGAACTTTTCTGCTTTATCATTCGCTTCAAGGTCTACTGGTGGTGGTGCTGATGGTGGTGGATAATCATTTGATTGCACTTCAATTATTGAATCGGAGGTGTCGTGACTGCCAGTGTAAGGATTAGACATTATCACTGTGCTGCTAAAGGTCTTTTGATTGCAAAAAGCTCGTATGCTCTGTTTTTATTCAAACTTTTCTTTGTTAATTAAAGTTAAAATAAAAGCTAATGGACTGATTGTAGATATGATTTGTAGTTGTGACTTAACAAGTAATATGACATGAAAGTTATACTAAACTGTTGTAGGTCTAGGAAGAGGAAGAAGAAGTTGAAAAAAGAAAAAGAAAAATTTTCTTGTATTTGCAAAGAGATAAGAAATCTTTCGTCTTGTGTTGCCCTGTGATGTATGATCATCGTGTGAGGTTAGCTTAAAGATCCATTGTTAAGTTTGTGTGTGTGTGTCTTATACGGCGTAATGTAATGTACAATGTCATTATTTAACTGGGGTTGTACAAAGAAAATTTAAGCAAAAAGTTAATCCGAAGTGCAGCAAAAAAAAAAAGAAATTTAAAAGAAGAAGGCAAAAAGGGCAAAAGAGGAATTTTTTATTAATAATAGCATCATCAGCGGGTTTGACAAGCTTTTTGTTTGTAGCTTAAATTTAAGTCACTCACATACCAATTCCGTTTCATGGCTAAGGGCAGTAGTCCGATTAAAGGCGATTTGACTACACACTCCTTCTCTTCAACGTTATATCCGTAGTGTCCTTTTTATTTTTAGTTTTGTGCTCCATTAGCGGGACCGCCTTTCATTTCATTTGTCTCTGTCCAAGAAAGGAAAACAAAATATTTCTTAGCCTTTTGGGAATGACATACGGCACCAGTTTTTATACTTGTACTTCACTTTTTGTGACCCTTCATCTTAGGGTGTTTTTCGTCTGTGGAGATTGGGGGATCAGAGATATATATGTACAGATATTACGGCGTTTGGGAGATAAGCAGAAAGTAGCGTGATTCTTTTCGACACGATGGCTTTTTTCTCCTCACACGGGATTAAAGATTTGGCTCAAGAGGAAGAGAGAAGACCAGATTTGACAAAGTTTGTATATAACGGACAAGCAGACAGACAGACAAAAAAAAAAGAAAGTTTTTGACGTTCTCATTTAGTTTTGTGTATGTTTCTGAATATAGAAACTGACAGAGACACAGACATAAAAGTAATGTACAATACTGTCTTGGCCCACTCAAGCTTATCAGAGATCAGGTATTCTTGCATCTGAGCACCAGGCACAATCTGAGTATGTAGTGGCAAATACAACACTAGCACCTACAGCAAGATGCTGAAATGTTGAAATATTGGTTTTGTCTCGAATATTTAGCTGGCTCTACTCTTTTCATTTGATTCAAAAAAGAGGCACATCAATCAATAGCATGTTCCTATTTTTTTTACCTAAATGCAAATTACTATAAAAATTCCTAAAAAATGCAAACTTACAAAGCCCATACACAGTAGAACATTTCTTTCTATCTTAAGAACTCTTCATCAAGCTTTGGTCGGCAAAAAATAACCACACACAATCATCCATGCTCCTGCGGCGTTCATTTCCCATCATCACTACTCTCACTTCGATACTTATCCTTGTTTTCAACCATATGTTTGGGATCTATAACATTTCCAATACCCATCAATGTCCTTGACAATGCCTCCGTAGTTCCAATCATTGGTCTTATTAAAATCACCGGTGAATTCTTTAAAACCGTCGCTATGGAATCCGGCACCGTTTCTTGCTTGTCCAATTCCTTTTTCAATTTAGTCAATTGCTTACCAGTTAATTTGAAATTTTTACCAAGTGACTTATAGGCGGATAAAAGACCTTGTTGGAATGATTCAGGTTGGTTCGAGTATAAACTAACCATTTTTTGCTTAAGTTCATCTTTATCTGTTTCTTCAATAGCGTAGATATCGTACTTTTCATCATCCGCATCAACATTGCCTTCATCGTCACCTGTAATATCTTTACTAGCAGTGGCAAGAGTCATCCCCGCTTCTCCGTTTTCATCGCTTTCATCCACAGTTTCTAAACTCTTGATGTTGATCTCCTCGTCTTCTGGAAGCAAAAATATTGATTTGCTCAAAAGCTCCTTATCAATACCAATATTATCATCTCCGTCATCTTCAAATTCAAAATCTGAATATAACTTCTTTTGTCCATTAAACTGCAAATCATCACCAAACTTTTCAGCAACTTGCTTATTCAAAATTTGTGAACTCAAAAGAACATTGCCACCACCATTGCCCCTATTCTTTATCTCGGTGAAATCAACCGAAGTGTCAGATCCGTCATCTGAACCACGACGTGTTGTACGGTTTGTTCTTGATGAAGAGCCCTCGCCACCCAACATCTCTTCACCTTGCTCCAACAATACTTGGGTACCAGAGGCTATCTTAACCCCCATATTGACCAACTCGTACCCCGTAGTCTTGGCAAAGGAGGTTGTCCCTTTTTGAAGACTTCTCCAAAACCGACCATCCTTTTGGTACTCTTTTCTCGAAACAACATACAAGTTTTTAAACCCACTGCCAATGTTGACGACTGATCTCAAAGATGAAACACCTGAAACAATACCCAAGACTTGTGTCAGTTGAAACACTGGCGCCCATGCTTTGCCCAAGCCACGCAGTAACTCGGGTATACCCAGCATCCCATATAAATGGGCCCTTGGTAATGTAATGCTTGATCCATCCAAAATGAAAAAGTTGGCAAACTCAGCGGTTCTTCCTGACCTCAATCCCGTAAAATCCACCTTCTTAGGCTTATAATCAATCTTCAACTTAATCGGACTGATTTCAAACTTTTGTATATACAAAATCTCATCCGGTGGTAGGTCAAATCTTGAGTCTTTAAAATCAGTAAAACGCGTCATAAAATCCAAAGTGTCTTGATCAACATGGAGCCGCAACGGTAAAACCGACACCTTCATGATCGCTTCAGCCGTAACTAGGTTGGGTTTTGGTCGCACATTGAGGATGCTAACCTTTGCCATACTGGTTCCAACCTCTCGTTCTCCAAGAATGTTCATGTAGGATAAAAACTTGTTCCACGTGGAAGACGGTACATTGTCATAAACGTCAATAGTTCCCAAACTCAACTCAACCAAATTTAAAAGCTCAACTTTCATATCTGGATCAGTGTTGTCACGTCTGGGGTCTCTTGTGGAGTACACCACCACACCTATGTCAATGCTTCTCAAATCTGCCACCACTTTGTGATATGCCGAGCGTCTCAATTTGAGATTTTTGTAATTTTTACCCCTTTTTATATTAGCATCAATCTTGTCTTCGCGGTCATTGATGTCATCTTCGTTGTTTTGTAGCCCAAGATTAATGCTCTTGGCTAAATCTGTTCCTTGTGCTGCCTTGGGGGCACTTACATATATCGATTGGTACAACGTTTCTTGAATCACCAGGGTCGAATCTGGCTCGGCTGCAGTATCTGTGTTCACTGTTTCTTCAGAACCATTGCGTTCGCTCGTCTCATTAAAACTTGCCTCCAGTTTCTTTTGCACTGACTCAATCTTTTTCACAGCACCTCTGATTGCCTTTCTCGTATCTTTCCAATCATAGCCATCGTATAGATATATCTCCACTCTTGATAAGTTGATATTAAGCTTTAATGGGTCAATCGCTTCAGTATCGGACTTGTAACTCGACACGTAATCAAAATGCTCATCTTGGAATTCCAAGCCTGAACTCGACTCTAAGCTGGCTTCTACAGAGACCGGCTCCTCATTTATATCCATTTCAGCAAAAGACTCGCTAACGTTCTTAAACATGTTGCTGTCAATGCCATTTAAGATATTCATATCCGCATCAACTCTTAGCTTCATCTTATCCTCGTCTTCAAAATCGTAAGGCAACTTCAAATCACTAATCAATTGAGCAAAAGTATTAGCTGAATCTGCACACAAGTCCAACTGTATCTCATCAGTATTGATTTTAAATTCAATAATTGACAATCCTTCTCTAATCTCCAATTCATGATTCCTTCTTCGTATTTCCTCTATATTAGTGTTGAAAGTTAACCCAATGTGGGCTAAATTAATCGATCCTATTTGGATATACCCACGATTAGACAACACCTCAGCTGCAATCACTTCATTAGATTGGTCGATCTTGGAGTCATTTGCTGGTGTCACATTTTTCAAATCATCAATCAAAAGTATAGCAATATCTCTAATAGAGCTTTTTATGTGCGATTGATTAGATCCAAATACAAAGTCAACATTACCCTTAGATACGGTCAAGTAGCTTTTACTCCTTAATCGACCTGGAGTAAGTCCAACTAAGCAATTGTATAACGTAAGCCTAACATCAAAACGATGGGTCGATGACAGCTTCTTTGGCGGGGCTGTGTCAATCAATTCTTCCTCCACTTGTTCAATGATTGATTCATCCTTACCAAATAATGTTAGCCAGTACGTATAATACTCCAATAAGAAATCATGCGCGCCGATTTCCAAGGTAGAAGCTCTTTCCATGGACTTATATTTGAAAGTAACTAAAGGGACACCAATTGATGCTGCTTCTAAGCCTTGATACTGATAAAGAACATCCTCAATAAAGTCATCTTTCGTCCTTACTGTTTTCAAAGCAAGTATAGAGCCAAGTATGTCGTTCTTCAATTTGAATAGTGTAATTTCAGATATATCCGTTTTAAGGCCGCCAAATTTAGGGAGAATGTCATCGACCTTGATCGAGATCCTTCCAATGTGAATACAATAACTAACTTGATTCATGCGATATGTGCTTTGCAGCATTATGGGACTTCTGTTTAGGCCAAGTCCCATTCTCCTGTTTCTATCCAAGTTGCTGGTTGACGACAACATATGGCTTGGTTGATCAAGTTTCACGTGTTTAACAGATTTGGATGACGTGGCTACATCACCGTGGGCCAACTGTTCCAATAAAGAGTTTATTAGGTGTTGTGACTCTTTCACAAAGAGCTTCAAGTAGCTTAATGTAGAACCGTATTCAATTTCCAGAATCGACACAGTTAATAAAGTACTCAAATTTGATGCACGGGGTAGGTTAGTTCCATTGGAATTGGCTGCATTTGGATGGATAAAAGCCCTAAAGTCTCTTGCTTTCTGGTACACATTTACTCCTGTAACATTAAATAGCGTCCCTATTGGCTGGTTGCCCACGATTCCATGGCCTGTAATGGAGGCAATATTCAACTCGCTTTTGATAGAGTCAAAAGAAATTGGAAGAATCCCGATTTGTAGTTTCAAGTTTCTCTCTATCGCAACAGTCACATTGATTGAAGCTGTTTGAACTATTATGTGTTCTTTTCTTTCATTGACATTGGGTGGACTGGAATTAGAAGCATCTCGAAGCTTATGAATGCTATTCAAAACACTCTTCAATTTGCTGTAACGAGCAGATACAGCACTAATTCCGTCTGCAACCTTTAACAATGATCCTAAATCATGCTCATCCAAATTGAGGAATGCTGCCTTGGCAAACAAAAGCGTAGTCTCGAGATTTGATTTATCGTCTTCATTTTGAAACACCTCAAACCGGAAATCTGCCCTAGTAGTTTCACTATTGTATGATGTCTCCGACAGTATGCTCAGGGGGGAAACTGATCTTTGGGGACCAGCATCGTGCGGTTTCTCGAAATTGAAAACCTTGGACTCGTTGCCTTCCCAGAATCGTAATATCTCCACAACCTCAACACCACCAAACAATAACAATTCATTCTTTTGCTTTGCGATAATGTTATCAAGATTGATGACAAGTCCATTCACTTTAGCAAATGAACCATCCGATTTTATAGCCGCGTTTAGGCCAATCTGTAAGCTTGAAATCCTAAAGCTATTGAATAAAGGCTCATTTTGTGTTGTTTCTTCACTGGACTCACTATCAACCTCGTCATCATCATCATCATTGGAATACTGGGGAAATTTGACACTGTTTTTTTGCATTTTTGATGACGATTTCCTTTTCATTTGGTATAGCTTGATTTTTAATGTTCTAGTTATGCCATCGAATATGGAAATTAGCGTCGCGGTTGTTGGACTCGTCGTAAGTTTGACCTTGTTTACCTTCACTTCTAAATTTGATATAGCTTTTAGTCCATCAAATTCAATATCGCACTGGTCCATATGGAACAATATAGGTGGCTCTTTTGTAGTTCCAATATTTTGTTTATTATCAACTGGTCCCTCTGCTGCGGTTGACTTTCCCAATGATTGCGAAGTTGCACTCATATATATGGAGCTTGCCTCCTCGTGGGTAAACACCATGCTGTTCATCAACGCCTCTTCTCCATAATCAGACGAATCATCATTCTCCTCATCTTCTGACTTTTCTGTTGTGTCCGTTTTCGTCGGTATATCCTTCTTTCCATCAGGTACATCTGGACGCAATGTCCTGATAGAGACACCATTGACCTTAATATTGCGCGTCCCGTTAACCGTATTAATCATGACCTCCTCCACTTCCATGAGCAAGTCAGTCAGTTCAGTGATCAATTTTACAGTTAAATTTGTGATATTAATCTGAAGCCTCAGTAGTGCCATCTCCATTGCCCTCTGCATAACGTTTCCCAACGTTGAGTTATTTGAAACGGTTGAGCTTCGCCTTCTTGTAGTTGGAGCAATTGGTGTAACACACTCTGCATCGCTGTCACTGTCACTACCAACTGCAGACTCGCTCTTTTGCATTTCATAATTATCCGTCTCCAACATGATAGTGTTTGCCAAGTCCGCAGTGGTTTGGGCCAAAAGGAATTGGGAGTGGCTAGCTGTGTTCTCCACATCATCATAGTCAGGTGAAACAACAACTTCGGCATTTTTCACATCAATTTTGACAGCGCTGATTCCCGAAATTGTAGTTAGCTCAATCGCTCCTACCTTTCCATGCCGAAGATTGAAACCGGGAAGTTTGCCAACCTTCTCGGGATCGATACTCACATCTTTCAACGTTATGTTATTCAATGAAACCTCTTCGAGATTTGGTAAATCTACTTCTGAAAATAGTGACAACTGGTTTAGGACATATAATAGTAGCCTCTTCTGTATATTCTGTGGTATCCATTGAGGACTCATTTATGAATCAAGGTGGTGTTATGCGATTAAATGAAAATGTTTGCTTCTGTTTCAAGTTGAACCCATATGCTGCCAAAATGCTAGAGGGTAACTTTTCTGTAATGTAGTACTATGATGATCCAAGTGTATTTTGATAATGTAACGTTATTCGTTGAAGATGAAGAAAGGAGTGACTTTTTGTAAAGAACCCACAGTTTTGATTATTTATTATGTCTCCCTTTTGAAAGATAAAAGGCGAAAAAGATAACACAAAAAAAGTGTCAACTGATAATAAACTCTCTACAGCAAATACTCGAATCTAAAGCTCATACATTATATACTGTTATCAGATAGGCATTCCAAACGGCGTTGGCGTCCAGTCTTCATGCGGATCCATCAAATAGACCTTTTCCTCGTTATTATCTAATCTTTTAGACCTTTTTTTACCTGACTTCAGTTCCTCTTCTGCCAAATGTCTCTTGTTGGCGTTTTCGCCTAGTATCTCATCTAATGATGGAGGTAGTTCAAAAGCATTCTTACTAGTCCGTTTTACTGCCTCATCATATGCGTTATTTATCTCCTCCAACAAAGCCAGTTCAAGATTCTGACTAGCTGATTCCTTGACAATCTTCAATAACTTTACTAGTAATGAATCATCATGTTTGCAAATTCTCACTAGACTTTCATACACATACTTGAAAAGCCCTTCTTGATCACTTATCTGAGCCCTGGTGAAATGTTCTCTGGAGAACGGTTGCGATAGGATGCTTTTGATTAAATATGGTAACCATTCGAATAACTGCGCTGTTTCCAGTTCTAATAAGGTGGTTGCAAAGCCCAACTTCTTGAATACTCGCCGGTCAACTTCTCCTACCACTCTTCCATCGAGTAGCTGCATTGTTTTAATAAATAACAGGACAATCAATGCGCTGCCAAGTCCATCAAGTAGTGGATGGTAAAGCTTTTCAAGCAACGGATTGTATTTGATACCCTTGGATACAAGCTTTTGGTTTGGGTAAAGCAAGTAAAACTTTCTGATGAGCAAGTTTGCAAATAAATCAGGGTCACTTTTAGCGAACTCGATCAATTCGTTTACGCAATTTCTCAATTTAAAAACATCTTGGTCATTACTATAACCACTGAATAGCGGTGTCTCCAATTTATCCTTTCGTAGCCTCTTGAAAGTCTTGAGATTTTCATATACCAGAAATACGGTAATCAACTCTTCGTATTGGGTCAGTCTAAAGTGGACGACCTCCGAATAGATGTCTGCTGAAGCATTAGATGTCTGCTTAGACTCGTCTACTATGTGGCACCAATAGTTATCATATAGCCAGGTTAACGCCTCTTTTGTTGCAATCCTTAATATATCCAAGCTCGGCATGTTTTCATGTGTACCCATATGCCTCAACTCAACAAAAAATGTAGGCAAGTTCAATTGCTTGGCTAGTAGTTGCATTGGAACTGCGTAATTCGATTGTTGAAATGGGTCTAATAGTCCATTAACAAACCTGATCAATGCCATTGTGTAAGCAAGTTGAATCACATTGGTGTCCGTGTCTGGATCATCATCATCATCGCGCAAATGTGCCGAAGTCAAAATGGATGTTGCTTCGATTCCATGAGGCAATCTGCTTCTTGTTAAAAGAGCTTTGACCCTTTCTATAGCAAGTTTACGATTATCATGGGTATCGTCAAAGTCATAAAACCATTTCTTTAATTCGACAAGATCATCGTCTGACCTGTATGCGGTCACTACTGGAGTGTCTTTCATTCGACCATACTAAAAGAGCTGGCAATGGCTCCTTAATTTTTTTTTTTCTATCGTTCCTCAGGCATCAAAGAAACACGCGCATCAAGCATCAACATAAACGCTTCAATTAGACAGAGACATTTGTGACTTGATGAAAACAGTGTGTGTCGTGATATAGACACTGGTTCTACTTGAAACACGTCGGGTTAAAGAAAGACTTACTCATTAAGTTCGGGTGACTATAACAGCTACCCACATTTCCTAAATAGTGACAAATTGCAAAGTGTAAAGTAAGCAACAGTCTTTGGGTCGCCCTTGAATTCAATCTATATGGATGCTGGATTAACTCCCTCGTGGGACAAATTAGATCCAATTCATTTGAACAAGACACTACAAGATATTGATTCCTCGGTGCAAACTGTACAACACTCAACTCACAACGGCCACCAGTAAATAGAAGTGAGGGGGGGTTTAAATCGAGTTATCATTCTTGTGATTGTAACTGTATGCCAACTTATCCGGTTTTATATTCTCTATGTAACCGGAGTTAAACTAAAATAAATATTTTTAAAGAGGAGAGAGGGACTCAGATAATAAGAAAATACAACGTACAACAAACAACTACAGCTATGTTCCATCAATTATTATTATACCCGTCAACAATCTTGTGGATGAAATGGTCATTATTCGAAACTTCTATCAACTTTACATGTAAAGTTCCCCTAGAGCCCAACTAATCCAACTAGTTTTACTAAAAACAGTAGGTTGCCGCGTAATCTCATGTGGGGTTTGTCACTGTGTTACACAAAACTGAAAGAACAAAAATTTCACAGTACCATGAAGGTTCATACTTTTAGTCTTCAACTATATATATATATATATATAAAACACATCTCTACTACAACTGCCCCAGTTGACTACTTTAATCGGCCTCATAGCCTTTTTTTTCTTCATCACATCAAACAATTACATAACTGCATACACTATGTTGACAGTCAGTGCTGGAGAGAACCCGCGTCCAGATTTCGAAGAGTCTTTGCGTGTAGTCAAAATCGATGACACTCATTATGTAGGTGCACACTGTTTAAGGAAACCTGTCAAAATGGCTAGGGGTATTTACGGGGGACATATGATTGCCCAGTCGCTATTGGTTGGCATAGAATCGACAAGATTGGAGACTACGAATGAGGTGATGATCCCAGACTCGTATCATTCATTTTTTATCAATGCGGGAAACAACAAGACTCCTATGGAATACGAAGTTACCAAGCTATATGATGATGAGTTGATAAGCAAAAGATCCATTGTTGTGTCACAAGGCGGGAAGAATAGACTTACATGTGTGGTTATATTGAGAAAGCAAGGAACCAAACCATTACACAAGATCGATGAGAATATTCCACCACCACTAATTCAAACCAGGTACCCTGACCCCGACAAGTTGCACCAAGTCCAACATACAGACTTTTGCAGGAACGCTTTCGATGATGACTTTGTGGATCATAGAAGAACTCCTGAGGAGAGAAAACTACATTTCGCAGAAAGATGGATATCAATCTTTACTGGGTTGAAAAACATCCCTGAGCCAGGCGCTAAATACGATAAAGTGAAAGATGCGCTCCCAGATGCTGTTGGAAACATGCAAAGCTATGAGCTTGATATACTTCGACCCAAAAACTCCCAATCGGTGAAAGACCCTATATACAACTACGTTGGGCTTGGAGAAATTTCCGACAGCACTTTCATCACAACATTGGCTCGTGTGTTGCATATTCCTTGGGCGCCATCACTAGAGAGAGGTGAAGAATACGTGCCTGAGCTAGATGCGACGTATTTGATGAGATCATCGTTGAATGCGCTCCATGTTTTACATTATAACGCCATGTCATTGGATCATCATATATACTTTCATAATGATGAATACGAGCCCACAGATGGCTCAGCATTTGATATTAGCAAAGATTGGTTGGCATTCACTTATCAGATGAAGAGACTAAGCAATGGTAGAGTCCTCGCCCGTGGATACATGTTTAATGAAAACAGGAAATGTGTTGCTACAGTTCTTCAAGAAGGATTGGCTCTTTTGTCAGAAGGTGTTGCTACCACAGCTGATAAATCGCGTTTGTAAAGTTGGTTAGAATAAATTGGAAGCTATTTATGGAAACGTTTTAGACTGTAGTCGTCTCTAGTGAAGATGCTCTAGATCATCAAACGCTTCCTGATCATGTGCTTTCTGTACATCTCACGCAAAAAAATGGAGTTCTCAGCAAAACAACAGTCGGCTGTAAATTTTCACATGACGTCTAACGCAGAACTACTTAAACTAAAATTTTTTTATCTAAACTCCGACGGTTTGTTTGTTTATGATTTCGTTGCATTATACGAGAAAGAAGCAAAAGTCTTGTGTATCCTGTGAAAGTTTATTAGCGTATTAGAGGCAGAGTTGTGAACTTAGAAAAGGATATTGGAAGGTTTTATCCTTCACAACTCATAGTGGCATAACCCAAATAGGCGTAACTCTCTTGTGCTAGTTTCTCTCACAGAGATAGATAAAGAAGCTCCAAACCAGGAAGAACAAATCTTTGCATATGCATGTAGAGATGAGAATGCAAGATGATAACTAGCTACAAAGTTGAACTATATATCTAGATATTAAGTGCCATCAAAATTCTCTTTTCTGCTTGCGAAATCAGAGGCCACACAACCCCCAACAAGCTACATCTTGACGTCAGTGGGAGGAGAACCGAGTCAAATGTAACTGCGTATATAGAAAAAAAAAAAAAAAAAGAAATAAAAAAATAAAAAGCTTGTTTATTTGTCATCGCGGTAACAATCAAGTATTGCCTCGGTACAAGACGAGACTAAAGTACAAAATTACGTTTGCCAGCCATTTATAAATAACAAAGAGACTTCCCACTCTTCTTCAAAGCTTTGGATCGAACCTGTAAAATCACATTTACATCAAACCATCCATTACAACAACACAGTTTTATAATCATGACGACGCCATTAGAAAAATTAAGAAACGAAGTATACAACAACGACCAAGTAGCGAAAATCGAGGCAAAGACCTCTGTCAAACTCATCTCGGAAGCAGGCAACAAAATGGTATATGAGGGTAACTATCCAGTAGAACCATTCAGAGAGGGTGCTAGAGGCACCTATGGTGGCGACTTTATCGCACAAGGTCTCAATGTAGCTTGGGAATCAATTGATAGACCTGATTTCCAACCCCATTCACTACATTCCTATTTCGTCAAGGCTGGCTCAAAAGATAGTGTTCTTAGATGGGAGGTGATTAAAGTTTCAGACTCGAGAAACTTTTCAAATAGGATTGTTTTTGCTTATCAAGCACACACAGATCAATTGGCATTCACATTGCAGTGTTCTTTTACTAGAGATAACCACCTTGACAAGAGAGATATTGATCATCAGAAGTTGGTAGAATCTGGAGCAGATATCAGAAGTGTGCCGTTTCAGTTCAAGAGAAACCCAAACCCAAAGTTTTTCAAATACAAGGATAACATTGAAGATCTTGTTTATTTTGAACATACAAATGGAAACATTGCCCATGCCATCCCTGAGGAAATATTTCTGAAAACTCACAACTTCAACATGAACAAAGTAGGGGATGAAGAGCTTGGGTTCTACGTCAAGTTTTTGGACGATTACAACTTGGGCAAGGATTACATTAGACAATCATTCTTGGGGTTAGCTTTTGCTTCAGACTCATTATGGTTGGCTACACTCGTGAAAGCACTTGGGTTGCCTATCACCGGGAAAGACGTTCAATTTTTTCGTGTGAGTTTAGACCACACGTTATATTTCCATGATTTAAATTTCGACTCCAGTTCTTGGCTTTTTGTCGATTATAGATTCTTGTCCATGGGTAATAACAGAATCTTGGCTGTGGTAAATTTCTATACATTGGAAGGTAAAGCCATTGCTACTGCAGTTCAAGAGGCCTATGGGTTTTTACCAGGCGAGTTGGTTGAGAGGTCAAGGAAACTCCATGAGAAGTACAATGGGGAGGGTAGCATACAACAGGTCAATGTTGCAAAGTTGTAAAATAGGTTGGTTTTTAACGGTTGAGGATATTTTTGATTATTCTACTTTTTTTTAGAGTTATATTTATAAATTATATTCATTTCGTCTTCTTTGATTAGTGTGATATCAATTTTTCTGTGTAGAGATGAGTCCCTTATGCATTGGTGTTGCGTTTTTATATTGTTCTAAGTACGTGCGGACAAATGTCGCTCTATTCCGTGCAATATCCCCACGAAAAAGAAAAGGAAAAAACATTAACACCTCGGTAAAAACACATTTTACAATTACATAAAGATCGGCAAAACCTCCGCAATAAATGCGATTGCAAACCACAATTTTCTTTAGCAAAGGGCAAACTAAAATATACAACAAAGAAATACCATAATGTCTGATATCAAGGCTGATAGGGTGTTGCGACCATTGGATGCGAAAGCTGCATTTGACGTTGTTGAGATAGATAAGCAAACTTACCGTGGTGTCAAGCCATTGAGAAAACCAGCAAAGGAGATTAGAGGAGTCTATGGTGGTAACATTGTGGGTCAAGGAATTCTTGTTGCAATGAGATCTTCTCCATCGGGGTTCACGCCCAACTCTGTTCATTCGCATTTCATCAAGGCTGTCAATGAGGAAACTCCACTTATATGGAAAGTTGAAGAAGTCTCAACTGGGAAGTCGTTTGCTACGAGGAAACTACGTGCCTTGCAAGACGATGTTGTGGTATTCACATCAATGGTTTCATTAACGTCTAAAAACTCGGCGTCAAAGACGGGACACAAGGATAGTACACAGATGGAGTACAGTGTTCCTCCCGGAAAGACATTAACAACCCAGAGTCTCAAAGGTGAACCGCTGGCATATGCAGCACTACCCCTATTCGTGTACCAAAAGTTTTACGAAGACCAGAAGGATAAGGATACGTATGCTTTTCAATTAAGATGGGGTATTAAAGACGACGCCAATTTCTATCAAGAACACCAGAATGTGACACCAGAGTTCAAATACGTTGGACTTACTATTTTGACCGACTGGGTAGCGGTTGAATTGGCAGTTCCACATGTAGGTATGGAGGTTCCTCCAAAATTTGAAACTTCAATTGACCACAATATTTATTACCACGAAGACGATTTTGATATCGACCAATGGTTTGTATATGTTTTGGGTTTCAAATGGATTGGAAATGATAGAGCTTTGGTTAAGGCTGATTTGTACACCGAAGATAACAAACATGTTGTGACCATTGTACAGGAAAGGTTGTACATCACCAGTTCTAAATTGTAAAGACTGGAGAAATTCTTTTAGAGAAATTAGATAATCTTTAGAGTTACTTTGAAACGTGAGATAGCGTGCACTACTTATTTTACAACAGTGAGTGGATTAAGTGTAGAAACTTTACGGTACCCTGTAATGCCGTTTGCGTTTGGTTAGTAACCCCGACTCTACATGTTCTCTAAAAATACAGTGTTTAAAGGATAGCTTTTTTTATGACTCCACCATCTGTCACCTCCAACGTTTTTGTAATTTTAAACAATATGTGATGCTACTGGCAACTCATCCTCACTGTGGTTGACTCTTATTCTGTTAGGGGCCGGTCTTCAAACTGCGGAAATTCCCTGTTCTTTGTTTTGTTGTTTTGGCTTGTGATTTATTCTTTTGGAAGAAGTAAACGGTGTTTGCGAATCGCGGATTTATAAATTTCTTTTTTTTCCATGCTTTATTTCTTTTCTTGAATTATCTCCCATTTTTCAGTCCTCCCATGTATCTTTCTTCCTTAGTAACAACACTTGCCAGAGAAAACTACAATGGAAGATCAACCATTCATTATTGATCCTTCGAAGAATCAACCACCACACTGGCCACCCAAAGCTGAAGTTGATTTTGTATCAGAGATTGACGTGGACAAAATTTCCGACACTGAATATCGTGGAAAGGTGCCATTGAAAAAGCCTTTAGCTATTCGTCATGGTGTGTATGGTGGGGCTTTGTGTTCCCAAGCAATTCTAGTCGCTATGAGATCGGTCCCTTCGGATTTTAAACCACATGCCCTCCACTCATTTTTTACAAAAGGTGTTAAAGAAGATTCAGTTATAGAGTGGAGGGTGCAAAAGATATCTAATGGTAAATCATTTGCCAACAGAATGGTTCTTGGGTGTCAAGAAGATCAGGTGGTGTTCACAGCGAACATTTCGTTGACTACAAGAAATGTAACTCGACCAAGAAGCGATGGATTAGTGCCTTTCAGCCACCAAATCGACCCTCCGCCGGAGCTATTACACTATGATATCAGCAAGTTAAAGGGAATCGCTAATCCAAACTTACACACGACTCTTCGAGAAACACCCAAACCTAAAGTAGAAGGTGTTTATCCATACTTAATAAAGTACGGTATTCCCGAGTGTGAAACCCTTTTGTCGATACCTGAAGAATACAAGTACTCTTTACTCACCTGGGTTACTGATTGGCTGTTTTTGTCAAGAGCGTTTGCTGTTGTTTTAGGTAAGAGGGTAGATGCTGATTTTGACGTTTCGTTGGACCACACAATTTACTTTCACGACGACGACTTTGATGCTACAAAATGGGTGGGTATTAGCTTGAGACCCACCAGATCAGAGCATGGAAGAACTTTGATGATTTGCGACTTGTACAATGACAAGGGAAAGCAAGTTGCCACAATAATACAAGAACGATTGTACCTTGTAAAACCAACAGCAAAATTATAGATAGAGAAAAGGTGTTGTGAATATATTTATTAGATATTAATCGCTTCATAGACTTTTAAAAAATTGTGTTCATCGCAGTCTCCACGTAGTGGATATTGCTGTTTTTTGTTTACTGTGGATCCAAACTAAGCGCGTCTTTCCTATTTTGTTTTTTGCAGCTCTCTTCTCTCTCTCTCTCTTCTCTCTTGTGATAAATCGAAACTGGAGAGTAAAGTATGAAATTTTAATTTTTTTTATTTTTAATAGCTCGGTTTTAATAGAAATTGTCTTTGTGCAGGAAGAGTAAAAGAAACTAAAAAAAAGATATAAAAAATTCATTTTTTTATCATTTTGCATGTGGGGTACAATCCCACATACATTGACGGACATAAAAAAATAAAAACAGCATTGTTTAAATACCATCGAAATTCATATTTCCTATACAACAAGGACACAATCACTAATACAACAACTAATAACTACTACTTCAACTTCAACCACGAAATGAATAGCGAAAATTACGTTAGAGGAGAAACAGTCGATGTCAAAGAGGAATTTGGTGTAATAGACAAAGGTGACGACAAATATGTGGGTAAGAAGCCATTGGTTAAACCAATCCACATTGCTCCAGGAGTATATGGAGGAAATCTTGCTGGGCAAGCTTTGTTGGTTGCTATGAAGTCAACTGAACCCGAATTTAAACCACACTCGTTGCATTCGTTCTTTGTTAGAGCTGCTACTGACGAATCACCTATTGAATGGGAAGTGGAAAGAATCTCCAGTGGTAAGACCTTTTGCAACAGGGCTGTCAAGGGTTTCCAAAATGGTAAAATTGTCTTTTTTGCCAATATCTCGTTGACCAAGAAAAACTCTTATAAAGAAAGTTTAACCAAATGGGAAGAGGAGACAGCCAAATTTGAACAAAGGGGTAAAGACGGTGATGTCGACGAAGATGACGAGGATGACGACAAAGTTCCACAAAAGCCCTTCCGATTCCAAACTCCTTTGCACGATTGGGTTAAGAAGTACGGAGAAGATAGTTTAGTTGTTTCTCCTTGTGAGTCAAATATGTTGAGTTATTTCAAATTTTGTCCTGATTTCATACATTTGGATAAATCCGAATACGAAAAGGATGTTCCAATTGCCCAGCGTAAATTTTCATTTTTAGTAAGATGGGGTATTGATAATGAACAAGGGTATAATCAACCTTTAACGAATGTTGACGAACAGTTCCAGTTTGTTGGGTTAGCAAACCTCTCTGATGCATTAATTCTTAATGTTCTCGCAAGAGTATTGAGACTTGGTGACGTATCGGTACAAGACAATATGAAAAACTTTTTTGGCGTTAGTCTTGATCATATATTATACATTCACGATAATGACTTTGATGTGACTAAATGGATGACATATTCATTCAAAACAATTCGTTTCTCGCATGATAGAGTGTTGTTTGAAGGTGAGTTGTATAATCACAACGGTGTTCATGTTGCAAGTGTTATTCAGGAAGGTTTAGTAAAGCTTGCAGGAGCGGAAAGAGATGCCAAGTTGTAGTTTGTCCTTTTTATAGAATTTATATATCTAGAATTGTTTTGAATAAAGACTTTTGCAGTCGAATAATCGCCTTTTGGTGGTCAGAAAAAAAAAATGTCAACACTTCTTCGTAAACCAGTTCTAATCAATGGCACCCTGATGACTATCAAGACAACCCCTATAGATTTGAATCAGTTCAATGATACAACGCTAGAACACCTCCTAGCTCAGTTGAACAAGATCTACTCAACTTCAAATTTACTTGTGTTGGATCCAATCCTTTCGCCATTAATAAATAGTCTCACAACATTTCTGATCATCAAAGAACATGGCCATTGCCAAAACGTCGCATGGTTAAATGAGGACTTGATGGGATTACCATCTTCTGTGCTATCAAAGTACTCGAGTTTAATCGTATTGCTTCCCGAATCAGAAGCTAATTTGACAAAATTGGAAAAGTATATACGGCACATGCAACGTGAAAACCACGGCTTGAAATTCAACATAATAATCAAAGACTTGTCCAAGTCGTTCCTATACCAGGTTAATAAAGTGTTTAATGGCATTTTTGATTTTGAAAAGATCTTAGCCTTCTCCGAACCGCTCAAACCTATAAGCATAACATCAAAAATCAAGGTATTCAATTGGAATACCGAACCGTTGTATACAGATGGGATATTGATCACCGAAATTAGCCAATACTCAGGGTTAGATGATTATTTTTCTAGACCATTAAAGCAAATCAGCCATTTGACTAACGCTGTTCTTAAAGTTTTGTTTATGGGGATAAATGAGAACAACCACCAACACTTATTCAAGCTTCGAAACATATATGGCAAGGGGAATCACTCTGACTTGCTCATCAAAACTCTCTTACATGCCCAGATACCCAGTTACTTGAACGAGCATATGACGCCGCCAGAGATTGAGTTCTACGAAGACAAATTGCATAGTAATACAGATTTGGTTGTGATTGAACGTAATTTGGATATTATGCCCGTTCTATTTAGCCAACTAACGTATCACGGTATTATCGATGATTTATTTGAAATCAAGTTTGAAACCATAGTCAATTTGAAGGGTGATGTCAGCAAAAACCTCTCCAATGATGAATTGTATAATCAAGATTTAAAACACTTAAATTTCTCAGCTATTGGATCAAGGTTGAATAAAATGGCCAAATTGATTCAACAAAAATTCAAAGATTCGGGTAATTCAGGAGATACAAATATTGATGACATGAAGAATTTGGTATCCAATTTGGGAAGCTTAACATTGCAACAGGATCTAATCAAAAAGCATACGGTGATTGGAGAAGCAGTGCTTCATAAAATAAATAATGAGTATGAAAAGTTTTTGACATTACAAAATGACATTTTTGAAATGGATTACAAATTGCAAATGTCCAACTTGAGATCTTTTATAAATAGCAATTACCAAATCGAATTCATATGGCCAACGATATTGCTAATTGGATACATCAATGATGGCATTCCAAGCAAAGACTTGGAAAAGATTTCCACTGATTTGCAGGACAATTACGGGTTAAATGCTGCAATTGCTTTCGAAAAGTTGGTTGACTTGAAATTGATTAGGGTCATCAACGATTCTTCAAACGACTTTTTAACATCATTGGGCTTGACAAATCAAAAGAAGCATCATAGCATTGGTCCTCTTCATGAAGACGATAGCGATGTTGCAATAACTGGCGGGAAAGATGTACTCAAGAGCAATTATACACTTGTCAACAAATTCTGGAACTTGCATCCGTATGAAGACGATGATCTAGCAGAAACGAGTACAACAAAGCAAGATCTGACGAACCTTGTGCAACAGTACCCCAACCCATCTTTTACCTTGCCGGGAAACACAGTACCGCTAACATTCCGAATCATTGAATCACTATACTTTCGTGACTTTTTAAAATATAAACCAGTTAATAATGTCAAGTCGCGGCCAAATTGGGACAATCTAGGGTTGAATACAATGTTAGCCGGTAAAAGCGTCGATATGAATATGGACAACGTGAATGATGACAAGCTGAGGTATTTGATCATTGTATTTATTGGAGGAATTACAAGAAGTGAGATGACATGTTTAAAGTATCTCGAAGAGAGATTAAAAGCTAGAGGAACGCCAAAAGAAATAATAGTGATTTCGAATGGAATAATCAACAGTCATAACCTCTGGCTGTATATCACAGATTAGAATTTTTACACCTCGATTCCTTCCTGATAAATAAGTGTTTGTGTGTATTTCATTCATGCAAGTTATTATATATAGATCATGAATCCGTTAAACTCCTGTCTTTCTGTAGCATTATTCAAAACTCTCTCTCACTCCCTCTCTCCCCTTAAGCGACATCTTCAGCTTCTTTTTGCTTTTGCAATTGAGCGTAGTAAGCTTCTCTCTTGGCAACAAGTGGAGTGTGTTCAGTGTACCAGTACAAAGTGGCCAAGGTGAAACCGGCGGCAAAACCAATGGTGATATCGGTTATGATCTTTCTTTTTAAAGTACCTGTGATTGGAGCAATAGCCATCTTTGTGTGTTAGTGTTTTTGTTGTTGTTATAAAGCTTCTGTTGATATTATACACTTTGACCTTTTCTTTCTGTTCTATTTTTTTATTGGGTTTTTTTCATTGGTTTTGTCATAGCTAATGTTTGGTGCTACCACTTTTCGTTTATTAATGAGGTGATTTTTTTTGTTCTGTTTGTCTGTGTGTTGTTGCTGCATAAAATTTCAACAACTGTAACTTCATTGGATAGAAAACATTGGTAATCTTCACACGACCAGCATAACCTTTCAAATAAAACAACATCAATTTTTCTTCATCCATCCAATCTACACCACCTCCCATCTACAACACAAACTACATACAACCTTTCACACAGCATGTTTACCAGATCCATTTTACAAAGGTTCACCAAGACCCCAGTCCAACAATTGACCTCATCCATAGTACCAAAGAGATCATTCCAAATCTCCGCCAAATTGATGAGCGGTGATATGCAAAACATTTACGGTCACCCACAAGAAGGTGTTTACTCAAACTTGCCATTCAAAGTCAAAGGTAGAAAGTTCATTCCTTTCGCTGTATGGTACTGGGGTGTCTTGGGTTTCTTTTTCGCTTTCCCATTCTTGACCTCGACTTGGCAAATTTACAAATCAGGTGGTTTCAATGCTAAAGACGAATAAGTTTTCTAGGGGTTGGAAATGGAGTTAAGAAGAACTACTTGAGGTTTATGAGGTTTATCGAGTTAAATGCAACTGTATTTATTCAAGTTTATATATATATTGAAGGAATATTTGTTTAATCGTTAAAAGCTTTCCCTTCTGTATTATTTGGTATCCAGGCTACAAGCACAGACGAGTCGTCCTTGTATGTGTGTGTATGTGTGCCTCGTTCAAACTGTGAGTTCTACACCGGTCTACACTTCTCTTAACTAGTAGTTGACTTTTATCAGCCCCTTTTTCGATTCTATTGAAATTATTAACCTAATTAGAGTCAACACAGAACGGGACTATTCGTTTAATGCCGGGTCCCATCTAACTCTCTTGGTCGCCCTGGTTTCCCCTCTTTTAGGATCACGAAGGATCGACTTTAAAACTGTGGGCGTATGTGTAATTTTAGCCACTTTGTTAGACAGCGAATTTTGAGCAATTGTTGACATAGTCGTCAACGCTGTTGGCCTAGCATGCAGATCACTGTGCTGCATCTTTTGCCTAAACTCACTGAGACTAAGCTTCCTTGTATATTCAGGTCTAGCGTGCTCTGGTAACTCTGTTTTCAAATCTTGGTCTGCATTGTGAGCTTCTTTGGTTTCGCGTGATGTTTCATCTTCCGCAGGCGGCAGCGCTGGCGATGGCGATGGTGGTAGAGGTGGTGGAGGAAACTCATGAAATGGAAGTTGCACTTTATCCTGTAATGAAGTATCTATATCAGATACTGAAGCAGCTAGAGGATGGGAAAACGACGACATTAATCGTTTTGGGGAGCTTTCCTCCACACCTGGCGATGACCTTGGTCTCTTTAAAGAATTATGATGATGTGTCCTTTCTTCTGATTCAATTGACGAACCCTTTGATTTGACTTGTGCATGCGATGTATTTGGGGGTGTTGGAGGCCTAAAGGCTATCAATGGTTCTTTGAAATCCGATGGCGAGCTTTCAGGAGCTGTGCCCGATTGGGACTCCGATGGGGGTGGTGAAGGTCGAGGAGGCGGTATATGTGGTCTATAATTAGCGAATGGTATTCTAGATGATGCATCGTGTTGACTTGAATATTCGTGTGATACATGAGGGGAAACTGTTGGCTTAAGCTTGCTCAAGGGTATATCTGAATACCCTTCATTCTCCGGTGACTCTGTATCTGGTATTTGAGCTGTGTTGGTGGTACTTGTTCGTGAGGAATTATGTGCCCTACTTAAAAGTTGGCCAGTATTGAATGCTGGACCCTGATATGGTCGACTAAGCTGTTGCTCAGCCATCCGGGGATTATCCGCATTTAACCCTTCTTCGGTCAGTGGTATTTGTTCGTCAACTTTCTCCAGGTTGTCATTTGGCTCCTGTTTATCAACCGGTATAGAATCTTCTAACGGCTGCAAGTTATGAGCTGATTCGTTGAAAACACTCTCTGGATCATGCCAATCATCTTCGACATCTTGACGCCAGCCATCTTGTCCATTTGAATTTGGTCTCGTATCGTATTGCTGAATATCAGGTTGGTTTAGGTCGCCGGCGCATATACTATCCAAGACAGTCTTGGTCCCCTCATTCTCCTTTTCCACCCTCGATTGAGGGAAATCCAAATCAACCTCACTCTCATTTTCAAGCTTAATTGGTGCTAGTTTTGAGCCTTCTTTTGGATCTGATTTGACAGCAACTGCGTCTAACTTTGTGTCATGTTCTTGCAGGATTCCATCTTCGTGGGCCCCATCAGAAGATATCACTGAAGCTACCTCTATATCACTTGTATCCACTGACTCTTGTGATTTATTACTAGCTTCATAAAACCTATTGTTATCCACACGAGAGCTATGTAAGGAATCATTACGTTCTTCAGCTGCTCTATTTGTCGTCTCACCATGATAACCAAACAATGGGCTATCATTTGCATTCAAATTTCGACTGTCAATATCGGTTTTGTTAAAAAGATTGCTCCTAGAGCCTCCAAATAACCCCAACATGTCATTAGCTGGTGTTGGATTGAACGACTCACTCGTAACTTCCTTCTTGATTTTAATGACCTTCTCTCCCTTTGGTCCAACAGAATCACGATTCTGCACTGGCTTTGCAACTTGCCCAGCTGTTTCTCCATTAGTTATCATTCTTACCGGTTCTGTCTCAACAACACGTTTTCCAAAATTTTTGATAACATCTGCAAAGTCTGCTTCCTTGGAGGAGCTTGGAAAGTACTCGGTTCTAGGAGTAAAACAAATTACAACCTCGTTTTCTGCTACAAAATTTTCGAATCTCATTTTTTTACTTCTGATGGCATCTTTTATTGCCTGATCCTTCTTAAGCGATTCGGTATGAGTTCGAATATCCCATACAAACTCGTCTTGTCGTTGGTTTAGCCTGTCCAATGCAATTTTTATTTCGCGCAAGTCCTGTTCATACTTTGCCGCATGGAGTTTGAACTCGTCTGGTATCTGGATAATCACAGGTACAATATGCTCGCCTATTGATTTCGGTCTCATATCCTCCGTAATTGAATCCAAAAGATCGTTGATCCGAATCACTACGTTGTTTCTCTCTCTTTGAAAATATTTGTACAACGTCAATTCTCTTTCGCTGAGGAGCTCCAAGTCAGCCTCCAATACGCTCAACTTCCAATCCAAGTGCATGGTGTATCGTATCCACTCCCTTGCTTCGTATGACAATCCATCGGGAGTCAAGTACGCCTTTCTCCTTTCCCTATCGCTGACTTGAGAAGCCTGTGTGAGAAATCGATCGATCCTGTTTATTATATCCATTGAAAACTGAGGCGGGGGGTCTCGCCATGAATTGAATACCGCCTGTAACTTTTCACGAAGTTCCATTGCGCTGCAAGTGGTGTAGGCATGAACAAATAACCCATAAATCTTTGGAGCAAACAAAGTTTTATATGGATGGAGAGTTTTGATGATACTATCAATGAGATAGATGGTGTAGACTATGGCTTCTTTCGGTGAATTGAGTAGTTTTCTTTCGATCAATCTGCAAATAACATCTGCATCGGTCGCCGCATTTTCTGCCAATTGAGTCATATACTCTATAAACGCCTTTTTCGCTGTCAATTTTTTGAGGCCGTCTTTAAACTCTTCGATACAGGGTACATTTTCTGGGTTCCTAGGTTCGACTGAACTTGGGACAGACATGGTTTAGTTTCCTGTGTGCGTATCTGGTAAGTATTTTCTTGTGTGACTTTCGACGCGTGTGGAATGGTAGCTCTCTTTTCTGTGTGCGTGTGATCAGCCAGACAAAATATGCTTTGCCAACCACCGACGGTGAACAGGGGTGGTGTTGTATTTGTAAAGTTCAAACTTTGACCCCTTTGGCTTGAGGAGACAAAGTGCAAAGGTAAGTAGAAATATAGTAAAACAAAAAAAAAATGAAAGAACTCTAATCCTATCACAAGCTTTGAGAGCCCTCCACCTGAAACTATCTTTTGGGTCTATTGATTTGCACCAAATCAATCAATGATTAAAGATAGAAGTAAAAAAAAGATCCAGTTTAAAAAGTGTATCACTTTTGGGGATAATCGTCTTACTTGTATCTTTATAAAGATGGTTTCAGTGGAACTGATTAGCTTCTTTTCCCTTTGAAGAGAGGTTCAAATAAACTGGTCGCCAAAGGAAAAGAGAAAGAGAAAGAGGAAGAGGAGGAGAAAGAGAAAAAAGAGAAGTGAAGAAGTGAAATATAGTTGAGAAGAAGATGAATTTGAAAGGAGGAAAAAAAAAAGAAACCCATGCTGAAATTCATTATTCCGAATTAGGACAGCCACGGCAACATATTATAATTTACTACTACGCCATATATACATAGGAAAAGCAACTGCTGGGTCAGAAACTAAATTTTATGACATTCAAAGCTAGTTAGTAGTACACCATGTATCAGAACAGGAGGAGATAACGTTATTTTTTGATCATGAAAACAGCAAACAGTCCATCTAAATTGGTCTCGCAAAAATTAGTGAGCAAAATGTCGAGAGGATCCCAGTGAATGTTTCTTCAATATTCGATTCAAAACCGGACCCTTGCTAATCATGTTGGAATGTGTATTGGCTGTCCGAAACCCACCGCCAAGCCCATTATTCCGGTCACTACTTTGGTTCAAGGTGCCAATTCGCATATTTGCAGTTATTCTCGATGCTAGTTGGCTAGTCGCTGCTCTTCCGCCTAGGTTTGCGTATTTGTTCAAGCTCAACTTTTGGAAATTGGCTCGAGAACTGGATATTGATGATGTTGTGCCTGATGATAGAAGAGGAGCATGGTTGGAAGGATTTATTTCTCCTATCTTGGTTGACTCGGCATAAAACGATCTTTTGTTGGGATGTTGTATGGTAGCCACTGCCGCATGTGGCTTATTGGTGCCTAGTTTCTTCCCCATTGACTGTTGATGAATTTTGCTGATAAAGGTACTCAGAGCAAAGTTAAATGGCATTTCCAGTGGACGCTTGGTTATTGGCTGTATGAAGCTATTTTCGTTTTCTTGGTTTCTACCATACTCAATGTCGGCATCTTTGGTGAGCTCAAATGTTTCTGGTCGATTACACTCCTCCATCTTTTGTTTGAGACTTTCGACTTCTTGCTTGAGGCTCTCTGTTCGTGATTTGTACTTGTTCAAATGAGTGATTTCTTCTTTAGCAGCATATAGAAAGTCTTTCTGTTTTGCCACCTTTTCTTTCAACTTGCTATTGGAATGTTTCAAAAGGTTTATCTTGTCAACAAGGTTGATGAATTGGAATTTACATGAGCTATTGAATTCATCAATTTGTTGTGTAATTGGCGTAAAGAATCTTTGCAACTCTAATGGCATAGATTCATCAACTACCACTGTAGTTACATCTGTAGTGCCACATATTGGGCAACGACGTAGCTTTTTCCCCTCGTCAGAAGAATTGTCTAATGTATGTTAGTCGTTATGCTCCAAACCAGATCTATTCTAATCACTCACCATTTACAAAGTGGCCGTGGCAGCTTATGTGAGCACACGATGTCATCAATAGATAGTCATTGCCCTGTTTGGCTTCTGTGTAGTCATTGAAGCATACTCCGCAACAGATATAGTGTGAATTGATGTCCATTTTGTATTTGGGTTGTAACAGTTGGTTTGGTACAATGTCGTAACTTTGCAACCAAGTTACTTTCTTTTTGATCGCACGAAATTTGTCACATATATTTACGAAAGAAAAGAGAAACTGAGGAGGAGCTAGTACTAGGGCAGTACTTGGATCAATGCATGTACGAAAGGGTTTATAAACAACACCACGATTGTAAACTAAAGCGGGTGTATATTAATCATTGATACCCACGGCACTCCTTTAAATGACTTTGGTTTCACACAAGCAGCGTATTTTCATGGCAACACAAAAGGAGTTAGTCTCGCACAATGAAGGCCGAGGGTGGTCAAGTGACTGGCAATTTTATGACTCAAAAATTCAATCACGAAATCGACCGGTATCGGAAAGAGCTGGATCGCGCTAAATTTTCATTTCCACCACCACCACTCGTCGGAAAAAAAGAAAAAAAAAAAGTGATAAATTAGGATTCATTTGTCATCAAAATACAATTTCATAAAGTGGACGGTATTCAAAACTGTTTCACTTGGATTCAACTATTCTCCATTCAACCAATAATGATTTCCGCATCAGCTGTGAACCGTGCAAAGATGTTGCTGAACCATCTTCGTTCATTATCTACATCTGCAACCTTATCAAACAAGATCAAAGTCAAGAATCCAATTGTTGAGATGGACGGTGATGAAATGACAAGAATCATATGGCACAAGATCAAAGAGGATTTGATCCACCCTTATTTGGACGTTGACTTGAAGTATTACGACTTGGGAATTGAGCACCGTGATGCCACCAATGATCAAGTGACTGTTGATGCTGCTCATGCAATCCAGAAATACGGGGTTGGTGTCAAATGTGCCACCATTACACCTGATGAAGCCAGAGTTAAGGAATTTAATTTAAAGAAAATGTGGGTCTCCCCAAATGGTACAATTAGAAATATCTTGAATGGTACTGTTTTCAGAGAAAGTATTATTATTCCAAGTGTGCCTCGTTTTGTTCCCGGATGGAAGAAGCCAATCGTTATTGGAAGACACGCATTTGGTGACCAGTACAAGGCTACTGACTTGGTTATTAAGGAACCGGGCACTTTGGAGTTGAGGTTTACTCCTGACAATGGTGGAGAAACTCAAGTACAGAAGGTTTACCAATACACCAGTCCTGGTGTTGGCTTGGCCATGTACAACACCGATGAATCGATTAATGGTTTTGCTCATGCATCTTTCAGAATGGCCTTGAGTAAAAACTTGCCATTGTACATGTCTACCAAGAACACTATTTTAAAGAAGTACGATGGTAGGTTCAAGGATATTTTCCAAGAGATTTACGACAAGGAATATAAAGATCAATTTGAAAAGCAAGGATTGTGGTATGAGCATAGATTGATCGATGATATGGTTGCCCAAATGATCAAATCACAAGGTGGTTTCGTTATGGCTTTGAAGAATTACGATGGTGATGTTCAATCTGATATTGTTGCCCAAGGTTTCGGATCCCTTGGTTTAATGACGTCAGTCTTGGTCACACCCGATGGATCAGCCTTTGAATCAGAAGCTGCTCACGGAACTGTCACTAGACATTTCAGATTATACCAACAAGGTAAAGAAACATCAACTAACTCCATTGCGTCAATTTATGCTTGGACTAGAGGTCTTGCTCAAAGAGGAAGATTGGACAACACTCCTGAAGTTGTTGAATTTGCCAACAAGTTGGAGAAATCCACCATTGACACCGTTCAAATTGATGGAATCATGACTAAGGATTTGGCCTTGACTATGGGTAAGACCGATAGATCTAGTTATGTAACCACCTTTGAATTCTTGGATGCTGTTGCAAAGAGATTGAAACAATAAAAGAGCGGCTGAGAGGACCATAGTGGGATAGTATGTATAGATTTAATTTGACTATCAAACGAGAAATTATTGTAAACGCACACGTCAAATGGAGCTATCGGTAAAAATGCATTCCCAGAACTGACGTAATGTAGCCATAGCTGATCCAAAATTGGTCAACTCACTCTTTTAAGCAGAACACATAGTTGGTTGACCACTTATTTACTTATATGTTGACGTTCAGTTTCTTTGCTTTCCAAGTACTCCCAGGCATACATCAATCCATAATAGGTTCCGAGTGAAAGAAAACAAATCTTTAAAAACGGCCTTGAAAATTGTGTATAGAAAACCGTCTAGAATTCAAATGTTAGTATTATTCAGAACATGTAGTAGTTTCTTTGTTTACGCCACTGATGATATATCCATGCAATTGAAAAATTGGTGTGACCAATGATGAAGAATATTGCCGATTTGTCTGGAGAGAATATGCATTTTCTCGTGTAGTTGTACTTTTATGCTGTAAGAGATAATGAGGACTAGTGGTGATATGCTGCATATTTGTTGCAGTTTGTGCACATGGAACAACCGGAGTGGAAAGGAGGGGAGATTCAGTGGCTAGTGGGCTCAACCGGTAAAATATGCGAAAGGGGAAAGGAGTGAGCATGAGGTAGTAGTGGTAGTAGTAGTAGTAGTAGTAGTAGTACATACATGAGGGTTTATCCTTCGATTGGGATTGGTATTAGTCGTGTACAACCTTCGATGCATTTTGATATTGATAGATCTGATGAAAAGATAAAAAAGACAGTCTTAAGATAAATTTCAATTCGGAAGAGGATTAAATCCGGTAAATCGTAAATTTTTGTCGTCCTGCATATAGTTCTCCAAGCTTTTTGCAGGGCTGGTCTAGAAAGCAGAAACAACTTTCGAAAATAGCCATACTAAAGGCGATTGGTATCCTTTGGAGGTGTGGCTATATATTAGACTCCGTTTGGCTATATAATAGTATACACAATAGAAGTTTATTTTGTCTTGGCAAAAGATTAGGTTTTGATAAATAAACGAATGAGTAAATTATTCGTATTGAACTCGAGCTGAGGACTGTGGTAGGTCACACCTATTCATCAGATTATTTTCGATCTAGAACCAATACTAGTCTATACATTATTGTCAAAGATGGAAACTATAAGGACATGAAATTTTTTCTTCAGACACGATTTTGAAATAGATGCAATGAAAAACGTGCGAAAACTGTTCTGCCATGAGAACACTAACGAATTTCCCCCGAAAGCGACTATTTACTTAATTTGGTTAATTGTAAATTTCTTTGCACGTTCTAGGAGTAAATTAAAGTTAGTGACAAAAGGTTAAACACCCAACAGTAAACAAGAAAACTGTGAATTTGACAGAATCTGTTTTTCTTTACAAATTTTCTTTTACATTGCCTTGTACAAGTAATGACGACAGATGTATGATTGTTTCTATCTGAGTTATTGTTAGAAACGTAGTCTTATATCGGGTGGTACTGTATCTTTGATGTCTTAAAAATAGAAGCCAAAGAAAACCGCAAGTGATTTTCCTGGGTGCAAAAATTACACACCGCTGGATGATGATTACACAAAACTGAGACGACTTTTTATTGTTGCATTGTTTTTTAAAGTTGCTTTCGAGAAATAATTTAAATCAAAACCTTCCCTTTATTGTCCCATAAATCATCTTCTTTGTTTTTCCATATAGTGACAGGAGAAAAGTGTAATCTAAAATAAAAACAAAAGAAAAGATTGCAGAAGTCTAGACTTGCACGTATTTGGCCGAATTTCAGGTGTGTAGTAATGTTTCGAATAAACACACATGCAAACATTCAATGAGAATTCTCTATTTAGTTTGCAAGTTAACTCTGCCAGAGTATAGCGTACCTTCAAGATGCTAATAGATCATTAGCGAAATAAGCAAATAAAAACTTTTGGCTGTTCGTTAATCTCTTCTTGGTTGACGCAATATGCACAGGTTTTGCAGTTTGTTTTTGTTCCCAACTCTTTGTGGTACCATCATCCAATAGGCTTTATTTTTCTCGAAAGAGCAGTTTAGTTTCGGACTTTAACGTTTCTTTTTTTGATTGTTAAGCTTTTAGCCCCTTCCACAGAACAAGTTTGGTCATCAAGTGATGTATATTATTGGAGACAAGTTTGCTCTCAAGAGTGTTACTCTCTATCATACACCCCCTATCCTACTCACTCGTTCAAAGACAAAAGCGATTGGTCATGTGTACCTATGGTAGGGGGAAGTTACCAACCTACGTTTGATGATGATGGTAACTATTGCAAAGAAGGTTGAATAGGTTAAACTGCAACATATAGAGTTGATATCATCTACCAACAAGAGAGAGATAAGGTATAAACCCAAAGAGTGCGCAATGGAATAAATACACAGCCAGTATTCTAGAATATGCATAAACTATAATAGAAGAAGCACACTACCGTGCCGAAGAAGAAAGTTTTGACGATAAAACTGACTGACTCGAACACCACGCCTTTTTTTCCACAAAGCAAACAACGCAACAACAACATAACCGGGGAATTAATTTAAGCAATTGTACAGTTTTTAAAAAAAGGCAAAAATAATGGATGAGTTGTTTTCTAAAGAGTAAAAGTAAACCAAAACCTTCGAGGGTCTTGAAACAGCAATAACTGGATTTGATAAGCTGAGGAGGATAGATTGTTGAAATGTTGTTTTTACAGTGAATATTGGAAGGAAAGATGACGGGACAAGTAACCTCAAATAGGATATAGTGGGCTTTGTTCAGATCTCTGTAGATTTAAAAGGGGAAAGTGGTATATAAATATATATGTCCAAACATTAGTGAGAGACAAGGAGTATAGATTTAATATTGAGCCATTTACAACGTTTCCTTTGTGTTCTCCTTTCCGGTAATAAAATTTTTGCATCTGTCCGTGGTGGGAAAAAGATAAAAACTCGAAAACGAAAAATACTAAAATTGCTCTACACCGCATGGACGTGTCATACGACACAATGTGTATGAAGAGGTACATGTGGCGTGGTAAATAAGTAGAGTATCTTTCGTATTTGTTGGTGCTATATATGTAGGTGTAGTTTGCAATGTGAAAAGATATGATATCATTAGAAATGATAATAGCGATCAATAGCAACTATAAAATAATCAAATGTTTCTTTTTGACTCTAGACTGCCCATTATTGAAAAAAAAAAAGAAACCAATTGCAATCGATTTGTTGCTTTACATAAAACAACAAAACGACATATGATGGCTTCGTAGTTGTAGTTGTCGTAGGAGTTGTAGTCGTTGAACGGCAAATATATACTTCCTATTTATTACAATATTAAACTTGTCATCAGTCAAAAGGGCCCTTTGAAAGCCATTTAACTTTGTAAATGCATAACGAATGTTGGACGGGGGGTTATGTCTGTATATAGGAGTCTATTGTTTAATATTTGTTGGACTAACCACTTGATTCAACGTTAAAAATAGTAGGCTTTGAATGTAACCTTGACATAAAAACTTTAAAAGGTCTTTTCCCGTAGTTTTAAAGGTCTAAGAATTGCGGTTCTCGAACAAACAAAGAAGGCACACATTGGTTTTAGTCTAATTCTTTTGTGTAATGATGTAATAGCTTTCAAAGACAATAGCCAAAAGTTGTCTTTTTTTTGTCTGATCTGAGTTACATTAGTCAATAGATTTCATATATACTACATAGGAGTTTATGGGTATATATAGGTATCACAGCCTCAAAGAAATTTCGATTTTACTTCCTATCTTTTGGTTTGAATACGATACTTATTGACCAAAAAACAACTTGAGTACATCACCAGCCTTTTGAACTATCTCAACAGTCAAACGAGCGCCAACTAGAAAAGAGAATCATTAACGAAACACCACGAAAGGAAACGACCAGACTCTACGCAAACTATCCAAACCCAGTTATTAAAAGTTGCAATTAAAAGTTACACTTTTCAAACCTAGAATCACAGTGAGAGTCAACGAGACTAACCATCAAAAACTTTGAGATCATTGAGTTAATCAAGTACCCCTCCGGAGTCCTGATCAAACAAGTATATCTCTATAGTGTCGCTTCGACGGTCAATCTAGTAAATTTTATATTCGCATCCTACTGGAAAGAATCTGCCTACAACCATCAAATCACAGGCTAGTCCCAAATCAAAGGAACAGAGTTGAACATCTAGGTCGAGGAGGAGTATTTATTCTATCACCAGACACATCAACACAGTAATTGTGTGTAAAGAGAGAGCAATTTATGAAAAATTGAATAAGGAAACAGTGCAAAAAAGTACAAGGGATTAAAATAAATACTACACCCCTCCTTTTAGAATATTATTATTATTTTTGCACCCCCAGATAATAACCTTTTTGTCCTCATTGTTATTGTCTTAGAAATTATTATTTATTATAAGTGTCATAGACAGTTTTTTTCCAATTTTTGTGTCACTTGATTAAATTTCATTTTACTCGAGGAAGCTGAACTTACACAAAACAGCTACAATAGACAATCTTACCTAAGAAATTATCTAATACAGACATATACTCCTAATCAAACAAAATTCAGTTGGGTTGTCTTAAAATAAATCTAAAAAGTATTTTAATCAAGGCGGGGCCACAAAGACAAAAGAATAACGCATAGAACTTAATCCACACTTAGCAAATTACCACTAACTACTTTAAACTGTCTGCGTTTGTTTGTGTGTCTGTGATTGGTTTACTTTTTTTTTTGTCTTCCAAATTTTTTACACAATTGGGTCCATAAAGCAGGTCTAGACCACAAAACTAAATCAACATAATATTCCACACAACCACCACTGAAGGCTTCTTGCATTTTGACTTTTAGTGATAAAAAGAATACTAAAGTACTGTCAAATTTTAGAAACAAGGAAAAAAAAAAGAGTTCTACAACGTTTAAACTTTTCATATTGAGGCTTTTAATTCAGAATACAACATCACTTGAACAACAATGCTTACATCAAATCATACCATTAGTCCAATTGGATACAACTTCAACAACAGTTCAAGATCCCCATCACAAAATTCACATGAGAAATCGACCTCCATTTCATCATCAATGTCCTCATCCACTTTAAATCAGTCGAACGGAATGACAACTCCGAAGCTACCCTCTATTCACCATCTCACAAATGGCGTAGCAGCCTTTGAGAGAACCACGCCGCCCAAAAAAGATCAATTTCATATGCTGCAGCAACAAAAACTGCCCATTCATACTACTACATTGTTACCAGCGCCATTGGCTCCTTCACTGCATCTGAATTTTGAGCAAAATCACAATTCTACAGCTGCACAACCACAATTTCCTTACGTTGTGTCTCAACTGAACCAATTGCACCACCAACTTCGTCTGCCTGTCAATAAGCAATATGTATTTACCCAAAATTCACCAACTTCGCCTATTTCACCTATACTTTTACCATACTCGGCAGTCCAGAGAGGTGCACATAGTTTTAGTCCTCCAAGCTACCCAGTTGCTTACACCAGTCCACAACCCCAATTCAATGCTTCATATCCCTCAAGCAATTCACCGGTCCAGCTATTACCATTGTCATTGCCACTTCATCCTCAACATATAGTCACCACTCCCAAAGCTTCGCAACAGGCATCTTATCCAAGCGACTCAGTTGATGCCAATGTTGAGATCAAAGGTACTTCAGCAAAGATCACCAAGCCTGTAGGTAAACTGTTAAAAAGGAAAAGGAGGCCAAAGTCTGCAAATAATGGTTCGCACGATCCCAAGCTGCATTCCAAAAGCGGTTCTCTGATCCACAATAGAAAACCTCGGCAAACACTTGTCTTCAATGAGGATGCAATTCACTATCCAGTTCATCGCGATCTTTCGCAATTGATTAATTCCAATAAGATCCCATCATCGGTTGTGCAACAGCTAAACACAACCATTTATCCTCAAATTGATACCAAAAAATACTCAACTTCAGCTTTGGACCCTCAAAGAAACTTTCTTACTGTATTTGAGTACATGGTTAACGATCACTGGATAATTTGGGACTACGAAACTGGCTTTGTTCATTTGACCGGAATTTGGAAGGCATCATTAAATGTCGAAGGTTCAGCTCCACCAAGTGCTTCACACTTGAAGGCTGATATCGTCAAATTACTCGAGTCGACACCAAAGCAATACCAAGCCTACATTAAACGCATTAGAGGTGGATTTTTAAAGATTCAAGGTACTTGGTTACCTTACAAGTTGTGCAAAATATTGGCAAGAAGATTTTGCTATCATATCCGGTTTGCTTTGATTCCAATCTTTGGTGCTGATTTCCCTGAGTCTTGTTTGCATCCCCATGATTCTGGTTATGGTGAGTTGAAATTGGATGACTTAAAGTACTTTGAGGAACAAGACTTGCCCGAACCTGTTAATAATTCAAATGAAGATCATCATCCTCAACTGCCACCACTGATTTCGTCTGAAATGCAACAACCAAGGGAGACGGAGACAAGTGCCAAATCGCCTTCGTTAGTGGTGCAACAGCAAGTGCAACAGCAACAGTCACAGCTACCTTTTTCTGATCGATCTGTTGGCTTGGCGTCACCCGTCAGTATAAGCAGTGGCTCGTCAAAGTTTGTGGACGTCGAACAACTTCCACCGGTAGGTACTTTTTCACCAGTGTCGTCTAGAAAACCATTAACTGTTGGTCAATACACTAATCAATGCTCTCCACAGCCATACGAGGACCAATACTTGCCCTTATCAACGCCAAATCTGCACCCCCATCTTGCTCACGACAACCCCAACTCAACGAGTAGTGAATCATTGAATTCAATATTTTCTCTGAAATCTACTACCCAAGGTACTACTCACACCAAACCTCAATCGCAAACGGACTTGCTTGAGATTGTTAACGCTTCAAAGTGTCTTCAATCTTTGAGTCAAGAGCGTCGTGGTTGTGGTGATGGTAATGCAAGAAAATTCCCAGTGCCAGGTCAACAATTGTATAACCATGCTTCAAGGAGCTCGGAATCAATTGAAGACGAAACTGATATTGAAGATGATGGTTCTAGCAACACGCGTTCAACTTTTAAAACTGGTCAAAATGTGATGGAGGATGGGATTTCCTCGATTTTGATAGCTGCTGAAATAAACAAATCCAATGCAAACAATTCCAAATTTAGGCCAAGTATGAGCATCAAAGATTTGACAACATAAACGGGAAGAGAGCATCGCCACTGCTAGGGATACATTCTTCAATGGCGTGTGCGTTTCCTCATTTTTACGAATATATTTTACTTCAATACAGTGTGATTTTACACAAACCGTTACTTTTTTCACAGTAATTTAGACGATTTATTATACGAGAATTTGCGAGATTATATAGAAACCAACCGTTTTCTCATTGATGATGCGATAATTCATTTCTATGTGTATAGCTTTTCTAAACTTTCTTAAATATACGTGGTGCGTTTTGCAAGAGCTTTTCGAATCAACGTGAAAAAAAATAAAAAAGCGGTCAGAGTGAAACCTTTACCTTAGTCAAACCACCGCCAACAAAGTTACTTTGTACACACATCTAATGGATTTCGTGGAATTCGACACGTTTAATGCAGATGATAAAGATGTTAATCTACCTCAACCACAGCCAGCGTTGTCGCTACCTATAGCATCAAATTTGGAAAATTTCAGCAAAAAGATTTCTGCATTCAGTCTATCGAGGAATTTCACCTCCTCCAATAATGACACCACCACTAACAATCACCGGTCTCATGAGAATAATGCTATGGACAAATATGCCAAACTTTCATTGTCTCTTTTAAAAAACGAAGAGGCTCAGACAAAGTCTGTCACAGTGAACCAAAATGTCACTGATTCATTAAGTACACGTTTGTCAAGAGTTTTAAATGGTTCCATCAGTGATGCCCGGATGAGAGATATCTTCACTGGCCTTGAAGACAAGCTGGATCATGATGGAAGGTATTACCAAGAGCTTGTTGAGCCAGGGTTTACTGGCACAGTAGCAAGAAAGAAGTTAAAGGGGCGTATTGAGCAAGAATTGATCAAAAACCAAACCACCATTTTAAAGGAATACCAACCAATAGTAAAGCAGTTGAAACACATGGAAGTAAAATTGAAGAAATTAAACGAGTTAAACACGCAAACAAATCATCGGTTGGAGAAAAACTTTCAATTTCTGCATGAATTCAATACCACGGTCAATAAACTATACGGAGAAAAACGATTGATTGGAATCAAAAAGGATCTTTTGAGTGCATTCAAAAATAAATTCACGTTGAATGAGTATGAAGAGTATGTGCTTCTGCAAGGCGATTTGAATGATGATTTTTTCCTGGCATTGACGAAAGCAGAAAACATTGTTGCTAATTGCTCGATATTGTTGGCTGAAGACAACCCTCAATTGGGGTTGAAAATTATGTCCAAAACGAATGCCGTCATCAATAAGGCTATAGAGCGGTCTGTGCACTATTGTCATCGAACATTGGACAATTTGTATTCCCTCAACTCCAAAAGTCGGTTATTAACTTTACACAAATGTTTCCAATTCCTTAAAGACAAGGATAGATTTGCTGAAATTATTGACAAGTTTAGCGAGTCAAGATCCAAGGATTTGTTGCATGAATTTTATAACCAGATTCAAGGACAAGTTGAGCCACAACATGGCCAGTCAGATGAAAGAAGACCCAGTGCAAGAAGCGCTGCATCGAGTAGCACCGATATTAGACCACTTTTCCTATCGGCACATGATCCTGTCCGATTTGTGGGTGACTTTCTCGCCTATATTCATTCGATTGCCGTCAATGAGTCGGAAACAATAACCAATATCTTCACCATGGGTGATGATAATGACCACCAATTCGACAGTATTATACAAAATGTCACCAATATGATTTTGAAGGCGTTGTCAAAACCAATAAAGTCGAGAATTGAGCAGATTATATCAACAGAAACGAAATTGCTCACCATTTTCCACATTTTCAACTTAGTCGAGCTTTATTCAATGATGTTTGGTAAACAATTGCGCCACTCAGATGACCTTGTTTTAACCATGAAGGCATTGGTGCGGGCGTGTCAGGAACGTATCTTTACTATTGTGTCGAATAAAATTGCCACTATTGCATCGAGCAATCTGGCGCGATTGGAGTTGAATCTGGATTTGCAACCGCCAGAATGGATAATTGAGTTTTATTCGGAAATATTACCGATGATTGATCAGGTTGCCAGTGATACTATCCTTCATTTATCGCAAGATGAGAATGACCGGTTTTTAAATTTAATTATTAACCAGCCCATCAAGGTGTTTACTGATCATGTACATGATAATAAAACCTTTACCAAAAGAGACTCATATATCATACGGTTCAACTTTTTGGATTTAATACAATCCAAAGTCATGCCGATTGCATTGTTGTCGGATAAAGTTTTGGAAATTAATGATTTGAATAATGAATTAATTGCCAAATTGACCGATTTGGAACTTGCCAGTTTACTTCAAAGTTGTGGGTTATATGATTATAACAACATCATCAATATGATTTGTCCATTTTCAGATGATTATTTTGAACCGTCCATTTATGAACCGATTAAAGAGAATAAATTGTACAATTTGAAAAATGTACAAAAAGTCGATGCAACATTGCAAGAATATGTACCCAATGCAATGATTGAGATACAGCAGCTGTTGCTTCGATTAAATTCCCCAGTAACTGTCACTGATGTGGTTAATAATGTGTTTTTGGAGTTTGTCAAATTTGTCGAAAAGTTCAACTTGATCAATCGAGAATATTTAGAGTACAATTTTACATGGTCAAATTTCGAATTGGCAACAATGTTGGGTATTGACAAAGTTTATGAAACGTATAAACAAGGTATCGATTTCTTAAATGAATAAGAAAATGAAATAAATAAAAGTACCTTCGTCTAGCTATTCTCCTCGAATGGGTTTCTGTCCTCTACCGTAACCATCTTTGGCATAATAGTCCATTGGGTAGTATTTCTCGTCCCACATTGTATCCTGTTCAAGCATCACCATTGCTTCGTATGGAGTTAGCAATGGCTTATTAAATGCATAACCCCAGTCAATCGATAATCTAGGACAAGCGACTTGTACAAAAGCATCAACGTCATCAAACATGGACAATTTTTGCGGAAATATCTCACTAAGAATGATCTTGACCACTTGTACTCCTTTTTGAGAAAGTTGATGTTCCAACTTTTGTAATGTTACGGGGTTCCCCTGTCGTCCTAAAGCACCAAGGATTAGCCCAATTTTCCTGGCTTTTCTCGCTGTGACGACAGCATCTTCTCTCACTCGCGTCATTTGTGTCTGATCGTAGTACTCGCGAGTGAATTTTCGATCGTAGGGATCGTAGCGATATGCAGGGATATCGGGGTTGTGGATCATTGAACTTTCAAGATGGAATCTCCCATCACCAACGTATATCGTCGCTTGGATATGTTCCTTGTTTAGCCTGGCTGATGTACAACCTAGGAGCTCACCCTTTGACAACGGTCTTGCTTGAGGCGGGATTAAATAAATTGGCTTCTCAGGATCATTTTCCAAAATGGCCTTGACACTATGGATTGTGGGGTTGAATTGTATAGTACCAAAGATGGCAATCTGGGCTCCTTGATCGAAATTCCTCTTTATGGTCTTGATCAAATGCGTTTCATCAATGTTTATCGTGACAAATACATACAATACCTTAATCTCGGTAATGTCAATGGGGACAAGACATGAATGAGCATAGTGAACTATAAAATCACAATCTAGTGATCTCGCGGTGAAATCATCAATACAACATGCTCCGTATGATACATCTCCCATTACTAATGTTTCAACTTGGCAAAATTCCTCCAATATATCTGAAATAATTAACGAATAAATAAGTAGACCTTCTGGCATTTGCAAAGCAACTCGTTTGGCATTTTGTTTGCGAATATTCCATACTGTCTTGTGGATTTCAAAGTTGTAGTTGGAAGGTAGTAGCTTTATAGCTTCATTCAAGTCTTTATCATTTAATATATCATCAGGAATTTGGTTGATGGCTCTACCAATATGACGCTTAATGCGAGTTTTGACTAATGGTTGATCCTCGGCTGTAGCTTTAATGTCTGAATTTGGCTTTCTACCAACAAATCTTCTTTTTGCAATCTTGGGTTTCTCTGACTCTGCCTCGTTGTCGATCTGAATTTCAGCAGGACTCATTCTGGTGTAAACTAGGAACTGATATGTGTGTGTAGATTAGAGTTGGATTACAACTTTTTTTTTTTCTCTTCATCTCTGCTCCAACTTTGCAACTGTCTTTTGTGAACCTTTTTCTTCTAATCTCATCACAACACTCACACTGACACACCCACTATAGCTGTACCCAATTGTTAGATTTACCTTCCCTCCTCCTTAAACTATGCTTACCCCTTTTTTCACCATCAACCAGGATGATGAGTTTATATACATTGATGTCAAGATCTCTCATATTAGATTCAGTGCACCTAATATCGAAATGACTGTTGACAATGATTTATTCATATTTTCACTCGCCCCATATTACTTACGATTAAGGTTCCCATATCCGTGTGTGGATGACGATAGATCACATGCTGAGTACGACTCTAAATCAGAAAGTGTCAAGATCAAAATACCCAAGGAGACTAAAGGACAGTTTTTCCCTGATTTAGACTTGACCGCCAAGTTACTTGCAAGAACAAATGAGAATACAATCGATGAGCAAAAGGAAAAGAAGCCATTGATTGAGGAAATGGATGTTAATAACACGGTAAGCAATGACCAGGCTGAGAAAGATTTGCAAGAAGGTGAGGATTTCAACTGGGAAATTAAGCAGGAATTTCCTAGCAATTCTACTTTGGAACCAATTGGCGGTACCGAGGATCTAAAAACAAGTTCCAGTGTCAAGTACGGCTTTAACAATCAATATGATGGAATAGTTGGTGTAAGTGTATCCAATGGTAACGATATCAATGGGCTAGGTGATCCTGAGTCAACCTTTAAGCCTGACCGAATTATTGAAAGGCTAATTAAAGAGAACATCCAGTTTGATCCGGAAATATATGCTGCCGATTACATTATGGAAAAGCATCCAACACCTGATGATGATAAAAATTTTAATCAATTGATTGAGTGGAAGAATCCAACAGTTCAGAAATTTCTCAAGTGGTACAAATCGCAGCAACTGGTGGATGAAAGTGAACGTGATGCCGTGATGCCCGTTGAGTTTTCCAAGGAAGAACAAGAGAAGATGATGCAACTACCGAGAAAGTCTTACTTGGTAGACGGTCAATACAAGCTTGAAATACTTGGAACTATCGTTTGTCTTTTGTTTGGATACAATTTTGACATGAGAGAGAATGAAGGCGAGCACAATGTTGAAAGTGCTTGGACAATTGGTAAAATTGCTCCACAATTTTCCTTCTTGGATTCCAAATTGATCGACAACAACTCAGATAATTTATTGAGATCAGCTGTCATTACTTGTATACGAAGGGCATTAACATACCCACTTCATCGCAGTTTCGCATTATGTGGAAAGGTATGGGATGATGTGTATTATCACCTACGGAGTGGGAAAAGACTTGTACTTCAATCGCTACTAGATTTGAAAGAGCTATTTCGGTTCCACGATATTTATTATGTTTACGACAAGATTTGGTTGGAAGATTTGTGTGCTTATTTAATCAGTGATAATGTCACTGAAGGACAGATTAGGAAACTCGCCCATGATGTGAAGAAAACTGTGGACAGTGTTACTAAAGCAGACATTACTTTTGAGAAAGCCGATGAGGATATAGAAATGGGTGACGATGGCGCAGTAGAGCAAGATGAAATGGTGGCACTTACATTAGACGATATTGACAAAATGGCAGAGGCTGTATATGATAATATGTAACCTTATTGAACTAAATAAATGTCCAAACTAGGGAATAGCTCTTACTTTACCATATAGCACAATCCTTTACCGACAACACCTCTAAGCCTCGTTGGACTCAGTCGGGCAAAGGCAACCAATACAGCAAAACTCAAACTAAAGGCAAGAGTCTCCAACTTCCTCCTCTCAAGACTATCTGTCGCGTCAAAAAAAGTTCCTAAAGCCTTTGGTGTTACAAATAGCATTAAATCGTCACGTCTTTTGGCACTTTCAAATAATACACTCAATCCAGCAAGTGCAGATCCGGCTTTGATGCTCAATATGTCCCAGAATCTTTGATTGTACAACTTGGGATGGTAATTTCGTATGGAGCATATACAACCCCAGTGAATAGTTGTCAATGAACTAACAAACAAAGAAGATTTGATTGTTTTAATGAACGCCTTCTTCAAGTTTCCCTTAAAGCCTCTAAAGAATACAAATGCGAATAGGTTGATGTAGGAATAAAATCTCAAGCTGGAGGTAAATTGAGCCAAGAAATTGTCAAGTGTATGTTTGAAGCAACTCTTAGTCGTAAACTCGTGCAACACCTCACAAGGTAATTTGTTCTGTTGTCTCAAGTCTCCCAATTTCGGGTCTTTGCCTTTCAGATCGGCATAGATTTTAAAAGTGTCTTCACTTGGCAAGGCTTCCTGAGTGTTGTAATCTAACTCGCCATCATTTAGTAGCTGCATTCCCTTTTGTATGTTGGGGTCTATTCGAGACATTTTAGTTATCCAATTCACCATTCCAGGACTAAGTCTATCTGGTTTGAACCACCACGCGGTCATGACACAGTAGGTGGAGACTAGAATAACCAGAAATTCAACCAAGTCATTTGTCTCTGCTGAAACCTGAGGCAAAACTGTGGCCGATATCACAGAATCAAGCGCCTTTGTGACCAAGATAAATGTCCAGTCAAAAGTGTAGTACTTGTTTTCTTCAATCTTTAACTGTTGAAAACGAGGAAAATTCAACAACGATGACACCAAGCCAGCTAGAAACGTAGTTGTGAAAAGAAAATACTCACCATCCACATAAGGGTATAATGCCTTCATAAATAACGGATTCAATGCATTTAAAGTTGCTACTAAACGAATCATGAATATAGGCAGACGATCAGCTTGTAATGGTGCAACAAGAATCTTCCATGTTTCACTCAGAAAGCCCTTTGCTTTTAGCTCCAAAAGATGTTTTGTTGCGTTTTGCAAAAGATTCGGTACCACCTCACATAGATAGGCAAAAATTGCTACCACAATAGTTGATCTTTGAAGGAATAATGCTCGAATTACCCTGATGACATTTTTGGCGCTAATACGATAGATGTACCAAATAGTTCGTAGTTGGCGTTTAACTATTATTGAAGCGGTATTTAGTAGTTCGATCAGGTTGAGTAAGCGTAGATATGTCGCGGGAGTTACTGTTGGTGGCTTCATCCCTGTTAAGCCATGCACCAAAAGAGGAATCAAAATAATAATAAAGAAAAAAAATAAAGATAAAAGCTCAAGCGCAAAATAAAGATCACAAGGTAGAATTAGAATGTCTGGAAGCCCTGAGTTAAGGTACTGACAAGATGGAGTAAATTGTGACAATGTCATTAAATAGAGACACTTTTAGAGACTGTGCTAATCCACTTTCTAACTTTAACTAACTTGGAAACATAACATTTTAGCTACAAAGTGGTTATTTTTACGATTGTTTGATTCAATTTGGTGCAAAAATACAAACAAAATAATAACCACTTAAATGGCCGTTGAATTAACAAAAGAATGTAGTGTTATTAAAACTAAAGTCTATACTATTTGAGCTAATTTAATACCTATTGAATAGAGATTCAATTAGAACTACAACAAGCATTATTAGGTTCTCAAAATTTATTAACATAATAAATAGTCAGCAATATTTGCTTAAAAATCGCTCTTATGGCCAAGTTGGTAAGGCACCTCACTAGTAATGAGGAGATCGTAGGTTCGAATCCTGCTGAGAGCATTATTTTTTTCGAACTTTTCTAAGTTCAAGCTTCTTTTCTTGTTTCTTGATATTTTTTTTTTTCCAATATTCTTATTCAACCTCTCAATACATCTCAAACGATCTATTACCGCCATTGACAGATATATTATTCCCCATGTCCAAAGAAGATCCAGAGCTCAATGAGCTATGGCAAGAATTTCAAAATGCCAATGATGATATACAGCAGAAAAGGAACGAGGTTATCAAAGAGATTAATAAAAATACGATTTTGAATGAATATCCAGGGAAATTGTCCATCATGACAGCTTTAGATGAGCTTATTGCTTGTTTTTCATTAGGGGGGCAATTCAAAAACTATTACAGATACGGATCGTACGATGCTTGCCAAAGACAGAGGGAGAAGTTTTGGTTTGCAATAAAACATGGGTCGCTTGTGGAAGGGAAAGATAAGCCTATCGAGGAATTGAACGACAAGGAGTTAAACAGTCGAGTTAAGATTCAAGAATTTTTCAAGAAACGTCTACTAGAGGATAAAGCTAAAGGAAGCTCAGAGGATATCTGGGATGCTAGAAAAAAGCTACAAAGTTATCCCTTCAAGTAGTTATATCATCCATCGTTAATATCTCACATTATTATACAACTTTTTTTATCCTGTACATCGTCGTTAGCTCCCTTGGGTTTGGCATTTAAAGCAACTCTGGCAGCCTCTGAAAACGCCTCATTGACACCTCTATTCTTTTTAGCAGAACATTCCAAATACCTAGACGCGTTAATCCTTTTCGCTACAGCTAATCCTTGATCATAACTGATAAGTCTCTTTTGCGATGAGTAGGGGTTTCCCTGACTATACTGCTGATTCTGGTTCTCAGTGTCTTCGTCGTTCCTCAAATCACACTTTAAGGCAACCAAAACTAGCTTGACCCCTTCACAGTGATCGGCAATTTCTCCGACCCATTTCGATTGAACGTTTTCGAGCGAATCAGGAGAATCAACAGAAAAACACAACATTATGCAATGTGTATCTGAATAAGAGAGGGATCGCAATCGATCAAACTCTTCTTGTCCTGCAGTATCCCATAATGATAACTGGACTGATTGTCCATCAATGAATATATCATGAACATAGTTTTCAAACACAGTCGGCTCATATACCTGCGGAAAATATCCCCTAGTGAAAACGTTTAAAAGCGAAGTCTTACCACACGCACCATCACCGAGAATAACAATTTTTCGTTGAACTATGTTGAAATGTTAGTACAAAGTTGAATAATTTCGCTGATTGGTGTGATGTACATACTCGTCTTGGGTGAACTTGCACAGAGTGGCATTAGAAACAATGGGCTGAATTAGGTACTAGCAAATGTAGGCAGGCTCCAATGTAGCTTCTGTCAAGGTAAAACCCTATTCTGTTGTCAATATTTTGGGTCAGATAGGAAAAAAAACAGAAAGAAAAGGTGGTGTGTAACCGTGTGGATACTGTTTTTTTAGTCTACGTGGAGTGTTTACTTTTTTTTTTTTCTAATGTTTTTTTTTTTTTGTTGTTCGTCTTTTCTTTTGTTTGTTGTATTTACAGTTTTTTAGAATTGAGGCGGTGATCCACTAGCAAAGTGTTAGAAGGGAAATAATCGTGCCAATTGACATGAACATATGTTTCAAATAGGGACTACAGTTTCCTATCCATAGCAACCACTATTTTAAAAATGTAGACCGTGTTGGTAACTATTAATCTGACACTGTAAGCCATCTGACAATTCAAACATTCTACGATACTAGAGAGGGGGTTGTAACACTTGCAGAATGCAATCAGTGAATTAGTCATATTAATTATTTACCAAGCAATTTCTAATTGCCGGCTCTTGTATGAATTCTATTAATTACTAAAAACACCTCACCACATAGCTACGCGTCTTTAAGATATCCCTGTTCTCACCACCTTGAAAACCAAGAGCACCTCCTTCACCTCTCTGTCTAGACTAATTGAAGCGACATCGTATAAACCCCCAAGGAGTCTCAGCTTTGTAATTTGAAAAATGGGTGATTCATGGCCTCCTTTGCTGTTGGCCTCAACTGATGATCATATTGTAACAACTTGTCAATCAAGTCCAACACGGCGTCGCTTATCAAGTACCTATTCTCATTATTTATAAAAGACTTCCATGGCTTTCTAGGATAGTTGCCTAAAATATCGTCATAATCCAGGCTTAGCTTGATTCCATATTTGTTCACATAACTCATTAACCCCTCTGTTCCCAATACCTTGGCAATCTGGACCAACTGATCGTTATTTGAATCACCTCTAAACAATGGTTCCTTCTTGAATATTATTGCCCCCAACATACATCCAACTGACCATAGATCAAGCGAATAATCATACTGCTGTAAATTCACCAACAACTCTGGGCCCTTGTGGTATCTCGATGCAACTCTGACATTATAGTCCATACCTGCGTGGTAAAACTCTGCCAACCCCCAATCTATTAATCTTAATTTTTTGTTCATTGGATCTATCATTATGTTTTGTGGCTTCACGTCCCGATGTATTATACCCATTGAATGGGAATAATCCAAGGCTATCAAAAGTTGGGTAAAGTAATATTGAATGTCCTTAATAGTGAACTTCGGATACAACACCCTAAAGTCTACATTATTGACCTTCTCAAATATCAACGCCGGTATTTTTGATTGTTCATCGCGCACCACATCCAAGAGTCCCACCACGTTGGGGCCACCTGTCAAATTTTGCAAAATCTTAACCTCGCGATATATCTTTTTCAATTTTACCGGTTTCAACACTTTTATAACACATGGCTCATCGTTCAATACATTTATGCCTTGAAATACTTCTGAATATTTTCCCCTGCCAATCTTGCTGACTATCTCGTAGTTCTTTATATCTCCCCAGCCTATCTTATGGTTCTCGTAATCCCAATATTCTGTCGGTTTCTTGCTATTCACATCAGCATAGACCCTAGATACGGAGTATACTCTTTGTTTCGTTGTCATCTTCTCTCTTTTTTCTATTTTTATTTTTAGTCTTCTAAACTGTGGTCTAAATTTTCCCAATCAGCCTCTATGTGTGTGTTCTCTCCAGCGGATGGCAAGTAAATTATAATCTAAGAAGAGTAAAGAAACGATCCTGTGTAAATAGTTCTAATCTCTAAGTGATGCCGTTGAAGAAGAAGATGGTGCACAATTTTGGAACTAGAATATTCTATTTGATGAAAAGTGATGGCTAGGGCCTTTGTACGATCATCGGGTATTTAAATAATTTTAGGCTTTTTTTTTTGTTTCTTTTTTATTTGCCTCTGTTGTGTTTTCGCTACAATTCTGCAACAGAAGGTAAAGCCAAAAACAGAACTTTTCCCACCTTCAATGTGTCACTATTTGCCAAATCTATGAACTTCATATCTACAACTGTCATTCATGATGCCAACCGCACTTTCAATGATGTTCAATTCTGGTCGGACCAAAGTAACCCTGCAGTGATGGTAGATTCCTGCGAATGCATCACCTACATTAACTGCAACAAAATACCCATTTACCTAATCAGTGGCAAGTCGTTTCTGATATTTAGTAATGACTCTGAAACTGAGCTATTTTTCAAGGAGAAAATTATCCAAGCTCCATCAAAAATGGACTTTAGTTGTGGTCTTTTGACCATTGCAGGCAAAGGGAAGTGCATTGTCTTTTATTATGAAAACCAGATGAAATGTTTACTCTTGGACTTTACCAAGTTGGAGCAGATGAGAAACTCTCTTAAAATTGAGGATGCGATTGCAAATTCATTTATAAAGCCACGAACAAATTGCCAATCTGTACCAGCAGTCACTGCATTCGATAGGATATTAAAGAAGAAACAGGAAAGCAACCCATTTCTCGCAGTGCAACTGAAAGCAGACAAATCACTGCTTCTTTCTACCCAAGAGCAAATTGGAACAGCCGTGAATAAGATTATTCAATCGGGATTGAGAATTCGTGGTCTATCAGTAAACCAAACAGAGTCAATCAATGACAAGTTAAAGATCAAGGAGATATATCAAATGACCTACAAAGCTACAATGTTCTCACTCAGGAAATTCAATTACAGTTTCAACAAGAGAGCAGAGTCGGAAAAGATACAGGTGTCATGGAGCGATTTACAGGAAACAGTTGAAAATTTGTTGCATCTATTCATCGACTTGGATTAGGTACTATATACATGCAGGGCTTCAGGCCAAGTCCTTTACACTTACAAGCTTACTTGTGGATTGGAAATTCACTGACGAAGCTTCCTTAAGTTGTTCCAGTAACGACTTGAATTTTGACAATTTCTTCTTTGGTTTTGCCGTTTTCAATTCTTCACGAGCTTTATCCAATTGGTCCAAAAGTATCGAACGGTCCTTGTGTAAATAGCCTCTCTTGTCAGGGTCCGAATAATACGAAATATCTTTCTGACTGGTTGGTCTTGCTTGTAAAGGAACATAACCTTTTCTTAAAAGAAAATAGTCGGGATTAACAAATGCTCTCAATCCCAATTTCGAAAAATATCTAGCAGTAAAGGACATATTAACACTCTCTATTTTGTCTATTGCCAGGTCAGTTGCTTTCGAAGCTTCGATATTGAGCGGCACATTGTAGTCAGTAGTGCTTTTACCCAAAACTTTCACTCCATCTTTCAAACTTCCTGTGATGATGCCACACTCTCTCATGACCTTGATAGTAAGGGTATCACCTTCTTTTAATGGTATCCTTCCAGTATTCCAAAAATCTTGGATCTTGCTCAAGTTGACTTCGTGATACTGTTTGGCATTGTGGGCATTTCTGAATCCTACCATTGGCATTTGTTTAAAATATGGTGTTTGACCACCTTCCATCCATATTGGTACCTTACCTCTTGCTTTCTGCCCCTTTTGACCTCGTCCCGATGTTTTACCTTTATTGGAAGAAGGTCCACGTCCTAAACGTTTGTATCCCAGGGTAGATCCTTCATTTGGCGCCAAGTAACCCAAATATCCAATACCTCGAGTGGTAATCCTTAGATTAATAGAGCAGGACAATAGTCTGCCCGCAGTAGCGGTTCCAATGAACATTGTTGATATCTGATCTTTACACTGTCAACTGCTTTGGCACCTGAAAATTTTTTGTCGCAGAAAATTAAGCCTTTCAAAAAGAAAAAAAGAGAACAAATTTCAATCACCGACTTAGACGCCACCAAATATTCTTCTCCAGACATATTGAAAGGAGTTACTACAATCGTACACATAATCAACTACAATTGACCAACACAATGACAGAGCATAAAGCACAAGAGGTTTCCAAAAAGGAAGAGCAGGTGATAAAGTCGCTTGAAGAGGATGACGAATTTGAAGATTTTCCCGACGATGATTCGCAATGGGTCACAGACGCAAAATTGAAAGAAGAAGCACTTTGGGAGCAAGATTGGGATGATGATGATAATCAAGACCATTTTTCACAAAAGTTGAGGGAGGAGTTGATAAAATCACAGAAACCTGCAAACTAAGTGGAATGGAAGGAGAGGGAGGGAAAGAGTATGACAGAACAATGAATATAGTAGTGGAAAAGCATTTGATTTCATTCATGAATCATCTGATACAAACGTCGAATTTATTTGGATGACTCTTGCTAGAGTCACGAAAAGAGGTGTGTAATGGATCATATTTACAATAGAATTGCTGCAATAGTCACCCAATTTGGTCATGCTAACTGCAATTCTATTCTAAATTCCTCAGTATTAATAGACCTTGAAATCTGGTCTACTTTCTACGTAGTTTTATATAGTTGTATAAGTTATTTCTATACTACTATAATGCAACAATCATTTGTTAATTACAAGGTGCAACACTATGCTCCGTCAAAACAGTGAACCAATAAGTTTGAAAGGAGGAAACAGATATCATTTTATAACGGTACATAGCTATTAATGCAAGTGGAATATTGTACGATTGGTTTTGCGTAGTCAATAAGACTAATGAATTCATGCGTGTATTTTAAACGCCTCTACTGACATAAATATCGATGAAATACAATAAAAGAGGCTATTTTGGATACCTTATGGGGGCATTTCATATTAGCAACTGTAAACAAAGCTGAAAGAAGTTCTTTTACTAATTGTCTGATAAACAAGAAACGTTAAAACGGGTAACGTAAGGAAAACATTGCATGTAGTTTTTCCAACAAGAAGCGCAAATGGTTTAGTGGTAAAATCCAACGTTGCCATCGTTGGGCCCCCGGTTCGATTCCGGGTTTGCGCATTGTTTTTTCACTTTTTTGGACTATTTTCAAGAGTTCTGTAGGAGAAACAGGGAAGAAAGACGCGTGTTGTTATTACCGTATCTCCTCTGGCAAATCTTGTGTTGAGTTTATCGGTCGTTAATCCTGGGTGTGAAACGAATTTTTTTTTGTCCCGATTTTTTCAATTGATCTCTCTTCTATAACTTTTAATTTTTCTTCTTTTTTGAATCAATTTTCATCCCCTAATACTTCTCCAATGTCTGACTCATCAGAGAGAACACCGAATAGAAAATGGAAAAGCTTTACCAAGAATTGGGAATTTAAAATCGCGATATTTGTGATTCTTTATTTTGTATTTTCACATTATGTGTTGGAAAACACACATACCGTTAGGGAAAGGGGTTTACGCAAGCATTTGAAAGTGATTCCAGAGGAGGTCATCGCCTATTACGGTAAACAGCCATTGGATGACCCAGAAAAGTTAGCATACGTGCAATACGCAACTAACTATGACTATCTTAACTTGGCAATAATGAACTTTGTTCATCTTCGCAAAGGAAATACCCAAGTTCCCAACTTGGTTATCTTATACGACGAGATACTTCAGCACTACGCTACTGACAGGTGGAATAATTTGTACCAGTTGGCAAATCAATACAATATTACATTAAAGTCTGTCGCTTTAATCAAGGTCGACTACAATGACGATACACCGTGGGCAGCATCTTTTACAAAGTTTCACGTGTTCAATCAAGTGGAGTTTGATAGAGTTGTTTTCTTTGACTCGGATTCAATGCTAGTGAAGCCAGAATACAAAGATGGTGAGATATCTAGCACTTATTCGAATATCGATGAGTTATTCAAAATACCGAAAGAACTTGAATTTGTCTTGCCACAGGCATATTGGTTGAACAATGTGGTTGAAGGTAAATCTCCTTTGAAATACAGAAAGAAGTTGGAAATCCCCGACAACAGAAGATATGGGTTGAGGATGAGGAAATTAGTTAATGATATTTCTGATACCAAGGATTGGAGGCTATTGCCCCTGTTGATATTCGAGGCACACAAATTCGATAACCCCATCAATTTCTTTGCCAACCACGTTATGGTGGTTACGCCCTCCAAAACTACTTTTGATCGTATAATGGGATACGTGCATAATCCCATCCACTGGTCGCTAACCAATAGACAAAACTTGAGAAAGAAATCGGAATATGATATGGAAATTTTGAACAAGTACTTGGATAATGAACTCAAAAAGGGAAATACCAATGTAGGGATTCTACCACATCGAGTTTACGGTGTGCTAACGGGAGAATTCCGTGAACAATGGCATGAAAGGTTTGTGGTTGAACCTCAATATTTACCTTTCATCAAAAAGCGTTCTAATCATGGATGGGATCCGAAAAAGACACTACAAAAGATAAAATTGATTCATTTTTCAGATAGTCCTATACCAAAGCCATGGGAGGTGGATGATGACGAGGACGAGGATTACGACCACCATTATAATGCTAAATTGATTTATTGCAAGACTGGGAACATGACGGAATATCGTAGAAAGTATTCTCATTTCAAGCCTCGACTTGTTGATGATTGCGATAGTGTTGATATTTGGAACTGGTTCCGGAAGCAATTGATTAGAGACCAAGAGGGTTTGTGGTATAGTAAGTAGAAAAGGGGTTGTTGCATATATACAACTAAAAATAGAAACTTAACTCTTGTTACATATTATTAAATCTCATTTTCAAATCAGGCGAAGTTCAAAACAAAAAAAAGAAAAAAAAAAAAGACAAAAAAAGACAAAAAAAGAAGGAACAAACAAGACTGATTCGTTCATAGATCAGCTATCATCGTAACATGAATCGGGAAGACTTAGTGACAGCACTCTTGGCCGCAACCAAGACTTTGGAGGAAAGGGATGATGAGACTGGGATGCCATCGTTGAGTTCATCCACTGACTCATACACCACCCCTTCTGTCTCTGTTCCTCCAAACAATAACAATCCATTCATCATAAGACAACACAATCCATCAGGAACCGTTTTCATTGCTGTGGGAGCTATAGTTGGAGCTATATTACTTGGGTTTATTTTCTATCATTTGATATTGTCCTTGACTGCCTCGAGAGTGGCCAAAAAGACGAGCACAAATGACAGAATATTGTATGAAAAGTACGAAAGCAATAACAATAATGCGTACGGATATTCGAATATGACGCCAACATCAACGCTCAATAACTTTGAATATAAAAGTCATCATCATGGATCTTCTATATCGAAGCTACCGTTATTGAACCGATCATTCGGCAACTTAGCTGGAGGCTCACAAGCTGGGGATAATTCAACTATATACCAGTCCGATGTGGCAGTTCCAGCTGCAAAGCACGATTTAACCAAGATGTTTATTTCACCAACTGCAGAAGTTATGCAACACAAGAGAAACAAATCGTACAATCCATCGTTGACAAATTTGCCATTTGGTGGCTCAGCCTCGAATTTGGCAAGCCCTTCACCTGCTACTAATAGACATTCTCAATTGGTTCCAAGCTTATACATAAACAACGAGATTAACAACAGCGACTACTCGATCGCTCAGCACAATGCTTCAAATCAACAGTCGTTGCATGAAGATAGCCAGAACCACCCACAACTCAGTGAACAACAACAACAGAGTTCGACAACTCGAACCCCAAGAAAGACCATTCCATCTATGTATCTTGAGGATTTGATTGATTGAGAAGGAAGTAGCGAGTTTCAGCTAAGAATATACGCATTTATCGAACCAATTAGTAATTTTTGTAGTGTTTTGTCAACTCAGTTGAAAGTGGAGCGCAACAGCCTTGTATCTTGAATGTAGTTCACTTGCTTTTTATTGAGAGAGGATGTCGTTAGACCAGTAGAGATAACTCCCACCCCCTTAACAACTTCTAGATGAGTCATTTATATTTTGCTCTGCGGGTAGTACATTTGAAGAAAGTTCCTTCAGGAGAAGCGTTGGGAAATTAGGCTGGGTAAATGATTTTGGTAGTTCTCATCCATCATGAGAAAATCGAGATGACATTTCACCTAACAGTTGCACCAACAAAAAGAAGTAAGATGTCTGACGCTGAACCATTGACATCTAATGTTCGTCCTGCAACAGATGCTTTAATCACAGTCCGAATTATAAAATCGTTTCCATACCGCAATGTGAAAAATTTGATAATAAAAGATATCGATTTAAAATCCACCACCCCTAAGGGATTGTTCGATCAAGTGCTTAAAGAAATAGGTACAACTGGGAGCTTGAGACCATATAGGAATGTACAATATGATTCACTAAAGATTTACACCAAGGCACATGGATCCAAGTCTATGAACTTGGTTATAAATTTTGAAAATGATGAAGATTGGGTAATCATGAAGAAGAATACACCTGTCAGCGAGAAAACACTATGGGATAGGGGTGTTCAAAATGAAACTGAAATAAGTATCTTCAATTGGGATGATTATATCGAGTACAAGAAGAATCCAGAGGAAAAGTGGTAATACACCGGATTCAAATAAATAACGATGCCAGCCAGGCATTTTCTATACACATTGACATTGACTTTGTTTTCCAGTTTTGAATTGACTAGAGGTTCACCAATAGGAAGCTTCTTGGCTGCTTGTAGGAGCTTGACACAGCTGTGAGGGCTCCGTGAAAGATCGTTGTTCATCGAAACTTGAGTTTAACTATAAATTTTAACCAAAAGCAGCTATACGTTTCCAACAACTGCACCTATACAACCGCATCATTATGACGAGAATGAAATAACGCACTTTGAAGGCAAATATGGAAGAAGTATACAAGTAGTGTGCATGTTGTGATGGTGATGTGTTTTGAAATTAGTGTCGTGAAAAGTGTCAAAAAGACGATATATTTGCGACATAGTCTATACGTGTAATGTATATATATTTAAAAATTTAACCAATAACAATTGTTGTTTTATAAATTTCTCTCTTATTGACAATACAAAATCACTAGAAATTAGTTTGTATACAGTACATTACTAGCACAATTTTTTTTTATTTTTTCATCACAACTTTTACCAATAAGAAAGGAAAAAAAAAAGAGGAAAAATCATCCAGTTAACATTGATTAAGTGGTTTGAATAAGTGTTTTGAAAATATCAGTTTCCTTAACTTTCTGAAACTCATCTAAATTATTCTATCTTGAGAATTGATTTCCAGTTAGGTTCATATACATCCAAAGCCTGGACATTTTGAATAATACCATCCAATTTTTTTTGGCAACTTAGATAGTTTGATTTTTTTTAATTGCTTTTAACTTCACTTACAAGGACAACGTTTCAACTTCAGCATGTTTAGAACTGCGTTCAGATCAGTAAACCAACCATTGGTTCAGAAGTTCATTGCCGGAGGTGTCGGTGCCACCGGTTTAACTGCATCATATTTATTATATCAAGATTCGATGACTGCCAATGCAATGACTGCTGCGGAACACGGATTGCACCCTCCAGCTTACGACTGGCCTCATAACGGTATGTTTGAGACATTTGACCATGCATCTATCAGAAGAGGTTTTCAAGTCTACAGAGAGGTTTGTGCAGCATGCCACTCTTTGGAAAGAATTGCCTGGAGAAATTTAGTTGGAAGCTCACACACAACTTCCGAAGCTAAAGCTATGGCCGAAGAGAACGAATACGATGACGAACCAGATGACGAAGGTAAGCCAAGAAAGAGACCAGGTAAATTGGCTGATTATATCCCAGGACCTTATGAAAACGAGCAAGCCGCTAGAGCTGCAAACCAAGGTGCGTTACCTCCTGATTTGTCATTGATTGTCAAAGCCAGACACGGTGGATGTGATTACATATTCTCATTGTTGACTGGTTACCCAGAAGAACCACCAGCAGGTGTTGTATTACCAGAAGGATCGAACTATAATCCATACTTCCCAGGTGGTGCAATTGCGATGGGTAGAGTCTTGTTTGATGATTTGGTTGAATATGAAGATGGTACACCAGCATCTGCCTCACAAATGGCCAAGGATGTCTCAACATTCTTGAACTGGGCATCAGAACCAGAACATGATGATAGAAAGAAATGGGGTTTGAAGGCCATCATAGTTCTTTCCTCCTTGTATTTAATTTCCATCTGGGTCAGAAGATTCAAATGGACCCCAATCAAGAACAGGAAATTCAGATTTGACCCTCCAAAGAAGTAATTGATAGGGACCAGCAATAAAAGAGAAAAAAAATTCATAGAATATGCACGGTTGAGGTGAAATTGTGAACTATGTTATAGGAGTCAGCACATTTATTGCTTTTGACTACGTTGTATATCTTACGCACTAATAAAATGTTTAAAGACCTATTTGGAATTGAAGTAGACGAAAACAATGTCCAAGCTAGAGGTGTAGAGTCAGTGGGGTTTTACTTTGGTGATTGAACAGCAAGGATGAACTATGGAGTGGCCGTAAGAGACTTGTCTCAGGACAGTAACAGGAGTACCCTGAAATCACTTTGTGAATATAGAAACTCCTCCTTCTTGGAAATATGACGAAACAGATGCAATCCAGACATATGGTGATGTTAGTTAGTACATTGGTTAAAGAGAGTGTAATCCCCCATTCCAATTATTCGCTTTGATCTTAACTATCAATGAACTCAAATGTTTACTGAACTCGAAAATTTCATTTTATGAAATTGCATGAACTACTATGGATTCCAATACGGGATAAGCCGAGAGTCTCGATGTACATGTTTATAGCTCTCACTGAAGTATGCCCTCGTACCATGCAGCTTGGGTTCTAGTTAATCATATACCGGAAGACTTTACAACTTTGTTGTTCGACCCAAGCAAGGCCGTTTTTGCTTGTCATGCTTTTCTTCTCTGTAAAAAACTCGAACCGAGTTACGCGCCGAAATGTCAAAAAATTATTCTATTGTTTTTGCACTCCCCGCCAGAATTTCGCTGAAAGTTGATCTGGACACTACCTGAAATTTTTATGGTCTTTCAACATTTTGGCAAAATAAGTAAGCAAAGGAGGCTCTTTTTACACCTTAAGTGAAGTAGTGGGAACCTAATTATTGATTTCTATCTGAAGCAGCTCCATATCTTGGAAATTTTACTAGAAAAGCTGGTTGTGGCGTATAGTCTTTCGGTGAATTAACCATTAATTATTTCGGCGTTTTTTTTTTCTCTTTTTTTCCTTCTTTGTTTTTCCACCAAACTTGAGCAAACGTAAATATTCTTTCTTTTTACTCTTTTCTTTTATTTTCTTTTTAATACTTTTTTGATTCAGATTTTTCATACATATTTCACCAGCGATACACTCCATTCAATCGTTGATTAAACAACTGAGCATACTTTGAGACAAACCACGCTAAAACAGCAGCCCACTTTTAATATAAAAATTCCCCTCTCGCCATGAAAAAAGATACCCATACCAATACCGATCGGGGTATCACAAGAGTTGTCAGTTCAGAGCTTGATAGTCTGCACACGTCCGTCATTTCAACAAACTCATCAAAGGACTTGCTACCCACCACTATTGGAACAAGTTCCGAGTACGAGGGACAATCGGTTCAAGTTTCAGAATCAGAGGCACGACCTTCAAAAATAGTCATCATTTTGACATTGGCGTCTTCGATATCTGGATTTATGTTTGGTTATGACACCGGTTACATATCGTCAGCTTTGGTCCAGATAGGGACTGATTTGTCCAATAAAATTTTAACCTCGGGGGAGAAGGAATTTATTACGTCGGCTACATCGCTTGGTGCTTTGCTTGGTGCTATAGTAGGTGGTATCTTGGCCAACTTGATTGGAAGAAAGAGGGTCTTGTTAGGCTCAAATGCCATTTTTGTAGTGGGAACCATAATTCAACTAGCAGCAAAAACTGTATGGACAATGATTGTGGGTAGATTCGTTTTGGGATGGGGAGTTGGGATTGCGTCTTTGATCGCGCCGCTCATGTTGTCAGAGCTTGCTCCATCAAAATACCGTGGGCGTCTAATCGTCACAAATGTGATGTTCATCACCGGGGGTCAATTAGTGGCTTACTTGATCAATTGGGGATTAACTCGAGTATCCCATGGTTGGAGAGTTTCTGTTGGATTATGTATGGTGCCGCCGGTTATACAATCAGTCTTGTTTTTCTTTTTACCAGATACCCCAAGATTTTATGTGATGAATGGTGACATAGCCAAGGCAAAACAAGTTTTGAGAAAAGTACACAATGATCCTTCGGATGCTTTCGTTGATGCCTCTATAGAGGATATGATTCAATCGAATTCCACAGTGCCAGGCAGAAATCCTCTACTCAAGGCATGGGAGTCAATAAAGATTATTCACACTACGCCAGGTAACTTTAGAGCATTGATACTTGCATGCGGGCTTCAAGGTATCCAACAATTCACCGGTTTCAACTCGTTAATGTATTTCAGCACTACTATTTTTGAAACAATTGGATTCAAGAATTCTACTGCTGTGTCTATAATCATTTCAGCTACTAACTTTGTCTTCACGGGGATTGCTCTTTGCATCATAGACAAGGTAGGAAGAAGGCGTATTTTACTAATCGGAATACCATGTATGTGCGGAGCCTTGATTGTATGCGCAATTGCGTTCCACTTTCTCAATGTCGATTTCTCATCTGGAGTCGTAATACATACTAGAGGCATAAGTGGGTGGGGAATTGTTGTCATCATTGGTATGATCTTGTATGTTGCTTCATACGCAATTGGTATTGGTAACGCCGCTTGGGTTGGTGTGGAGTTGTTTTCCGATGTCAATGTCAGGTCCATAGGTGGAATGTATGCAGCTTGTACAAACTGGGCTGGGTCATTGGTGATTGCTTCTACATTTTTAACCATGTTGGAGAAGATAACACCAACAGGAACTTTCTCGTTCTTTGCTGGTCTTTGCGTGATTGCATTCTTTTTCGTTTATTTCTTGCTTCCAGACACCGCTGGCTTGGAATTGGAAGAAACAACAAATTTCTTGAGCAAAGGGTTCAATGTCAAACAATCAATTGCATTGTCTAAGGCCAGGAAAAAGCATTCCAAGTACACAACTGGAGTTGCATGAGTCTAAAAAAATCTCTATTTATAGCATTTACCGTTTCATACATATATTTTTAATTGATCGGGGATATAGTAGAAATTGGCTACACGGAGTATGCACTTTGACAAACAGCTTGTACCTATTAAACGCGCTCTGCTTACTTTTGTCTATTCACAAACTTTAGCAGAAAAAAAAAATAAAAAAAATAAAAATATTCAAACTTCATAAAGGCAGAGCACACATATTTTGCTTTTGCTTTTGCTTCCCGTCAAATGCCACATTGTGCTTAAAAAGAACTTGTACCATTTATGTCAAACAAACAAAATCACCGGACATCAGGTGATGATAATGGCCAAGCAAGAAGGCCAAAGGTGGAGCAGATAGATGGCGACTCATTTACTGATACCATACCTGAAATGGCCAGGTTGAAAAAGTACGAAATAATTAAAAAGTTGGGACAGGGTACATTTGGGGTCGTACAGAAGGCACGAGACAGACCAACTGGTGAAATAGTTGCGATAAAGCAACTCTTGAATCATCTGGCTAAAGAGGGATTTCCGATTACAGCCATGAGGGAGATTACGATTTTGAAGCAGCTCCATCATCACAACATTCTAAATATAAAAGAACTTATTTTTGAAGAGGCCGAAGTGACAAATCCAGCCGATGTGGTAACACAAAGAGGGTCATTCTATACTGTTTCTCCATACATGACAAGTGATTTGGTTGGAATTCTCGAAAATCCCGATGTAAAGCTACAGCTTAATCAGATAAAATGTATAATGACTCAACTATTGGAAGGTACACAGTATATTCACGAGCAAAATTTTCTACACAGAGACATCAAGGCTGCCAATATATTGATAGATAACACAGGTGTTTTAAAAATAGCAGACTTTGGTTTAGCTCGACTATACCACGGAGAGATACCACGATTGGGAATGGGTCCAGGGGGCGGGGAGAAAGCCTACACAGCACTCGTTGTAACGCGTTGGTATCGTCCACCGGAATTACTACTAGGTGAGAGAAAGTACACCACAGCCGTTGATCTTTGGGGCATTGGATGTGTGTTTGCCGAATTGTTCACACGTAAACCTATACTTGTAGGTAAAAGCGATGCCCATCAAGCCCAACTTATATTTGAACTTATTGGACCGCCAAATACTTGGACCGAAGCAGCAAAGCTACCGAACAAGACAGATTTCAATATCGGGTTGACCTGCAAGCGAAGTCTTGAGAAAAGGTTCGATTCATTAATGCCTCCTTCAGGTGTCAAGCTACTAAGTGGATTGTTGACTCTTGATCCTTATAAAAGATTCAACGCATTGGATGCTTTAAATCAAGATTTTTTCAAGAGTGAACCATTGCCTTTACGTCCAGAAGAGATGCCTCAATTTGGGGAGTGTCACGAAATAGATAAGGAGAAGTTTAAAAAGCTTAGAGAAACAAATAACCTTCCCTCTAGGCCGGAGTCTCGAAACCTCCTTGAAGGCAAGAGATTTGATCGCGATGAGGATAAGTTTGCAACCAGAGGTACCCCCAACCGCGATGACTACGATGATTATGAAAAGACTTATGTACGACGTTCCACTTCCAGACAAGCCCTTCATCATCATAATTATATTTCTTATGGAGAAGATCAGCCTAGACAAAGAACCAACCAGGCTAGATCCTATTACGATGATCGTGGTCAAAGGACTCAGGATGAACGGGGTCAAAACGGATACGCTGATAATGAATTCGAAAACGATAGGGCACCACATAAGAATATTGATTACGGCGGACCCAAAAATTTTGAGGCAAACCAGGTTTACCCATATATACCACGACTGGAATTGAATGACTCGCTGTATTCTAGGCGGGATTCTCCTCATCCGTTGAGCAGAGCTGACAACAGGGCCAACAATAAAGCTCAATGCCAAAAGAATAATGATCAATTAAACTATCTCGAAAGAAGGCCTCCTTCAAAGGCCCACAAAACTTCTGAAAAACATTTGCCTAGTGGAGGCTACAATGAAGAAAGAGTTTCTCAAGCGACAGGCGACCGCCAATACATTTCAAACACATCTTACGACAACAAAGATGCACGCAAAAATGACCCTAGTATTTCGATAGCCAGATCAAGTCCAGGATCATCTTTAGACGAGGCATCTCTGGTTATTGACATTGATTATAAAAACAATGGTGACGACAAAATGGGGGAGAATCGAAAACCATCTGCGCCAAGTGGACATACACAACCTGGTTTTGTAAAAGGAGAAAATAGCGGTGGAAGCAATGAGGCTGCAAAGGATTCAGACGATAAAAATGTCGAAAGCACAGCTAAAGTTCCTACGTTCACGGCACCCGGAGAAGCAAGCGAATCAAGAGAAGATGCTAGGGGAAAAGACATTTCAGAACGAATCGATAAATCTAGATCTGATATAGGTGATGATTCAATCACAGAAAATATCCGAAGTGGTGTAAGTGAAAGAATCGTATCTACTGCAGCAGTGAATGATTTCACAACAAGAGATCACCAGAGTTTGCCTAGTCTGGAATCTTCCACAGGACCAGCTGTCAACAAAACGAGAAAAAAGTCGGTGCCATATGTCCACGGTGGCTTGAGCGAAAGAATACTTAATTCAAGAAGCAGCTCACCCCTGGTACTACCTCCAAATCTGAAACAAATGAAAACGCCAAGTGTTGACAAGCCAGAAGAGTCGAAAGTGGAGAAGGTGGAATCCATTCCTAAGGCCCAGAGTCAAGACATAGAGCTAAAAAGGTCCAGTTTGCCCCCGACCGCGGATAAAGAACGACACGGTGGTATTCCTTCTCTAAGGAGAGTAAGTGTAACCAAGCAGCTGGAAATGAAGGATTTATTTGGCAAAGCTAAAATAAATTCATTGCCAATTTCGTTAACACGCTCACAACTACCCAAGCCCCAAATTAAGAGTTCAAAGGATTCAAGAGAAACTTCATCTAAGGGGCTAATGACCGACTACGCAATAAAGACAACCAAAGGGACTAAACGAAATCACAGCTACATAGATGACGATGTACTGGAAAGCGACTTGAGTGAAGTGGATGTTATCCCAGAAGAGGGTGGAAGTCGCAAGCTACTTGAGAATTTCTTGAATAAAGAGGGCTATAAGCGAGAACCAATCTATCGGAAGCATATGAGTGAGTCGAGGAAGTTCAGACGGTGATCGGGTTTATCGCTTGACTTTAAAATGTGGTAAAACGCATTTATAGAGTAAAAATTTTTTGCCATTATGATTGTAAGCCTGCTTAGGTCACATTCTCTCCAAAAATGATAACGGTACATGTACGGTTAGTATGTATGTAGATAGCAAGGCTTGTGTGGGAATCTATTGTTGTCACGCATCAAAGATCACACGCACACGGATGGTTCTCCGAATAACGGCACGGCGCGAAAGAAAGAACCACCACAAAATCAAATTCTCGTTTCTACACGACACGTTAAATTAATATTTCATTTCTTTTTGGTTCCTTTTCCGAGAATGAAGAGTTTCTCTGTTAGATCGTTTAGATAAAAAGTCACGAAATTTTTCTACATTGGCAAATTTTTAAATCTTTCTTATTAGCAACCATAGTACACTACAAAGAGACACTAGTTGCTAAATACGAAGGACAATGGCAACCCTTGACGACTACTTTTCCATACAGACGTTCTTGATCGTGTTAAGAGAGACCTTGGAGTCGGCCATCATCATATCTGTTCTTTTATCATTTGTTCATCAAACATTTTGCACCGATGAGAAAAAGGTTGCAAACAGGACTGAACCTCAGTACCAGACGATAACTTCGGAAACCATATCATCATCGGAAGAAACTGAGGCATCAGAAGCAAGGGTGGTAGATAACAGATTGGGTCAAATACTTAAATTTCAAATTTGGTTTGGTGGATTAATGGGCCTTGCCGTGTGTCTATTGATTGGGGCGATTATTCTTGTTGTATTCTACAAGGTGGGCAACGACCTATGGTCAATAGCCGAGCATTACTGGGAAGGGACATTTTCAATTCTTGCAAGTATTATAATTTCCTTGATGGGAATACAAATTCTCAGAGTGAGCAAGATGCAGCAAAAATGGAAAGTGAAACTAGGCAGGCTTTTGCAGCTGTCAAGACATTTCAATCCGCTGAGATCAAGTCCCAGCAGGGGTTCCAAAGGTGGCTGGTTTGATCGATTGGAATTGTTGACAGAAAAATACAACATGGTCATATTGCCTTTTGTCACAACATTGAGAGAAGGGCTAGAAGCCATAGTATTTATTGGTGGTATTGGGGTTAACGAAGATACCTCAATTTGGGCTATTATCAATGCTACAGTGCTTGCAGTCATCGTGGGCACACTTATTGGTTGTGTCTTGTACAGATCTGGAAACACTCTATCGTTGCAATGGTTTCTTATCACGTCCACATGCTTTTTGTATTTAGTCGCAGCAGGACTTTTTTCCAAAGGTGTATGGAATTTTGAGCTCCAGCACTTTATCAACCAGTGTGGTGGAATGGATGTTAGCGAGACTGGCCATGGACCTGGTTCTTATGACATCAAGAGGAGTGTATGGCATGTCAATTGCTGCAATGGAGAGCTACAGGAAGACGGCGCTTTCTGGATGATATTGACTGCAATATTGGGTTGGACCAACTCGGCAACATATGGAAGCGTGATTAGTTACATCTTGTACTGGATAGTGGTAATAATTGCCTTCACTTCGTTAATACATGAAGAGAAGCATGGACATTTGCCATTTATTCCAATAAAGTGGCAATTAAATCGTATTAGGAAGAGAAGGTCATTATACGCTCCAATTGAGGATCAACACGGTGAAGAAAATGATAATAGAGACAGCGTAGACTCGATCAATTCGGAAACTCCTTTGCAATAGTATCATCGATGCTTTTAGATTTGTATAGTTTTGAATGGAAGTAGTTGAAAATGGCAGTTTGCTAATTTAGGAGATGGTCAACCTTTCTAAAGGCAAACATCACACTGAAATCCAGCCGGTCACAGAAATGTGGTGACGAGAACTGACACACTGTGTAACGGGTCCAGCGAAGTATAGAATGGTTCTTTTCAACCAAAGAATACCTTCACACATGAAGCCCAAGGTGGCAAGGCTAGGAAACTGTTACTATAAGATATCAAGCAAGTTCATAGTTGTGAATAATGAACCCAGTAAGTTATGGACAATTAATTTCATATTGAAAAGAGAGCTTGAAGAAAGGACAAACGAAAGTCAACCTCTATCCAACGCAATGTTGATCTGGGATTTCAAGTTGATGCCAAACGATTTCAACAGTGAATATTGTGGGTAAAGTACCAGAATGTTCACTGCTTACCTCCTTAATATGATATACTCAAAAATTGGTAGTTGGACATTTGTTCTTTTAAGCAAAAGCTTTGATACTATGTTCTGTTGTGGACTTAGAGTTTGTTTAGTTGAATCGTGACTCTGAGTAGACTAAGTTAAACGTGAGGTGTTACAGAGCTGAAGGAACTTTAAAGAACTTCGTCTTTTTTGTCCACACTTTGAACAAAAGCCCAAGAAAAATTCTTATCATTTAAAACTAACTTCAAGTGGTTCACCCGTTTACGACTTTAAGAGTGGGATAAACAAACCATTCAATGTGCGACTTCTGTACACTTGACTGGATTATTTCTTCTCATGCTTCGGGGAACTTTTCAAAACTTACTCTGACTAGTAACGCTACCTATTCGGAGGTGGCGTTGTATAAGCCAAAAAACAGAGTTTTGTTCCTGTGTCTCATTTACGAGTTGTAGTGAAACAGTTTGTAAGTTACCATATCTCAAACAGCTACATGACATCTCTAATTGATTTTCCTCTTGACAGTTGGGTACAACCAGCAAAACATCAACCATCCGTTCCTTCCCAGTGCAATGGAATGCTTTCTAATATAGGCACAAGGCGGTACAAAAAAAACCAAAACACAAAACACAATAATATGCAAGTGTTTGTGTAACAAGCAAATATATTTTTAGATATTAAATTACATCAATTTCTTGGCTTTAAAAAACCCATTAATTAATAGGATCGGTATATAGGGCATCTTCCATCTAATATGAAAACACTTGTACTCCATCCAATCAGAGATTGTCAAGAAAAGTCTTGCAGCGATAATTGTGTTAAAAAAAGGGGGAAGGGGCGGCACTTGCTTAATTTTTCACACTGCCAAGAAAGTAATAAACAGTTTGTATGGTTTGCTAACACAAGTTATATGAATCGTTGCCATTGTAGCTTTTATTCCTACATGGCTTGTTTCAAAAGCAATAGGTGTGATTGGTTAAATCAGTTTCCCCAAGTAAAAAGTAAAACAATGCTCTAATAGTTTGGTTTATGGGATCTGCATTTGAATCGGTTTCAAATAGTTACGTACTGTCATGTTTAGTTAATGTAAAGTTCAACGTTATGTAAGCTCTAAAGCAATAAGAAAAGTAACCAAATAAGGATGTTCCGGTAATACGGAATGAACACCGAAGGCCATCACTCTTGGTGAGAGCTAATTCTAGCGGCACTTTTCAACCACAAAACCAGACGGAAGGAAAAATCTGAGCACGAACTTGACATGGGAAATACTAAATTATGGTTATACAAGGAGGATCAGTACATGCCAAAACGCTAAAAATTTTGACACTGGAATGCCAACTTTAAAAGTGTGGCCACCAGTTTTATCTAAACTTTGCGATTTCTCTCAGTAGTCACATAACAGATACTCTTGAGACCCATAGGAAGCCTCAAATGTTTTGAAGCAATCAGATTACTCTACAGTGGTAGCTATTAATTAATCAGTCAAATGTGCTTCTCAATCTTTTGGACTCATCTGTTTTATTTTTAGGTTTGCCTTCTTTTTTTTCTAGATGCATAAGGGGTTAAACTACATTCTGCCAAGACCATAATCTGGCTAATAAAAGGAATGAAGAAAACAGCGAGGAAAAACAAGACGCAAAATCAATAGAGATGCTTTAGATAATTCAAAAGCATCCTCCCCCATCTTCCATTTTTGCATGTATTGCAGCTCTCCTAAATTAATTGATGAACTTATGCAATTATCTGATTGGATCAATTACGTTTTGTGCATTTTTATCATTTTCATCTTATACTTCTTTTGCATCAATTACTGCTGCATAAATTATTGTTTCCAACACAATACGTCTTGTCGACCGAGTTCCATCTGCTATTGTTATTTTCAAGCCAATTCTAGTAAGTTTTTGTAATTTGTATTACCATTTATTGTTCTGGATATTGCAAAAAGAAATGGAAGCACTTTTTGACAAGGCATACCCTGTTGTATAAATATGAGACTAAATTTCTTCAATTTGGACCAAATTCCAACCCAGAAAAATATCTTCACCAAAGCAGCCACGAAACCATAGCTTCTTTCAACAATGTTTCATCGCTTAGCTATATTGATATGTTTGTTCCTTTGTATCAACTCTTCCGTTGCAAAGGGCTCAACAAAATATGAAAACAATAAACACAAAAGATTTTATTATGCTTGCAATTATCAGACCAGAAAAGAAGTGACTTTCTGTCTGATGATGGATAAAGCTTGTCCTTGCAAAAACCAAAACCAGTTGGCTACAATTGCCGGTTGCATGGACATCTTGAACAAAACATCAGAAAGGTATTTGGAACCATGGGTGGAAAGTTGCTCTTATCTGAATGTGACATTGGAAGGAGACTGGTTTGAACAAGCACTTGACTACTACAAAAGTAATGCAAAGGCAGTCAGCGAAATTCCAAACTTTAACATATCAGTGCCAATTGAAACACCTTTTATTTTGAACAGGACTAGAATTGATGTGTACCAGGAGTCTTATAGAAGATTCTACAACAATCTTTATGACTCAATTGATTATGGAGCTGGTCTTTTAGGCTATTGGTTGTTGGTGTTGCTTTTGGGGGCTATTTTCAACTGGACAAAGTTTTTATTCCCAGGACTCACAAAGAAAATGACCAACCCAGTTATCAACTTTTGGAGAGCTAACGTTTCACTTCCAGCCACATTCAAAATAAAGAAGCTGCAAGAGCAGCAATTTTTGAGAGTCTTTAGTTTCTTGATTCCATCAAGATTTGAGTCGTTGGTGATTTTCCTCTTTTACTGCGTTACTATTTGGCTCAATGCTATGAACTTGAAAGCACCAAAAGAAGAGGCCATGTTTGAATCCACATACAAAGCAGAGATTAGGTATGTTGGTGACAGAACAGGAATCACTGCAACCATGATGATGCCATTGGTGTTCTTATACGCTGGAAGAAACAACTTCTTGCAGTGGTTGGTTGGGTGGAATTACAGTACCTTTGTCATGTACCATAGACATACTGCAAGAGTCATGTTTATGTTGGTTGTCATCCATGCTGTATGTTACACTATTGCGTTTGGAAGCAACTATTCCTCGAGAGTCAAATATTTATACCTTAAATGGGGTATCGCTGCCACGGTATGTGGTGGGTTAATTATGATTCAAGGTATGCTTTACTTGAGAAGAAGATGGTACGAAGTGTTTTTGATTTTACATATTTTGTTGGCTGTGTTCTGGACTATTGGTGCTTGGTATCATGTTATTGATTTAGGTTATATTTGGTTGGTCTATCCAGCAGTTGCAGTGTGGTGCTTTGACAGGGCAGTTAGAATTGGGCGTTTGATATCATTTGGGTTTCCACATGCAGACGTTACCTTGTTGAGTGACGAGACTTTGAAGGTTGTTATTCCCAAGCCAAGCTACTGGAAATCCATCCCTGGTGGGCACGCATTCATTCACTTTTTGAAACCAACGTACTTCTGGCAGTCACATCCATTCACCTTTACCGACTCGGTAGAAAATAATCATAGCATTGTGTTGTACTGTAAAGTCAAAGGAGGAGTTACACACAGCCTATACCAGTCGTTGGCACAAGCACCAGGAAGGACATGCAAGATCAGGGTTAGTGTTGAAGGACCATACGGAGAAGCCACAGCTGCCAAGTATGCAGACACTGCAGTGTTTATGGCTGGTGGTAACGGTATTCCCGGTATCTACTCCGAAGTCGTTGACATTGCTAAGAAGACCAAGGGCGCTCAAAACAAGTTGAAGTTGCAGTGGGTTGTCAGAGAGTGGAGATCTTTGTACTGGTTTTACGAAGAGTTACTCAACTTGAGAGACACCAAGATCGAGACAACTGTATACATCACACAGCCATCATGTCATGTATTTATTGATGAGTTCAACAACAGGTTCCAAGGATTAGAGAGATTGGAAATTGAGGAGTCGGAAACATCCAACTCAGAAAAAGAATGCTCCATCAATGAAATTGTTAAAGTTGAAGACAATTCAAGTGATGAAAAACAAGACTCAATCAAGGACATTACCAAGATTGACGACAGTTCATGTGAGGAAAAAGCCACAAGTAATAGAATTATAGACGTTGTTAAGAAGGAGCTTTCACATGTTACTTTTAAAGAAGGTAGGCCCTCAATCAAGGATATCGTTCCCCAAGAAATTCACGAGTCAAATGGTTCAGTTGCTTTTGTCACCTGTGGCCATTCCATCATGGTTGATGAAATCCGTTACTATTGTGCAAAGAATGTTTCCAACCTGGAAAAGAAGAGAGTTGATTTCTACGAACAAATACAAGTTTGGGCTTAGGCTTACCAATACAGTATTTGATTTAATAAAGTTACAATTGGACAATTCGTTTATACACTTCATTTTTAATGTTATTATTCGTTGCTATTTGATTAAAGCCAACGATTTCTAATTCTTTTCCTCTTTCAGTATTTTTCAATAAGTTATTGCTATTGTCATCTGATTTGTTTAAATCTTTCAATTGTTTTGTTTTGCTTTGTTTTCCTGCCGGAATGCCGAATGCAAAGAGAACTCTCAACATATAGTTTCTACTATTCCCTATTGTTGTCGAAATTGAAACAATATATTAAGCAAGCGGACATAAAAGTTTTCACTATCTCCTTTTGTGTATAAATTGCTTAAACTTTCTTGGCATAAGCTAACCTTCTCCTTTAAACTGTATCTAATTTCTATCTAGACAGTAAGGCGACCCCCCCTTATAATGACAAAGTGAAACGTGCGCACAAACGTTACTTTATGGAGGGAGTGAGTTTAAAATAAGCTTTATTTTTTGACGTGGCTAAGAGATTTTTATATAATGAGAACCCCTGGATGGTTTCCACCCCCCCTCCTTTGAATCTTGTTTTGTTTAGCAAATGCCGCTAATTAGTCTCGAAACAGAAATAAAATCTTCCAGATCTCTCATCGTCGTTTGCTGAGATCCGGAAGATAATTGAAGGTCCAAATGGATTCCGATTGTTCAAATGAAAAATACCGAGATTCGCTTTGTCTAGATTTCTATAAAGAATACAATAGGTTGAAAAGCTCTGTCCCTGTCTAAACAATACAATAATTATCAAAAAAATCAGTTTATTGTTTTGTTTTGTGATCTAACCTCAGTTTTGTAACTCTTATAGCGTAATGTAAATACTGAATAATGATTGGCTGTATAGTTTGTGGGAAGAATTTAATTAAAAATCTATGTTTTGTGTAAATATAATTAGTTTTCAGTTTTTTGTAATCCTATTGTGGAATGCAATTATGAAACAACGCCTTGGAAACGTAGGGGGAGCAAAAAGAAAAAGAGCAAGTAACCGAGTAAAAGAGAAGTTTACGAAGATTTGAAGTGGAAACAGAATGCCGAGAGACTACCAATTCTACATTCTGGAGATATTTCGTATCTTCTGTGCTAGAACTATTATGTACTCCCAGAAGAACGGAATCGTCTATCAACCGGACTGTCTCTAGGGAAGATAAGCCGCATCTTAGTCTTAAACAAGGCTTATTTGTAATTTTTTCCTTACTTGTGTCGTGTCTCCTTTTGTCTTTCATTGCTATGCCTAGTTTAGAGCTTGAGAAGGCGTGATAGGCTGCAAATCACTTTACTTCACTCTTCACAATGCTACCCTGTTTGTCATATTTCAAATGTGTGCTTTATTACACCATGTGGAACAAAAGCCTCTCAGTACTTCTAATTCTTCAATAATAAGGTCAAAGGTAGAGCTGAGTCAAAGATCCAATCATAGGAGAATCAAAAAATGCACATCACTTCAACTTTCAATTAATTTCAAAATTTTGGGCCAAATTGCAGTTTCCCATTGTTCAATCTTCTTAAACACAGAAAACATCGAGTCTTGATATAAATTTGAGCTTCACAAATGATATACATGACCCGTGTTGCAATGACAGAAAGTTTGACATCATCTTTGAATCTTAGTTTTCATGAACTTGTAGAATGTTGCACAATTCTAGTAAATCAGGTACTCGGTTTTTGATGTGGACGTCTACCTATTACACTTAAATCCCTTTTAATATATTGCACTTTATATTATTCTATAGGATTTTGAAGCCATTGTTTCGTTTGGCGGACCGAGTTGGGGGCCGAGAGATGCAGGGCAAAGCGATAGCAATCATCAAGAGATTTTATCCCACAAGCCATTGTTTGAAACATGTATATTTTTATACATAATTTATCTGATCGGATCAGTCGATCTGACTTGCAAAACTACTGTTATGTTAGTGTCTTTGGCTTTTGTTTAGACATGATCCCTCTACTAGTGTTTATTGCAAAATTTTAATCTTTTTAAGCCACTATAGTATTTATTGACTTTGATTATTCCTTTGTGGTAAATCCATCTTTAATTGTTAAGACCTCAAATAAATTGTGATACAATTAGTGAGATAAAATGGAATGTCCTAAAAGATTGGCTCTTGATTGGTGGAATAACTGGGTATATGTGATGCCTCTTTCCTTATAAATACTGACAAGTTTTTCTTCTTTAATTTAGTTGCAAAACTTTGTACTGTTTTTAAATTTAAGCAAAAGTTTTAACTCATTAACGACAATGCATAATCGACTTACCACATTCATATACCTATTGATTCTTAGCAGTCTCACTGAGGCACATGGTGGCTCTACGAAGTATCAAAATGAGAAATACGAAAAATACTACAATGCCTGCAGTGGCCAAATGCAAGCAGAGGTCACATTTTGCGACGCCAGTGAAAGATCATGTTCTTGTTCTAATTCCAATTCTTTGGCAACACTTGCCGGTTGCTTATACAGTGTGGGCCAGACATCGGAAAAAAGTTGGTCACCTTTGAGTGATTATTGTTCCCGATACCAAATAACATTGGACGATGACTGGTTTGATACAGCCCTTGAGAATTATAAAGAGAATGCTAAATCAGCTAGTGAGATTGAAAACTTCAACATGTCGGAACCAATTGATGTTCCTTTTATTTTAAACTCGACCAACACGAAAATCTATCAAGAATCATACGGAAGATTTTACGATAACCTTTACAACTCGATATATTATGGAGCAGGGTACTTGGGATATTGGTTGCTTGTGTTGCTTTTGGGAGCTATTTTCAACTGGACAAAGGTTTTATTCCCAGGACTCACGAAGAAAATGACCAACCCAGTTATCAACTTTTGGAGAGCTAACGTGGCCATACCGGCTACATTTGGCAGGAAGAAGTCGCAAGAACAACATTTTTTGAAAATATTTAGCTTC